ATAATTATAAAATATATATAATAATTTAAATGGAAATATGAAGAAATCGATAGCATTGCATAAAACAGAAACATAAATTAGTACTAAAACAAACCAAGATTAAACCAACTTTAGCATTTAACAAATACACAAACATCCACACAGACACATTTATACAAATATGTGTGTATGTAAACATATATACATATATGAAGTAATTGAAATTGAAAACGAACTTTAAAAGAGGAAATCAATAGAACGATAGCGAGAAAGAGGGAGAGAGATAGACAGCGGCAGAGACAGAGGTGTGAGTTGCATTTGTATTGTATATGTGTTTGTATAATTCAACAATCTAGCGTTTAGCACCCGAGTAAACAATTCAAGAATTTAACAAATAATTAATAAATAAAACTGAAGGAAGGAAAAACTTAAAGGAAAAAAAAAAAACTTTAAAAAGTTGTGTAAAATACTTAAAGCAAAGGCCGATAAAGAGTGTTTTAAACTTAAGTTACAATTACAACAGACACATACACACACATACACAAACACACACACACATACATACATACATACATACTTTAGTTGAGAATTGAAAGAAAAATTGCATAGAGAAAAGAAAAGCTAAAAACGAAATTATAAAACTTAAATGAAAATTCATTGCAAGCATTTAGATTTAGGCCACGAATCCAAAAAGTAAAAGAAAAAACATATTTAGAAAACACGCAAACAAAATTTAACAATAACCAAAAAAATAAAAATAAAATAAAATGAATGCGCAAATGCAAATGCGATCAGTGGGAACGCTTCAAGAATGCAGCAACATTTTGATGTAAAGCCCAATGTTAACTAGCAAATGGCTGCTCGCAAAATGGCGACAAGGAGCAATGCAATAAGAACTACACTTAACGAAACAGTATTGCAAAATGAAAATGAGAAAAAAAATATGAAATACGATGTAGAAGAAGAAACAAGAAAAACTGGTTGAATATGTAAAGCATTTAGTTTAGCAATTTAATCAAGAGAAAAACAAACACACATACAGAACACACCTACATATACACATACACTCTCACGCATTTGTGGCATTTATATATATACATACATATATATATATATATAACGTAAAGCTGATGGTTTAAGTTTAATGAGTATGAAATAATTTATGAATGATTACTAAATAGTAAGTTAAAAAGAGAAAAGAACCCAAGAAAAACAATTTAAAATGAAAACTAAAAGCAAACAACAACAAAAATGACAAAAAAAAGCGAAAAAACCCTTCAATAAAAATTTATGATATAATCAACAAAAAAAACTAAGCGAAAACTTTTGCAATGAGGCAACACTAACATTTTTAGCCTTAACATTTATTGATAATCTTTACATAATTCAACATTTGCTCTTGCAGGTCTGTTATTGCACCACGCGAACAACAACAGTTGCAGCAGCAGCAGCAACAGCAGCAGCAACAACAACAGTAGCAACAACAACAGCAATGCCAATGCGATGAACTTTTCGGCGCTCAGTCTGCAGCCGCAGTCAGCGACAACAGCGAACAGCAGCAGCAGCCTCAACAGCCTTAACAGCAGCAGCAACAACAACCTTAACATAAACAATAATAACAGTCTGAATAGCTTAAATCATAGCAGCAGCAGCGGCGTCGGCGTCAGCAGTGGTCGCCGCAATATTTATATGGGCAACAGCTATCCGCACGCCATGGACTGTGATCCGCCGCTGGGGCAACAACAGATGCCGCCACCGCCACTGCCGCCCGTCTCGGCCGCAACTATGGCAGCGGCAGCGCTGCGTCTCGGCCAGACGCCATTTGGGCGCATGCGCAACAGCGGCGTCGGCATTGCGCCACACCAGAATTTCAGCAACATTAAGCATAATGGTAATGTAGTGCAATTGCCACCACAGCCGACGTCGCTGCTTCTACCGCCGCTGCCACCACCCGCCGCACATCAACAAATGCAACTGCCGACACAGCCGCAGCCGCATCACAGCTATGCGCCAGCGTCGCTGCCGCTCGACCTGATGCATCATTATGGCAACATGTCCGCCGCTGCCTCTCATCTGATGATGACCGATTCGAGCGTTATCAGCGCCTCTGCTGCTGGCGGACCTCCAGCTGGCTCCGGGCCGGCCTCATATGGGGTACTACTGTATCATCCGCAGCCGTTAGCTCCGCTGCCGCTGCCCATGCAAATGCCAGCTTCTGCGTCGACATCGTCATCGTTGGCTGCGCTGCCAGCGTCGGCAGCAACGTCCAGCGGTGGTGGCAGCGGCAGCGTCAGCTCTACAGCCGGTGCCAGCAGCGATGCCTCTTCGTCGTCGCCCATGGTGGGCGTATGTGTTCAACAGAATCCTGTAGTTATACATTAGCGTTACCTGCCGTCTATATAAACTATACTTTAAATGTTTCATTTTAATTACTCTACGTTTTTTTTACACCGCATACACACAAAAGTCTGAGCAGCCAGCTGTTGTGCTTCTTTTTCTCTGTCTCCTTTGTGTGTGCGCGCCTGTTTTCGTTCTCTTAGCTCGCCAGCGGACACTGCTATTTATTGCACATCCATCCAAACACACATACACATCAAAGCTAGCTGAAATTTACACAAACACTCACACACACACACACACACGCATCGGTTTATTTAAGTCATGCTTTCACCGTGCAGGCGTCTCGCTCATACACGCACATCCACCCACGCACACACATGCAAACACGCATTGCTCATCGCGTATACAGTTAGCAAGAGAGTTCTGATTAATTAGAACGTTTTTTTTTTTTTTTTACCTAGTTTTAAATGCATAAATTTAATGTAACCATAACGAAATAATTTTACTTATACAAAATCAAAAGTAAATTTTATTTAATTTTTAATTTAAATTATGTAATTTTATTTGAAGACCAATTGCGCAGTAAATTTCAAATGAAAATCAATTTTGTTTAAAAAGCGTGACCAACAAAAGAAAATATTCTATGCCACACAAATTGTACTTCATTTATGCGTTCCTAGATTAGCACCTGGGCGCGATAGTGCTTCTGAAGCTTATTGGCCTTGGTGCCCAGCTGCATCTGCCACTTGGACTGCACGCGCTTCATTAGATGAATGTCGCGTGCCTTACGCGCCGCTGCCTGCTGCTGCGTCTGCGTCCAACCCAGTGATCGATATTCGCTCAGCACACGATGCAGCTTACGATCCGATTTCTTGAGCGCCACTGCACGAGTAGGATGCAGGCGCTGTTTGTAGTAACGCAGCAACGACCGATGGCCAATAACGGCGCCAGAGGGCAAAACCAATTGATATTCATCGCCGTCGAGCAGATCGGGCACAACCTCTTCATCAATGTCCATGCCCTCTTTCTGCAAGAGAGAAATGAAAATCCAATTAGAAGGATAACCCCAGTTTCAAATACGATAGCAGAGCCGTTTTTTTTTTATCGATAGTGTTGAACTGAGCGTATGATATCAATTTGGTTCGATATCAATTCGGTTCGATACTTACATGATCTGGATAACTGGCGCTGTAGTCATAATATTCGGCATATTCGGCCAAGGCGACGCCTTCGTGCAGCATCTGGCAGTGCCCCTTGTCGATCATATGTTTGCGAACAGCATCCAGGGAATAGAAAGTTTTGCCACGATCGTTGCACCACAGGCAAATGAAGTAGTTGGCCACCTTCTCGCCAAGATAGTAAAGCAGGCCCTCGATGTCCGTGCAGTATTCGGTGTCGGGAATGAAGAACGAATGTGCGACCGACATATGCTTGAGGTTCTCCACCAGATCCTCGCTCTGGTGGTTACAGAAGAGGCAGTCGCGCTCGGTCAGTGGATTCTCGGCTATTTTATCCCACTCATCCGAATCGACCTAAAAATATCAACAAGAGTTTAATGGCATCTAATTTAACTCATAGCTGACACATACCTCCTCCTCTTCAATGTCCTCAAAGTCGTCGTCGTCATCCTCGTCCGCATCCACCTGCATTGCCCGTTCCGCGAATGCAAGGCGTCCTTTGCCCGCGGCGGCTGCTGCCAACGCCGGATGCGGACGCGGCTCCACAATGCTCTTGATACACACATCTGATACGCTGTCCGAGTCTGCCTGCTGCCGCTCTAATCGCACCAGCGCCTCCTTGTGCTTCTTGCTGTTGAGGTGATTGTCGTGCGCCTTCTGATTGCCGAACTGTTTGCGACAGGCGGTGCAATAGATGCTCATTTGTTGTTCCTCGATGGCAGACTCTGTCGCGCTCCGAGCACTTAGCACACGCTGCTGGAACTCCTCCGCAGTGACGGGCGGCAATTGCGCCACGCGCCTCTTCAGATTGTAGCGGTGCCAATCCGTTTTGTAGTGCTCCCTCTGTATTTCTGCGTTGGCAAAGCGCGCATCGCAGTTGATACATGTGAAATGTGACATGGTTGCGTTCGTTTTTTTACTTTTTAGATTTTTTGTATTTTTGTTTATAGGTTGACCGATTTGATTTTGGAATTTCGCAATGAATAAATGATTGAGAAAACAACAAAAGACTCAACACGTTCTTTAGTTAACGATAGACGATAAACGATAGACGAAAGTCTACGTGTGGCGGCTAACGATTCACCCTGTAGTACACGCGAGCTAAAGATGTGTGCTATGATACTCCAAGACGTTTTCACTGAATTTTTAATTATTGTCTAACATATTATTAATTATTAACATTCTGTGAGTAATCCATTGCTGTTTTTAAGCTGCATTGCTTGAAGCATTGGCCAGATATTAATAGGTACAATACTAGATGTATGTGTGCTTTCGATCCCTTTCATACAATAGAAACGTGGCATGTTGGATTTGCATTTTGTCAAATTAACATCACATTTTAATGGAGCGAGCCTCCAATAATCAATAATATTAAATAATGGGCATTAAGGTAAAACTTAAAAAAATAAAGCCGTGACTATAAATTTGTATATACGGTTTGTTATCGCTAACTGGATCGATATGCGATAACATAACGCGGGAATTGAGAACGGTGCATTTGGTCATGCGCACAGTTGCAATGCGATTCGATAAGAGTGGGCACCATGCAAGCCTTGAAATATTCGCACCGGCTGCCGCAGCCGATTTACCAGCCCTTCAAAAGACATAATGCAGTAAGTATACCGCGCTAGCTATAGCCAAAGAAGCCAAACTAATAAAACAAAAAAACCTTCAATCGCTGCAGACGTTCGCGGGCAAGCAGCACAAGTAGCGGACGTGCGACGCAAATACAGCAACCAACTACCCAGCCGTTGGAGGCGCCAAAGATAATTGTTATACATCCGGGGTCGCAGCATTTGCGCATTGGACGCGCTGCCGACCTCAATCCGCTGACCATTCTGCATGCGGTAGCCTACAGACGAGTACCTCAGGACGGAGTTGCCCCGTATCATGATCCATTGTTGCCGCCGCTGGACAGCCTCAACCCAACCCGGCTTCAGGCGGAGTTCGAGGAGCAGCGGCTGGCCGTTTCCCGTTTGCTGCAGAACTGCGTGGTCGATGAGGCCAATCGTTTGCGTGTCGCCACGCCGCCTCAACAGCTGGCGCACTTCAATCGTAGCAGCGTCGCGGAGCCAGTACCGCCTCCTGTGCCGCCCGAGGAGCATGCGAACTGGCACAGCGAAGCGCCACTACTCTTCGATGAGCAAATCCTCCGCCTGAACGCTAGCGATGCCGAAAATTACGACATTCACTTCCCCATCCAGCGCGGCGAGCTGAACGTGCATGGCGGAAAGGGCGGCTCCCTGCAGTCTACGTTGTCCCACCTGGAGCACATCTGGTCGTACGCGCTGGAGCAATGCCTGGGAATATCACTGCGAGACCTGTGCACGCACAGCGCCGTGCTCGTCGTCAACGACGTCTATGTGCGAAGGCATCTGCGCGAAGCAATGACGCTGCTGCTGCAGCGGATGGGCTTTCAGCGCTGCTTCCTCGTTCAGGATAGCGTAGCGGCCACCTATGGTGCAGGCATTGGCTACGGCTGTGTGGTGGACATTGGCGCCCAAAAGACCTCCATTGCCTGCATCGAGGATGGCATCTCCCAGCTTGACGCACGCGTCCGCCTCAACTATGGCGGTGGCGACATCGACCAGGTACTGCTCATGCTGTTGCGCAAGTGCGGATTCCCCTATCGCGAGTGCTGCGTGGAGCAAAGCTACGTGGACGCTCAACTGCTGGACGAGCTGAAGGAGCGATTCTGTCATCTGAATGCCAACGTCTGCGGGGCGCAGGAGAAGCACTTCACGCTGCGCCAGCTGCACGGCCAGTGGGTGCGCTACACCATCCAAGTGGGCGACGAGGCAATCATGGCGCCCCTGGCGCTCTTCCACACTGAGCTTCTGAACATAACGGGGAAGACGCGGGCTGTGCACACCCAGCAATCGGCGCAGGAGCAGTACGACTGCGAGGATTGCTGCGACGCCGAGTACCTGCGCGAGACGGGACGACGCAACGGCGTGCGTGCCGGAGACATGAGCATCATGGGCAACTCTTCCGTGCCCATACTCAATTCGGCTAAGCCGCCACAGCTGCCAATCACTGCCGACGACGAGGAGTTGATTGTGGTCGACCAGGACGAGACGACGGTCAGCAGCAATAGTAATTCGCAGCAGCAGCAGCAGCAACAGCAGCAGCAGTCGCTCCAGCAGCAGCATCCCAAGTCGAGCAACTCTTGGTACTTCAATGCAGGCGGCCAGATAGTGTCACTCGACCAGGCGGTGATCCGCTCGATTGGTCGCTGTGGCAGCTATGAGACACGTCGCAAGATGTTCGGCGCCATTCTGCTGGTGGGCAGCAGCGCCAAGATGCGCGGACTGGCCGCCTGGCTGGAGCAGCGCATCAGCCAGCAGGTTCCGCCCGGCCTCGAGGTCAACGTGTTCAGCAAGGGCATGGACGTGGGCATGGTCGCGTGGAAGGGTGCCGCCATCATGTCGGTTCTGGAGAGCGCACGCGAGCTCTGGATCACCCAGACGGAATGGCAACGCTACGGCCTGCGCATCCTGCGCGAAAGGTCGCCCTTTCTCTGGTAGAGTTACGAATTGAGAAGCAATCAACCGTATTTTTTATATCAAACGTGTATAGTTCAAATTATGTATTTATGCATTTAACAAATTTTACGAGTTTTTTAAGCGCCCATTGTTTCGAACCATGCTTCGAAAATTGTAAACAAAGCTCAGAAACAATTCCAGCCCGAGCTTTTTATCCACTTGGCAATCGGCTTGATTGGCAAGTATGGACTCATTCGTACTTGTCTGATTGGAGTACTTGCATAGCAGATTCATAATGTAGCTATTAACAAATTGATTATTTTCTGTATCGAATATGTATAGTTAATTAAAATTAAATATTTATAAACCACTAAAAAAAAACGTGTCAAGTTGAAAACTTCATTTGTTGCATGCCAAACCAAATGGGGAGTCATTCCTCTCATTCCACTCAATAGTAAATTGAACTTGTCCATGGCAGTTCCAGCAAATAAAATATAACGGTAACGATAAGCGGCTGCACTGAAGGTATCAAAGGACATCGCTTTAGCAAGATGAATGAATGTTATCGATTTCTTAGGCGCAGCTTACAGCACTAAACGGCAGTTAGAATAAAAATAAGGAAATAAACGTGTTTTTTTTTTTTCGTTTAAGAAAAACACATCTATATAATTATGAAATATACACGCTTATTAAAGGCACACTTGTTAACATTTTAGCAAAAAATAACAAAAGTAAAAAAAGACAACAAAAATAACTACTATTGAAACTATGCCAAATACTTTGGCGCGCTGGAGCCCATGTAGTGATAAAGATCACCCAATGTGGATCGGACTAGTTTTGCTTTTATGGTTTGCCGATTGAGTCGTTTGTGGGCCTCGAAGCGATGGCAGCCGCCAAAGCTGAAGTAATAGTTGCCGCCTTCGCTACCTGTAATCCACAAGATGTCAACCGGTGGCACATTATCGGCGTCAGTTTCCGCCTACAAAAGAGAAATTTTTACTGCTCTTTTCTTTTTCTACTGCTGATGTATGTTACGCACATCGATGGTGGCCATGAGTGATTGAACTTTCATCTCGTCCAGGACAGAGGGTATCGGCCGTTTGATGACGCTCATGGGTACATTGTGCACCTCCTCGATGCCCGCCGAGTGCACGGAATTATCCAAGTTAGCCATATGCTTACCGTTGCCCGAATGGGTTGAAGACTTGATAACTACTATTGGCAGCACGGCCAATGTTGTGAAATACAAGCAATTGCAATTAACGAACTACTGTTACTGCTGCTGGCGTTGCCACCCCCCGCAATTAGCTTACCTTGTTGCTGTTGTGAAGTCGCCCACAATTTTTGTCCACTGGGAGGCGCTGCGATGCGTCCACTCGCCTGCAGTGCGAATTGCTTAATGAAGTTCATGCAGGCGCCTATTGCAATCAACAAATTGGATGCAATATTCGCTGCTGGAGCGTTTAAAGTTGTTTTGTTTTATTTTGTATTGTATTTTTTCTTTGTATGCGTGTGTGTGGTTTGTCACACTTTTCTTTTAATTTCTTTTTTTCTGCGATTTTATTTTATTTTCTGCATAATCAAGAATCTTGTTGGCCCGCTGCCCCAAGTGCAAGCACTCGTAAACAAAGGCAAACGTAAATGCTACTTGATAAAAGTAAATGAAATCGAATTTTTAATTCAGTACAATGTTCTTGGGACTGGGAGTGTTTGCATTGCATACCCCCACATCTATGTATATACAGAGATATGTACATATGCATGTGTGTATGCGTGACGAGCGCGTCAGGCATTTTGATTATCATCCGTAAACTGAGCATTTGCAATCTCTGGCATACAAATAAACGTTGTTTTTACCACACGGCTGCCAATCAATAGATAAAGATGAATATATAAACAATGCTTGCTTGGAGGTGGGTCCACAATTATCAATATCTGCATACAAATATCAATAGTTTCTGCTCACAATTATTCAAAATAATAATAAGCTTTGCTTACAACACTGGTCAGCACGATGATCGTTCGTTGTACAACATTGCGCGCAGAACTCAAATTTAAATTCGAATTCAAATGAAATGATCTAGAACATGGCATGCAAATTGTCCAAGGCCATTTATCGAATTTCGCACAATAAATGGGCCAAGGAAACAAACAGAACTGCACATACTATATACACACGAATACAAGAATATTTAATGGGTTTTACCCGTGACATTGAAACGGCTGTTAGGGGTGCGCTTAGTCATGTAGACAGCCCAGAGCCAAGACAGCGAAATTAGAATTTTGTCTGCACTCTATCGAATCTCTATCTGTATCAGCTGACAATGTGAACGATCTTCAATTAAGCATTACGAGTTGTACGACAAGGCTGCGACAAGCGAATTCTAAGTAATTTCTTGAATATCGCGCACTGTTGATTTTGCTACCTCTTACAAAAGGTAACTGATGGCGGAAATGAATCAACAGTTATGTTTTGGCATTTGCTGCTATTGTCGCAGGATATTTTCAGTAACACAGCGCTATAAATATTTTTCATTGTTTTTTTTTGTTTTTCTTCACACATTATGCAAATTAGTTTAGTTAAGACGATTGTGTTGATAAGTAGCCTGATTATCGTGCAAATCGATGGCATTCAAGGTGATTGAGGATATTTTCAAATTGAATGTCGATCGATTACTGTCGACTGTTTATTTGCAGATGCCGATGGCAAGCGTATTGTCAGCAACTATGAGCGCATCAAGCAGCTCTATCCACAGCTCTCGTCTAGCGAATCATCACAATGGCGTTACGCAGACAAGGATCAGAAGCATCCGTGCAAGCGCGAATGCGTCGAGCAACAGCCCATGACCTGCTACTACTATATGGTGGTGCACTACGATGACACGATGGCCGATTCATGCAAGCGCTATCTCCAATCCAAGTACCGCTTCAAGCTGAATGGCAAGGACTATATCGATAGCTTTAAGCTGGCGGAGCTGGAGCACAACGATGATTGCAAATACGCCGACGGTCTCGAATCCCAGATCATGGTGGTCAATGGCAAGCTGCCGGGCAGTTCCATTGAAGTGTGCTACGGTGACACCATCGTGGCGGACGTCATCAACAGTATGCACGAGACGACGACCATACATTGGCATGGCATCCATCAGCGCTCCACGCCGCACATGGACGGCGTGCCCCACGTCACTCAGTACCCCATTGAGGCGGGCCAGGCGTTTCGCTATCGCTTCGAGGTAGACCATGGCGGCACCAATTGGTGGCACAGCCACACCGAACACCAGCGCGCCTTTGGGCTTGCCGGTCCGTTGATTGTGCGGCTGCCGCCCAAGCTGAATCCCCATGCCCATCTCTATGACTTCGATCAGTCCGAGCATGTGATCATGATACAGGACTGGGTGCATAACTTCGACGAGAGCGTCGCCGAGAATATCCTCATCAACGGACGGGGACGCAACATGAAGAAGAATAGCAAGGTAAAGCCCACGCTCTATGCTACGTTTGGAGTTATCCGTGGCGGTCGCTATCGTTTTCGTGTCATTTTCAATGGTAAGTGGTTGAGTAGTAGTTGTCGTAGTAGTTATTTAAATATTAATTATTATCGCTTTGCAGGCGTATCCAATTGCCCAGTTAGCCTGTCCATCGACAATCACGATTTGGTGGTGATTGCGAGCGATGGCAACGACATTGAGCCCGTTGAGGTGCAGAAGATTATGTTCCATGGGGCGGAACGTTTTGATTTTGTCCTGCATGCCAATCAGGAAATAGCGAATTATTGGATACGGGTCAAGGGCTATACCTTCTGTGCCATGAACCAGTTGCATCAGGAGGCGGTGCTGCACTACCAGAATGCCAATACCCAAGCCCTGGACACCAGCACACTGAGCTATGCCTACGATGCGCCGGGCATCATGCTCAACGAGCTGGGCGACGATGCGGGCGGCAATAGTGCGCAGAGCATATCGCTGGTTACCCTAAATGCGCAGCATGTGCAGCCGCCGCTCAGTCCAGCGCTCACCTATTACACCAGCATGAATGCGTTTGAGCTGCGCGGCGAGGGCTTCCGCTTCCAGATGGACGACATCACCTTCACCATGCCGAAGATGTCGCTGCTGCAGACGCGCAACCTGGGCATTGGGCAGTTCTTCTGCAATAGCTCGCAGCAGGCGGCGCTTGGCTTCAATTGCAAGAGTCGCCATTGCAAGTGCTCCAACGTTATCCAAGTGCCGGCCAACAAGAATGTGGAGTTTGTCATTTCGAGTAAATCAAATACGGCACATCCCATTCATCTGCATGGCTACACATTCCGGGTGGTCGGGATGGGTGTGCTCGGTGAGCAGCGCATTGGCCAGATAGAAGAGATCGACCGGCGTACACCGTTGCCACGTCGCGGCCGTGGCGCTCCGCTGAAGGATTCAGTGCAGGTGCCAGCCTTCGGCTATACCATCATCCACTTCAACACGGACAGTCCGGGCTATTGGATATTCCATTGTCACATTTCGCCGCATTCGGAGAGCGGCATGGCAGCTGTTTTGCGCGTTGGCGAAGATGTCGAAATGAAAATGTGTCCCGTTAGCAATTGCGGACTCTGTAGCTCGGTGGCGTAATAAACTAAATATACCTTAACCTTATGAATATTACATTTAAAATATATATTTACCCGTCACAATAAACCGTTATGCCGTTGCTCATGTCGTTAACCAGTGCTGTACAGTTTTGTCTCACATTGTGCATCGTTCAGCACGTGCTGTTTAGCTATCGACTATCGATAGACAAAGCATGTAAACAAACAGAGTTTGTAGAACAAATTTTGTACCGGCTTCCTAAGCATAAAATGTCTTACCTACGAAAAGGCAATAAAAACGCTATTGAAACGGATTCAGAGGACGAGGACTATGCGAAGCTACGTTTGTTTGCGGAGGCTACTGATCACACACTGCTCAGAAATGATATGTATAAGAAGGAACTAACTGTAGAAAGTTCAGGTGAAGCGCCGGCAGTTGCGGCTCCAAAAAAAACTTTGCCCAAAAGCGAGCGCTATCTGGCAGATGAAGATGCAGCTCCCGTTAGTGATCTGCAAATCAGTAAGGAAATGCAAACACATCTGTGGGGCAAACTGAGTGCGATTATACAAAATCAAGTCGAATACTGTGAGAAGACTGATCAGCCAGCCAGCGGATCGGAGGAGGAGAAGGAGAATGGTTGGTTCAGTCAGGTCAAACTGCTGTCCAACGCCGATTGCTATGTTGCTGATGACATAGAGCCGAAACCTGGTCCACAGAAGAGGCCCACCATAAAGAGGCGCCTGCTGGACGTCGACGAAGAGCAAGCGAACACAGACGCCGCTCTTGCTGCCATCGTCGTCGATGGCGACTCAATACTTAGCGGCCGGGATATGAAAAGCTGGGCGCCACGCAAGTCACGCAAAGATAAATTCCTTGAGTACAAAGCTACTGATGCTCTGGGCCGCAAGCTGCAGGCGATTGAGCCCACAAACGAGTTCACCAAACAGCGACGCAAGAACAACTGGAACGAGACAAAGATTAGCCAAAGATGCCGCAATAAACAGAAAAAATCTTAGCTCTAATAAAATTGTTAATTACTGTTAAGTTTTTATTAAGAATACTAGATATCCCTCCTGCTGCAATGCTCCAATGAGCCATGATTGTGATTCCTTATTTCATCATAAAATGGAACAATTTAGATAGAATAATAAATCTATATTCACAATTCATTTACATTTTAAAGTACAAAAAGCGATTAGTTAGTTAAAATTGCTAAAAATTAAAAACTCGCCATACATGAGCTTTTATAACTCATGTATTTTATTGTTTATTTGTTAACATTTCATATTCCTGAGTTTCCTTTCCTTAACTTTTCACAACGCTCTTGTTTTTTATATAGGGATTATCTACTATTATTCCTCAGTTTAGAAAATCTCTCTAGATATAAATATATATTTAATTATGTACGGTTATTAAGCTGTATTACAAGCTAGTTATTTCCATTTAAAAAGATTCTAACTAAATTCAATTACAAACATTTACATGCTGCTCTCTCTCTATATATAGATATATATACCAAAATCGATTGGACATGTTATTTAAGTATTTTTCTATCTAAGAAAACATTAAGTGTAGAAATATATATATAGGGTATTTAAATTTCGGCACTTTGAGGCTAATTATAAAGGATGCTAGTGGAACTTTCATGCTGCAACCATGCTGTATGGCACTCTTCTGATCCTAACTGTTCCGAATTAAGCCAATAGCATCATGTAATGCTGTTTTAGGTATCAAAGTTGTTTTGATAGTTCGTTGTGCTGGCCATCGTGTTGCTGTTGTTGTTCATTTGGCCTTCAAGCAGGCCGTATAAGGCGTTGCTGTTTAGCATCTGTTGTTGGCCGCTGCTCACGTTGCTCAGCGAGATGCTAGAGTTGGTGCTGCCGCCGAGCTCTTGCAGCATTTCGCCAACAATGTTGCCCATGCTGTTGCTACCAGTCGCGCTGCTGCCGCCATCTTCGCCTGGCTGCATTTCGAGTATGTTAAGAAAGTCGTGCCCATTGAAATCGTGTTGGTTGTGCTGCTGTTGTTGCTGTTTCTGCATGCTGCTCTGGCTCTCCTTCATCAGCTTGTCGTAATCATGCAACACGCTGGTGAATTCGTTGATCTCAGCGCGATTGCGCGATATCACCTTATGTTTGTAGTAGTTGTGCACCTGGGTGAGCGAGGTGCCCGTCATGCTGAAGTAGGCCCGCTCGAGCGGCAGCAGCTGCAGATCCGTTGACTTCTCCAGTTTGTCATCGATGTCGTAGAAGTCACGATACTCTATGATAAAGCTGCGCATGAATTCCTCGGCCGCATCTGTCAGCAGTATAACCGCCGATTCAGAGCAGTCCGTGAAACCCGCCAGCCGGAGCAGGCCGCACATAACTTTACGCATCGCATGCCGGCAGGTGTTGGTGGAGATCTCTGGATATGGTTGTGGATCGCCTCGAGAGAATGCGGTATCCACAGTAGGTATGAACCAGATGGGTTTCTGGAACTTTTGCTCGCTGACTAAGTCGGCGGCGTTCTCTGGCGGAAAGTCCACTTCGGGTATCATTTGGCAGGGATTTAGCAGATAGTTGGAGGTTCCCTTAATACGGCAAACACCAAGATTAATATGTGCATATTCAAATATTCAAATTGGCTTACGTTTTTGTTCGAGTAGGTGTCGATGAGGGATTGCAGCACTTCCGTTTGTTTCATAACCTCGATGGTTTGCGTGACCAGTGAGCTTTTTAGCTCAATTTGATCTCTATACAAAAATATCCATTACGCTGTGTTACTAGTCGGCGGACTTCACTGTACTCACTGCTTATCCATGGTCATCAAATCCCCGCGCTGCCGTAGCTCATCCAGTTTCGGCTTTTTGGCCGTCGTGGGCACATATTTGTCTAACGCAAATGTCCCGCACTCCTCCTCAATGGCGCCCCAGTGTTCTTTTTGCATACTGTTTACGCTCGCTTAGCTTTATGTTTTAGTTTATAAACAATTGCCGCTGTCCTGTCAAATGTCAGAATTGCCAGTTATCGATAGTCAGAACAAATCAGCTGAGAGAGCTTCGGCTAGTGCGTTTACGTGGCAACGCCTGCTGTAGACGTTACAGTTGTCAGATATACAAATTTTATTAGCGATTGACAGTTGACTATATTTGGCAAATTTGCGTTTCTATGGAGAAATATGTGTCTTTGTGTAAGTTGAAGACATCGATGATGATTAGATGATTGCAGTTAATCGCTGGCGCCCTTGACAAATGGCAGCGCCCCTAGGCGGTCGGTCGGTGGCAAGTGGCAACGCCGCTTAAATGGCAAACAGGGACAATATGTAATATTGCCTCGCATTATTTGTTTTCTATTTAGACTATATATTACTTAGGTAAATTGTAAGTGGGCACAAGGAACAAACTGAAGACAAAATTCCACAGAGACGCAGACGTCGCCAAGGTTTGTACGCGCCGGCACACAGCGCCAATATGCATCAGCAGCACATGGATCTCCATGCCCCAGTGGACCTCAACAAGGTAAGTGGAGCACCTCCAATAACTTATCATCTAGATTGAAGCTATGCCAATAAATGTGTAATTCTTACAGTCCCTGGATGAAATGACGCCGGAGGAGCGAATGCGGTAAGCCGACACACCTACATTTACTGATAACTAGATATTTGATAGCGTAGTTCAAGGTACACTTAGCTAAACTTGAATTATTTGTGTGGGTTCTTTTCCTTGTAGGGCCGAGCACCAGTTGATGGTTGAGAAACACAAGGGCCATGATGCCATGCACTCAGAAATGGTTATCATATTGTTTATGACGTTAGTCATTGCCCAAATCATATTGGTCGAATGGAAGAAGCGTCACTACAGATCCTATGCATTTGTCACACTGCTGGCCATGTGGCTAATCCCGCTAGTTATCTCGTGCACCTTCCTCTGGGTACGATTCATTATCATCTGGCTGATATTCACGTGCATTACGGCGCTAGTCATGCGCCGGGCCACAACAAAACCCATACAGGGCACAACGCCCAGGTGAGCGAGAGAGTGAGAGAGAGATAGCGAATTTCATTGATTTTTGTATTAGCTGAAGCTCATATACATATATTCATTTTGTTTGCATTCACAGGCTCGTTTATAAGTGGTTTTACTTTATTTACAAATTAAGCTATGGCCTCGGCATCATTGGCTATCTGGTCATAATGGCCGCCTTTTTTGGCATGAACTATATATTTTCACAGCCGCCCAATACCTGGATGGATGTGGGTCTCATGTTCTGTTTCTATGGCCTCTATATTGGCGTACTGGGTCGCGATATATCCGAGATATGTTCAGACAAAATGGCAGCAGCCATAGGTGTAAGTCGAGTCCGACTACTCATCTTAGATATGTATATTTATATATGTTTCCATTTGTATTGCAGTACTACACGCCGCAGGGCATGCCCACACGACATCTGGACAACAATGTGTGCGCCGTGTGTGGCAATCAGTTGCTGGTCTCTGAAAAGGAAGAGGGCGTCATCGAGAACACCTACAAGCTGTCGTGCAATCATGTGTTCCACGAGTTCTGCATACGAGGCTGGTGCATTGTGGGCAAGAAGCAGACGTGTCCCTACTGCAAGGAGAAGGTCGATTTACAGAAAATGTTTCGCAATCCGTAGGTGGCACATAAAGTTTTCTATTTTATGACTTTACTTATGATTTTGTGTCCATTGCAGTTGGGAGAAACCTCATGTACTCTATGGCAGGCTACTGGATTGGATTCGATGGCTGGTCGCATGGCAGCCGCTCATATTCTTCATAGTACAGGGCATCAATTGGATGCTGGGCCTTGAATAGGCGAACAAATCTAACTGTCCAATGGCGACTAGTCCAGCACATCGATTGCCTAACACCCAATGTGCTTTACACTAACCAAAACAACCAACCAACCAAGCACCAACAAGACCAACTATTCCAAAGCTATATAAAAAAAGAGAAAATATTCTAAAAATCATTCAAATGAGGCGTACAGCTAAATCCATCTATGGCTTCCTTCAACTCCTTTCGAGGCTTGGTTCGTTGTCCTCCCAAATAGAGTTTTTTGTTGCACATCCTCAGTTTCAATTTCAGTTAACGTCACGTTAGGGCCCACAGTTGAAGCAGAGAGCGATGCATCTATCTACATATACATATATTTCCATTATTCATTATTTTAAGCTGTATAACGATTAACTGGTATTTTAGAGATAAATACATATATATGTATATATGTATATATGGTTACATATGTAAATATATATGTAGATATACTTGGGCAACATGTATCTATATGAGCATATATAGGCATATATATCTGTATATATATATATAAATATATATGTTGTGTGTGGTGTGTATGTTTGTATTACGTCGACGTATTATGCGTATTTTGCACTGGATATTGAATTTAATGATCTATATTAAAGTAATGGAAACATTGAGTGGATTCTAAGAAAAATCATTTACTTTGCCTTTAGATTTGGGCTAAACGAATGAAATGTTGAGAGATGTACAACAACCCCATAAAACTGGTTTTTATTGATTTTATGCGGAGCCTTATGGTCAGAAAAGGAAATGAAGACCCCTTGTATGCATTATAAGCTTGTTATAGTACTTTGGTAATGATCACTAAACATATACCCTTTAAGAAGAAAGAAGAGAATATTCAAGTTCTCTTCAAATCTATGGCTCTATAGAAGGCGGAAGGTTTTGCTATACCTATAATAAAGGTATTTCTAGATTTTTCCTATGTTTTAATGGGCAAAACCTTAAGCTTTGCGAAAGATCTAAGATATATAGGGCAGCCATGTTTATAAAGGTTTCTTAAAGGTATTTAAATTGGCAATACCCTTTAAAATAGAATATGTTCTTCTTTTACAAATTATTTAGCTTTGTTTAAACCTGAGGTTTCATACATTTTGTTGACACATACCCTGTAAAATGTTCTTTCTACTTTGCAAATCCTTGAGCTTTCCAAAAATAATATTAATATAATATAATAATTATCTTTGCCTTTCATAGCTTACGTAGGTTTTCGTTCTATACATTTACAGAAGTGATATATAGTATATCTATAGCAGGTTCTAGTAGACTCAAAAGACACTTAAGATCTGTTGGTCCCTGTCACGAAACCCTTTGGTTTTTGTAAACCTTGTTTATTCCCAACTTGGTTACGCCCCGTCCCGCCCGCAAAGGCCAATGCCGCCTCCTGAAGCGAAGTTTAATCAATAAATTATGCGCTAGTATGGAATATGTAGTCGGATGGCAATGGAAAATTGCACGCTCGAGCCAATTATGCGAATCATTTTGCATGAAATGGCAAAGAAAGGCGGAGTTCAGCAGCTGCAGGCGGACATCAGCAGCGATGAGGAGTTTGAAAAGTTTTTGCAGCGACCCGGATTGCTGGGTAATATGGAAGAGTAGACAAAGAAGAAGTTGCCTAAACAGAAAACCAACATAAGCATTCTCGATTTCTAGTGCTCGATATATATTCGGAGTGGTGTGGTCCATGCTTGGGCATGGTGGGAAGTCTGCGTAAGATCAAACTGGAGCTGGGTGGCGATAATTTGCAGCTGGCTATTGTAAGTCCCATATTTGGAGGTTATGTTCGCAAATAATATCCAAATCTCAATGAAAATAGTGCAAAGCGGGCTCAATTTCGTATCTGCAGCGGTTTAACAAGAAAAGCGAACCAACCTGGATGTTTGTTGCCGTAAGTACGACAGTGAAAATAATAATTCGGTCTTTCAAATGAGTGACAGACCCCGACTTGGGCGCCATCTCAACATGCTCTCACCTTTCCCTTGTGCTCAATTAGAATGGAAAGGCGATTAACATCATGTTCGGCACCGATGTGCCCAAGCTGGTGTCCATGATCACACGTGAGCTGGAGGCGGTCATCGCTCGAGAGCCCCATCAGACCTACGAAATAATCGAGCTGCAGCCGATTGAGCTCGAACAGTTGCGCATTCGTAACGAGGCGCTCGAGCAAGCGGCCAAGATCGAAGAGGAGGAGTGCCGAAGGAAGCGCATCGAGTACTTGAGATATGTAACCGATACGATTATGGAGAATTTGCCAGATATTGGCATAACGGTATTTGGTCCACAAGTGAATCGCGATATGTTCAAGAAGCTCTCTGAGCCGGCAGATCCACTGAAGATCCAATGCAAGGACCGCAAAGTCTTTACAATCACCCAAAGTGATTTCAACACCGTCAACTTTGCGGCCGAGAATCCATTGCCTCAGGAAGTTATCCAACACTTGTACGACAAGGAGCTGCTGATGTGCTTCTGGAAGGTGGAGGAAAATCTTGGCACGCCACCCAGTGTACTGCAGCAGTATGCCAACGAGCTGACCAAGAACATCATCAAGCCACCCGATGAATTCAACGAGGAGGAGACCGTTCTACCTCCTCTGATAACAGATCTCGAAATAACGGTACAGGTCAAAGTTGAAGGTAACTGAATAGAAAATCGATTTGGATATTTATCAATTGTGATTTTCCCATATTGAACGGGCTTTACGTTTCCAGTGGAAGCGAGCCCAGAAGATAACCCGGAGGAGCAGAATCCAGAGGATGCTATTCAATTCAAGACCATCAAAATCCCACCGATCTGGGTGCCCTGTGACCAGAGGACGCATGCAGCCCTCATCTATACGTATTTCCGGGCACAGACCGCAACATTTTTACCCCCCGACCCAGTGCCAGAACCTCCGCACATTATCATGACCTACGATGCGTACAAGAAGAAGGACTTGATCAATCTGGTGGAAGCCTGTAAAGAGGATGTGCCACTCTATGGCTTCTTCTCCAGCGATAATCCAGAGACGGCCGTTTTCATTGCCAACTCCGTGGAGAAGTACAATGCCAAGCCCTATGTGCCGTAAGTAGAGAGCTTCTACAAAGATTCTACATCAATATCAAAAGATTTCTTGCTTTTCTAATTGGATTCCAGCACCGATAAAATTGTGCTGAAAGTGAACAAGGTGCCGGGTCCAACAATTCCGTTGCTCATGGAATATGGACCTAGCTATGTCAGTCCCAATTCCGTGGTGGGCCACAAGGAGGCAGCCAAATTCTTTCCGCCCACCTACAAATCCGCACAGCAGGAGGAGGCCGAGCTGCATGCGGTCAAGGCCGAGAAGCCCAAGAAGCGCAAGAAGGTGATGCACTACTCCAATACATATAACTCTATATATAGCTACTTCATATCTATCCTTGCAGAACAAAAAGGGTGGTGATGTCGAGGAGTCTGAGCAGGCCAGCGCCAATGCCCAGGACAATCAGCAGGAGGCCGATGAGGCGGCCAAAGTGTCGCCTGAGGAGGGCGCCTCTACCACTAGCAGCGGCGAGGACAGCTGCGAAAGTCGTCCAGCGACTGCCGATGGCAATAATCTGTTGGCCGATGCACCTCCATCATAGTGATGGTTAACTGAAGTTTTGGAAACCTCTTTCTCTTTCTCTATCTCTCTCTCTCTCTCTTTCTCTTTCACCTTACGTATACTACATGGCATGCGATGCTTAATCTATAAACTTACCCTAGCCAATTGCTTTTGGCACTTTCTCTGCTGAATTGCAATTTTAATTATATAAATTATAAATTTGACTTAAATCTAGTGCTTATAAACGCATTTATAATGTACCCAATCTGTGAAAGTCTGCGTCATAACCTCAAAATATTTATTTTAACTGACAACTCAATACATTCAATTAATTATAGTTCACAATGGTGAACGGAAAAGTCTGTAGACTTTATAAGGCCAGTGTAAACTTTATGCTTCGAATTTAAAGTTTTTAGGAATATTATAATGTAATAAAAAACAATATTTTCGAATATTATTTAAAAAATATATATTTCAATATATAGAAAAAGAAACATTTGACAGCGGCTTATAAATTGTAAGTTTCTTATAAATTGTAAGTACAGTCGAAACAGAAATGAGCTAAGAGAAAGTATGTGAAAAACAAATTCAAACTAGTTAAACATTACTTTTAGGTTTAGGAACAGGAATATCGATATATATCAAAAGATGTATATACTCTATTTATATTCACTTGTTAAGTCGATTGCTTTTTGTACTTTGGTATGAGGGGTCGCCTTTGGTAGCTGCCCTCGAGATATTGCCAGACGCGCTTGCGCGCCTTCAGAGTGCGCGCCGCTTCCTCCTGCTCCTCGTGCAGAATCTTCTGACAATCGGCAAGCAAAGATTCCAGCTCGAGCTGGTCAGCAGGAGGAGTCTCCTTCGACTTGGCAACGGCCTCGTCGATTTGCTGAAAGTCTATGTCCAGATCGGGTCCCCAAACCGGATCGTTCTCGCCTTTCTCCACCGCCTCGTCCACTTCATTTGGATCAATATCGGAGCCCCAGTCGAGATTGTCGTTGGCCAGTTTGCCCATGCGACAGGTTTGACGCAGTTTAGCCAAACGGGAATTGGGCTGAACGGTTATTGGTTGAGCTTTGGCTTGCTCCTCGTCCAGCCAGCAGCAGCCCTGCAGCGTCACCTGGGGCATGAGGTAGCCAAAGGTGCTTTTCGTGCTGCGCTGGTAGTCATCCTTGATATAGCCTAGGGATTTGAGATGCTCTGCCAGGGCCTTGAACCACGCTATGGAACGGTGTGAGCCCTTGCCAAAGTGCTCATGGCTGCGGCACTCGCTGCTGATGCACTTGCTCCGTGAGCCACGCAGAGCCATGATGAGTTTGCCCAGACCCAAGCGCCCATTCAGATCCCGCAACATGCCCAGCAGCAGACGGGATTCGTCACTCACGTCCAGCGGAGCGGACTCCACTTCGACAGCTGGCTTCGCTTGCCGGGCCTTGCGGCAGTTGTCACAGCAATTAGAGCGCTGCTGCAGTGTGGCCAACGACGCTCGGTCATCGAAGTAGTTGAGTATGTATTGGCGTCGACATTGATTGATCTGGGTATACTCCAGCATGGCCTGGGCCAGCTGCTGCAGCTCCTCGCTGCGCTGCGCCGTCACAGGCTGGCTGTGCTGCAGTCGCCGGTGGATCGCCGCATCCGCCTCGCTGTAGAAGAGCACGCACTTGGCCGGCAGGCCGTCCCGGCCGGCACGTCCTATCTCCTGGTAATAGCGCTCCATGTCGCTGGGCGCACCGTAGTGCACAACCAAGCGCACATTGGGCTTGTCAATGCCCATGCCAAACGCTGTGGTCGCCGCCATAATTTGCACCACGTCGCTGGCGAAGTCCTGCTGATTTCGACGCTTCACCTCCAGCGGCAACTTGCTGTGGTAGCTGTGGCAGGGTTTGCCCCGGCTGGACAGCTCCTGGGCCATGTGCTCCGTGTCGCGTATTGTGTTGCTGAAGATGATAACGGCGCCCTCTGCTTCGGCAGCCCAGTTCAAATATTGCTGCAGATCGGACCACAGGCTCGAGCTGCGCATACGAACTGTTAGCTCCAGATTGGGCCGATCCAGGTTGCTACACAGCACCAGAGGTCTGCGCATCTGCAGCTGCTCGCAGATGTCCAGGCGCACACGCCGCGTAGCCGTTCCAGTGAGTGCCAGGATGCGCACCTGGGGCACAGCTGAGCGCAGCTGGCTGAGCTGCCGGTAGGCGGGACGAAACTCGTGGCCCCACTTTGAGATACAGTGTGCCTCATCGATGGCGATTAGCGCAAGATTGTGGCCCAGATCACGCAACATTTTGAGGCCATTACCACGGGTGATGTACTCCGGCGTGGCGTAGACCAATTTGAACTGAAGCGCCAGGATGCGCTCTTTGATCGTCCTATCCTCCTGCGCAGTGCCCAGCAGGCAGGCACATGGCCCAGACTTGGATCTCTCGTTCAGTGCGTTTACCTGATCTTCCATCAATGCAATCAGCGGCGATATAACCACAACCACCTTGTTTAAGTAAAAAGCTGGAAACTGATAGCTCAACGATTTGCCATAGCCGGTGGCTATAACTGCGCACACATCGCTGCCACGAGGCTGGGCTATCAATGCGCGTATTATCTGCCATTGGAGCGGCTTGAACGTATTCAGACCGAAGTGTTCCCGCAGACAGCTGATGTATTTCTTTGGTTTGGGCAGCATAAAAAAGAAATTTTAATTGCTTAGCCGGCTAATTCTGATTGGAGTACAACTACAATACAGTACATTAGAGATGAGCGTTTGATGCGCACGTGCGGCTGCTAACGTAAACTTTATATCTTTTAAGCTGTTTCTCTGCTTCCTACATGTTTGTTACATGTGTTCGTGCACCTGTTATGTCATATCGCAGCATATTTACAATAAGATAACGTATACATAGTGCATTGCTTCGAACAACTGCACAGCTATCGATAATTCGTTAGGAATAGCGAGGATACAATCCCAAATTAGCGACATCTGTCGGCTAAATTATTAATAATGCCGATAGATGATAACGATAGTTGATGTATGTAAATAAAAGATAAGCAAATCGCGAGGCCCAGCTGATGCTGAGCCATCTCTAGAGTAGTGTAAACAACAAAACCATATACACATACACATATTTAGCTATTATTGTTATTAAACAAACAAACGAAACGATGGCGAAAATAGGCGAAACAAAAATACCAATTAATGAATTCCTCGACGCATACAGACGCCAACCATGCCTCTACAATTCACTATTGGACACCTATAAGAATCGTGTGGCCCGCGAAGAAGCATATGAAGCGATAATTAGAACATTGAAAATACCGCAATTGACAGTGCTCGATATTAAATTGAAAATCAAAAGCGTACGCACCGTTTACACAAAGGAATTACGAATATTGATGCGAGAAAAGGAGATGGGCCGATGCTATGAACCAAAACTATTTTGGTTCAAGCGCGCAGATGCATTTCTGCGCGCCGTTTCGCTATCCCATTGCAAACGCGTAAGTTGTCCAATAACAATTTTGTTTGCATATATGTATGTACATGGAACTATAAACAGTAAATCTTGTAATAGGCTAAGAGCAAAGATGCAAAAGTAGTCATCAAAAAGGAAACACCACAGAAAATGGTGCTCAATGCCGCTAGCCAGATAATTGAGGATGCAGTGCAGCAGCCGGAGCAACAACATCAGACGAAGGATCATCATGATGAGCTGGAATCGAATGGTCATATAGATGATGTATTTCATACGGATGTGGATGAGCATGCTAAAACGACTATGACCACAGGCACTAATACCCATATACCTCCAAACGCAAGCAGTCAAACGGACGATCTACAGAGCATATGCTCGGCACACTCCATACGCACGCCGCCCAATAAGAGTGAACTTATCATTGATGACTCGCAGCTGGGCCTTATGGAACAGCAGCAACAACAGCAGCACCAGCAACAACAGCAGAATCAGCAGCAGCAACAGCAAACGTTGCCGCGTAAATTAAAGTATATGAACTATGGGCAAAGCCAACATCAACAGACACAGAGACTAGCAACGCCCTTTCCGTCGCCATCACCATCACAACATTTGGAAATAGCAACAAATGGAAATCCAAACTTGAGCTTCTCTGGCGGTGATGATGATCTGTTTGCCTTTGGCCAAAGTATTGCCTCACAATTAAGGTCGATAGTCGATCCATATGCTCGGTCCGTGGCGAAGCTGCGCATACAGCAAGTCCTCTTTGAGGCAGAGACCGGGCAAAGTAGCGAAGCAGTCAGTACGACGCATTTGCATAGTTTTTAGCAGTGCAACAAAAAGACCACTATAAATCTATAAATCATTGCATTTAAGATTGTTGTTTAAATGTTTATTTATATTTAGTTCAACATATTTTTAAGAAAACCAAGCCAAATATATGTACTTTAATTATAATTAATAATTAATTTAGAATATAATATATACACATCTGTGCATAGGTGGAAAAACATAATAGTTCTTTAATTATCATTAGTTATTTGAATAATTAATTTTAAAAATGTTTTATAGGAAATATTTAAAATTTACTGGTGAGGCTTTATGTCTACAAGTAAAGAAACATTACAAAATATATACTCGTATATGTGGCTGATTTAGTTATTCAAAAATTACGAAAAGTAGGTCTTGATTATACCGACTGTAACTCAAATACAATTTCGGCTAAACAAATTTGCGCTCGTTGTAACAACATTTTATTATATCGCATTTAGTATCGATAAAAATTTAAGCATCTCTACCATATAGTGCAGCCACCAGTTTGTTTAATCACAGTGCTGCCTAGTAAAGTCATTTTCTTGTTGTTTTGTTTTGGTTGAATGAGCGAACTCAAAAGAACGGAACCAAGTGGGCTATATTAAAAAAATTATATAAAATGTTGTAAGTTTCCTTTCATTTTTTATTTTCTTTTTGGCTAATATGTGTCAATTTTATTTTGTTTTATTTTAACACATCCAAAATTGTAATATCTACTTATTTAAGCTTCAGGTGTCAACTCAAATTCACCATTTGCTTTATGTCATCCATGATATGTAACGAGAATTGAAATTGCGCATAAATTCAGAAACTATCTCTTATATTTTAATATTATTGGAAAGAAGTTAACATATTTACGGGTAAGCACAAAATCCGTACAATTCCATACCCAACTTTACACAAAACGAGCATATTGACACTAACATTCAAACCAACAACTGCGCGTTGTGAGCGAAAGATATTTGTTCGCATTGTGGTAACTCCAATCATTGAACCACAATTGTTCACAAGCTGCTCTGGACAGCGATAGTGTTGTTTCTAAAGTATAAGTGTGTAAGTGCGTGCTGAGGGAATTTAACAAACTGAAATTACAATTGTCGAACCAAATAAGAACGTTTTTAGATCGAATATAAGATAACAATAACAGCAGCAATATGCTGCGGTTTAATGTAAATGTAAGTATCGACCATTCCTTTTTACTTAATGCAGTTTGCTACACACATGCTAAGTGCATTGTGTGGCCTGTGGCAATCTTTTTTTTTTTTTTTTTTTTTTTTTTGTTCATTTTGTTACACTTTTTTTTTTTTTTTTTTTGCGACTAAACGATTATTTTGACATTACTTTGGCACCTTTGGATTTTCATTCCTTTTTTTCACTTCGTGCTACAAAATTTGTCGTCGTGCGTACGAAAGTTTGTGTGATTGGTTTCGGTGAAAAAAATGCGTACAGGACCATTAAATGTATTAAGAATTAAAAATTGAGCAGGTAAAATATGGTGCGCGAACTGCTTTTGCAAGATGCTCATTATATGTATATATCTATATATATATGTATATATATATATATTTATGTATATATATACATACAAATATATACGTGTATGTATGTACGTGCAGCAGACTACAGATTTATGTGTTGATAGGTTCGTACAAAAAAGCATTTGTTGCCATAGCTTAAAATGCAACAACCAAATATTGTTGCCCATAGCTCTCGATGTGCCATTGGCTTTCGTACAATCATCTTCACAAGCAATCTTGCACGCACACATACATATATATATATATATATATACTCAAACGTACATATATATATACATATATTTATGTATGTGTACATATATTCAAACACAAACACACATTCAAATACGCATACATTTGTTGCTGCTCTTTTTCGGCGAATTCGCTTTCTGTTGTGGTTGCAGCTGCTGCGGCAGCGACCGCGGCGACGTCTACAATAACAGCAGACAACGTCGACACCTAAGACTTGCTGCAGTGATATCAGCAACGTAAATTAATAGAAATCATAAACAAGTTGCGGTTAACGTTGTATTCGTTCTCCTTATTATTTAGCGTCTGCTATCTGCTTCTAAATGATGTGTGTACCAAGGCCCTTCAATTTGTGAAATTAGTGCAAGCTAAGCGAAATGACGGTGTTTGGAAACCTAATGGAAAGCCGCTATTTATTGATTCACATAAGTGCATAGAGCTTCCTAACTTTAAATTGTCAAAGGCATACACTTACTCACACCCACGCATGTGTGCGTGCGTGTGTGTGTGTGTGTATGTATGTGTGGGTATATACATATATATGTAGCAAGTGGGGCCAGATTTGTGCTGCTTTTGATTGACGTTAGTTTGTATATAAAACAGCTGACGTTTATCGATAACATTTTCATTGTGCATCGGCAGGTTGTAAAAGCAATTCATATATTAGAAATCCTAAATTGTCGAGTTAATACATTTGTCACCTCAAAGTGAAGGTAGTACACTAATCGTTTTGCACTCGTAAACACATGTTAAATTTTTATTTTATTTATTTATTTTTTTTTTTCTGCTTGCTGAAATTCGTTTTCAATTGCAAGTGATGTCTGTGTTATTGTTGCAAGTAAGCAGCAAGTGAATTGAAGACGAATCATCGGTGGCGACAGCGACGTCGTCGTCGTTTTCGCATCGGCGGCCACAGCTGACAACTGAAAACTGAAAACGACGAAAGCGCAGTTAGTTTAGCATTCATTTCATTTGCTCGAAACTCACTGGCTGGTCTTATTTATTTGTTCATTCCTGTTTTATTTATTGTCGGTAGAAGTCGCGTATTGTTTCAGTGTTTAGAGTGCGTGCCTCAAGTGAATTACTCGGAACTGCACGGAATTTTTATTTTCTATTCTCCGTTTGATATATATATAATTTTTTTTTCCTATCAATATTACAATTGTAAAATTATTGTAGTTTTGTGAAAACTTTCAATTATCAAGTGTGCAAAAAATTAATTCTTGACTTTTTGCAGTTTATTAAAGACTTTGACGTATAAAATTTGAAAAACTCGATGCAATTGAAGGATAAACGAAATACTGAATTTTGAAAAAATTATAACTACGAATTAATAATATTTAGAGGAAGAACAAATAAAGGAAGGAACGCAACAACTTGATTGAACCAATAGCTTTCACAAGGCGGCGTCGGCAGCTAACGCAGCAGCAGGCGTCAGCCATGAAGGTTGATACCGTTAAACTGAAGAAGGGCTCTTCGGAGCTGACTTCAGAATGTCGCGAATTGATTGATGAACTGACCAAACGACGCACTCGTCCCGAATTGCTAGAATTTTTGGATACAGTGCATGTTTGGATATACGGGAAATGTGAATTATATCATTGGATTGAAATATTGGATCGCTTCGACAAAATACTCGATGAGGCGGCTCGCCATGTCAATGGCAATGAGTTTGTGCTGCAGTGTGATACAACATTCGATGAATCGGTAAGTCTTTAAGTTTGTAAAAGATAAATGAAAACGTAAATGTCTAGGTGTATATAAAATGACCTAATATGCATTTACATGTACATATTGATATAAATTTGATATCTCCCATTGTCCTTCTCTCACAGGATGTTACTTTGCTACTGCACGTACTCAATTTCACAACATTGCTCATCGAGCACTCATTCTCGCGTCATTTGTACAATTCAATTGAGCACCTGACGCAGCTACTGTCATCACAGAACATGGACATTGTGCTGGCCGTGCTGAATTTACTCTACATGTTCTCCAAGCGCAGCAATTTCATTCCACGCTTGCCGTTTGAGAAAAAGGAATTGCTTATTGTCAAACTGTTCAATATCGCTGAGGTAAGCATTATTTAGAAATTTGATGGAGCCAACTTTGCCAGATATACTGATTTTATATGTTTCTCGCATCTTGCAGCGTTGGGGCGATCCAAACTACGGACTATCCCTAAAGGACTGCTGCATTGGCGAGCCAAAGCTAGAATTCCTTTATCAGTTGTGCATTGACTACGTCGATGAGAATGGCCACGCTGCACAGCTGGAAATACCAGACATGATGGATCTCTGCCAGACAGCGGCAGCCCCAGAAGTTATCAAAACAATAGCCGGACAGATCTCAAAGCCCAGTGAGGCCATTAAGGTCTGTTCTGATTGCAATTACAATTGGAATTGCTCATTATTTGTATGGAGCATTTTGCAAGTGATTAACTTTCCCTTTTACAGATGCGCATTGCTCATCGAGTGCGTCTCATTTCTGGCTTTAACAATTACAAGTTGCGTTTGCAATTTGTGCAGGCGCGCCTGCAGGCTGTATCGATATTGATATACTCGAACGCACTGCAGGATAACACAGACAAAGTGCTCTATCCTGGCTTCGGAGAGGAGCTATGCGAATTGATTGATAAGGAAGATGTGCATTTGGTGGAAATACGTGCCGCTGTGCTGCGTACGCTTACATCAATGCTCCACTTTGATCGTAATCCCAGTGTGCCCAGGTAAGACATCGAGGGATATACTGAAGTGTCTTTCTTAATCCTGCGCATCATTTAACATCTGATCATTTGGCAATGATCTTTCTTTATTTCAGAGCTGGCTCCCGTTTGATGAAAATCGTGCATTATACGGGCGCTGAGAGACAAGGCGGCACACTGCCTTTGCTAGTGCGCGATTGCATTGATAATTTGACCACACACGGATTGACAGATCGCTATCCATTGATCTTAGCCACCTCGCTATTCTCATTGCTTTACCATCTGGCCAGCTATGAGCTGGGCGGCTCGGCACTTGTCAAGAGCGGCATGATGCAGTCGCTGTTGCGCGTCATTAGCTGGCCGGGTGTTGATCTGGAGCATATTACATTTGTGACCCGCGCCGTACGCGTTATAGATCTAATCACCAACATCGACATTGCACGCTTTCACCAGAACAACGGCCTCAATGTCTTCATTGACCGTCTCGAGAAGGAGATCAAAAGCTGTTGCCGTGCCCTAGCCGAAATCGGCATCACACTGAAGGAGTCGACGCTGCGGGACGAGCACAACTCTACAGATAAACTAGACGGCTCTTTGGAGCATGCCGATGATGATGGTAAGATACTTGAATAATTGTCCTAATTTGATTGCAATACGCTAAGATGAAACTACAATTGCAGATGCTGCCACAGAGAATGCATCCGTGGCCAGTGGCAGTGCATCTCCGCGTCGCGATAATTCGAGCAGCGAAGGCAGCGGCAGTGCCAGTGATAATGCTCAGCGTGCCTATCGCGTCTACATGGAGCACAGCGGCGGGGATCATTCGCGCGCTGCTGGCGCTGGGACACCAGCCAGTTGGCTGGAGATTGGCTCCCGCGGCTCTGGCATACATGCGCTGAGCAGCCTGGCCGCTGCCGCCAGCAGCAGCAGCGATGCAGCTGGTCGCGAACGACCTGTACAGTATCCGGCAAATAGCTACTATGCTCGACCACTGGCCGAGCGCAAGGCAGAGCTGTCGTCACAGCTGCGCAGCAGCTTGCAGCCAAAGAAGCCATCGTGTGTGACCCAGCGGGCGGCGCTGTTGAAGTCAATGCTGAACTTCTTAAAGAAGAGCATTCAGGATCATGCACACTTCAGCAACATGCGCAACATTATGGAAACTAGCCTGACTCAGTCGTTGCGTCACATCATCGCCAATGCCGAGTATTACGGACCATCATTGTTTTTGCTGGCCACCGATGTGGTCACCGTCTACGTATTCAATGAGCCATCGCTGTTGTCATCGCTGCAGGACTTGGGCATAACCAGTGTGATGCTGAAGGCGCTCCTGCAGAAGGATGTGCCGGCAACCCGCGAGGTTCTCGGCTCTCTGCCGAATGTGTTCTCAGCGCTGTGCCTGAATGAACGCGGCCTCTTTGAGTTTCTATCGTATGATCCGTTCGATAAGGTGCTACGCGTGCTGCTCTCGCCGGACTATTTGGTGGCTATGCGACGCCGTCGCAGCTCGGATCCTTTGGGCGATACGGCCACCAATTTAGGCAACGCCATGGACGATCTGATCAAGCACCATCCATATTTGCGTGCCGATGCCACCGAGGCGATTGTTCGCTTGCTCAACGAACTGGTACGCCTTGGATCTGATCCCAGCTTCATATGCTGGCGCGCCAACAAGGAGAACAGTGTCACTAGCTCCGCTCACGTGGTGGCACCGTCAACGCCATCGCCATCGGCTATGGTCATGGTGGCAGCTGGGCCAGCACTGCAGAGCGCCGCCGATAATAACGACAGCAGCGGCGACGATGATGATGATGACGAGGAGATGAGCTCCGCATCCCAGCAGCAGCAGCAGCAGCAGCAACAACAGCAGCAGCAGCAGCAGCAACAACAACAACAAACGCGAGCCAGCGCTCAACAGCCGCCCGTTGTGGCCAATCGTCAACAGCAAGCGCAACCACAGCAGCAACAACAACAACAACAGCAGCAGCAGCAGCAGCAATTGCTGCCACAGCAATCACAGCAACAACAAGCACAGCAACAGGCGCAGCAACAACAGCCACAGCAGCCCGAACGCGAGGCCATACCGCTCATCGATTATATACTGAATGTGATGAAGTTCATCGAGGCGATCTTCAGCAACAGCCCCAATGGCGATCACTGCCGCGAATTTGTGCAAAAGGATGGCCTCAAGCCGATACTGCAGCTGCTATCGCTGCCCAACTTGCCAGTGGATTCACCAGTATCGACCACATCCCAGGCTGTGGCGAACGTCTGCAAGGCGATCTTGAGCCAGGCACAGGAGACAAAAGTATTGGACGTGGCACTCAAGCAGCTGGCCGATATTGTGGCGAAATTGAAGCCGTTGATCAAGCACTTCACCTTTCCGGGCGGCAGCGTGCTGCTGGCGGAGCTCGTGTGCTGCCAGCGGCTGGAGGACGGCTTTGCCAATGCCGAGTACACGCCCATATTGCACAACATGAGCTTTGTGCATGGCTATGTGGTGATGCTGGTGCATCTCTGCCGCAACGCGTCCACTGAAATGCGCACTGTGCTGCTCAAGCGTTGGGGCGCCAATCGTGAGACGGGCGTGCAGCTGCTGCAGCAACTGGTCCAGCTGTACATATCGCTGGTGTGGGAGAGCACAATATTGTTGAATCTGTGCTCGGATGAGCCCACCCAGCATCCGGATCTCATATGGGACGAGATTGCTGCACAAATGTCCGCAGCCGCCGGCACAGCGGATCCAATGACCGAAGCCGAATTGTCACGCAAATTGGAGCGCGCTGCCGAATTCCGTACCAAATACACGCCCGAAGAGCAATTCCGCTATATCAAGTCTCTGCTGGCGGCCAGTTCGCGTCTGGGCCGTGCCCTGGCTGAGCTGCTGGGCACTCTGGTCAAGCTATCGGTGGGCTCACCGCAGGCGCGTCAACGTCGCATCAATGACCTCATTAGCAACATTAACAAAGTTCCTACGCCGGAGGCGCGCGAAATCGCTCGCATCCTCAGCTCCATACTGGTGAATGGCTTCAGTCATGAGAGCATATTGCCCAAGCCGGTGCCCAAGCTGAAGCTAACGTTTCTCATCTGCTCGGTCGGATTCACTGGCCCGATGCTGTTCGACGATAAGCGCAGCGCCTTCCACTTGATGATCTCACAGTTTTGCGCCGAGAACGGCCTGAAGGCGTTCTTCGAGATGTTCTATTGGGCCCTGTCGCTGGACAATGTCTCACAGAAATTCGAGTTCGATCAATGGGCACCATTGGATGATCTGATGCAGCCGCATGAGGATGATAAACGCGACTGCCCTGAGGGCACAGGAGAGTTCCTGGATGCCTGGCTGCAGTTGCTCGAGAAGATGGTGAATCCTCGCGCCATGCTCGACTCACCATACACGATGAGTCCACGATTCAACTACATGCCCGACAGTGTGCCCTTCGAGCCGGTGTTCTATCTGATTCACATACATCAGCTGGCCATGCAGGCATTGCGCCGGATCTGGTGCCGTCGCCCCATACAGAACTACGGCACCAGCATGTTCGAGACGATGCTCTTGATATTGAAGCACTTGATAAAGTCACATCAGATGCTGCTCGACCGTTACCATACGCGCATGAAAGAGATCAAATTGGAGAATCTCTATATACGCAGCACAGACGACGGCCTCAATGCTGACCACATCAAGACTCTGACGGACATGGGCTTCCGCCATTATCACATTATCGAGGCCCTGCGCAGCAATGCCTCGCTGGAGGAGGCCACAGACTATCTGCTGAACAATCCGGAGGCAAGCGCCCTCTCGCATTCGGCTCAAGGACAAGCTGGAGCCGGTGCTAACACGGGCACCGGATCTGCCACTGCCACTGCCACTGGCACTGGCACTGGCACTGGTACTGGAACAACGACTGGCGCTGGATCAACTCAAAGCCTGTCGCAGGGCAGCTCGGCATCGAATGCAGCTGTTGCCGGCGACATGGACGTCGATATGGAGGTGCCGGGCAGCGGTGGCGCCACTGCGTCCACATCCAGCTCGACCACGGGTGCCGGCGGCGCAACCACGGATGGACCTGCCGCCACAGTTGGAGCTACGTCATCCCAGTCGGCGGTCAAGCCGGCACCCAGCCCAACCGGCTATGACTACAGGCAACTGAAATTGATGCCGCCATACGTATTCGATCGGTTCTGTGACGAGGCCGTGTCGCGCGCCTTTGAGTTCATGGAGGCCATACCGGACACAGTGAACAGTGCGGCTGATCTTATAGCCGTGCTCTACAGACGCCTCAACCAGCTGAATCGCCAGGTGTTCGTCACCAACTTTGTGCGCAACATCATTCAATGGGTGGACTTCACCCTGCAGCTGTTCGAGCCGACAACGGCCGCAGCTGCAGCCGGAACGGGATCACCAGCCGGCAGCAAGCCGGCACCGAAGGCCAGTCGCTTGGAGGAGTGCTTGACTGGAATGACGGCCACACGCCTATTCGTACGCCTCAAGACGTCCACGCTGCTGCTGGAGGAGAACTACAGCGATATGCATCGTCCCCTGGTGGAGGCCATCACTGCCCAGGACGCAATGGTGTCCCTGGTGAAGCTGCTCGACTGCATGAGCCAGTGGATGCTGGATCAGGCCCAGCTGGCAGAGGGACAGACGCGTGCTCCGGTGCCGCGCTGGGTGCAGAATCTGGTCGATCTCATCGATGCCATCGATAGCATCAGTCACATACTGCAGCGCAAGTCGAACATGCGCGCGGTCAGCAGTGACCTGTGGCGCTGGTACGACGCCTCGACTGGCAAATGGAATGCCTACTCGGACGCCAACAATGAGCTGATTCGCAGCGCCTATGCCGCTGGCGAACGCTGGCTGCACATCAATATTGGCCGGCAGCGATGCACCGTTAGCTTCAACTGCATGACCCAGGTGAGCGATGCGTCCGGCAGTCATCGGCCCGTCTACCCGGCATTGAAGATCTGCGAGGCGATTACCCAACTGCAGAATCCCATTGCACCCCAGAAGATTGACAACATACTGAATCGTGTGGTGCGCACATCGCCCGACGGCAATGGCACCATACAGACCGACGAGCTCGTGCCGCTGCGCCAGCTGATCAATTTCAATGAGCCACTGGCACCGCCGCCGCCGCCACCACCACCAGCCCCCTCGCAGAGGCAGCAGAAGAAGGGCGACGAAGGGGCGGCAGCGGCAGCGGCAGCGGCAGGGGCAGCAGCAACCCAAGATGACTTGAGTGGAAACCACTCGCCACCACCGGCCATGACAACGCGCAGCAAGTCGCGCCAGAAGAGCGCCGCGGCTGCCGCTAAGGCCAAGGCCGCTGCAGCTGCCGCCGCCAACAGCAGCAGCAGCAGCAGCAGCAGCAGCAGCAGCAGTAGCCACACCACCCTCAACGCCTCGTCGACGACGGGCATACCGAAGCGCACACAGAAGATTGTGCTCAACGAGGAGAACGTGGGCCTGAGCAAGTTCGACTGCGGCCGCATCATCACCAGCATTGTGGCATTGCTGCAGACACCGCATTTGCTGCACCACGAGACGAAGCTGTCGCTGCTGCGTCTGTGTGCCCGCCTGACCCGTAACTTTGAGAACGCCCAGGTGTTCATACGCTGCGGCGGTGTGCACATGCTGCTCCACTTGCAGCAGTCGTGCAGCTTCATGGGCTTTCCCACCTATGCGATCATCATAATGCGACACGTCCTGGAGGCGCCGCCCGTGCTGCAGGAGGCGATGGAGCGCGTGCTGGGCATGCGTGCCGCTAGCATTGTGCCGGTCGGCCATCGTGACCTCATCTATGTGCTCACCCAGGTCTCCACAGCGGTGTCGCGCGACCCCAAAATCTTCGTGGCCGCTGCCAAGGAGATGCTCAAGGGCGAGTACATGATCAATGCGAATAGCAGCAGCAGTCTGATAGATGACGGTCGCGTCATGGTCAAGTCCAAATTTGGCCAGCAGCCAGTGGCGTCCACAACGGGCGCGACAGGCTCATCGACAACCCAGAAGGAAACTACACCCAAAACTGACATTACCGATGATCCAACAGTGCAGTCCTCCATTGCCGTGCTCAAGGAGCTGCTGCTGGCACTGGTGCAGCCCTGCTGTCATTATACCGCCAATGTGGCGGATCAGCCCCAGCAGAACTCAGCTGCCGAGCTCCTGTTGCCCGATCAACCGCCAGGCACAACAGCCGGATGCATGGCGAGTCCCGAAGAAGACGTAAGTCGAGACTCGAAATGTTCGAGTAGATTAAGCCAGGTGGCTGAAGGTGTTCCCCGAAAGGGATATTCAGGGCAAGACTAAAGTCTGTTCAGGGTATCTCCCAGTCGGGCACCTGCGATCATTGCACTCATTTTACCCCAAGCTAAACAAGTTCTAATTATCGAATGCCTCTTTCGTTGCAGGACACAATTCCCAGCTTGAAGAAGTCAAGCGGCTCAGCCACATCGATTGGCGGTGTCTCGAGCTCGACGAGCTGCAGCTCGGAGAAGTACGAGCCGTGCTGCTGCACCTGGCATATACCGACCAGTGCGCACAACCACAACAAGCCAACGCTGTCGCGTGCCACATTGCTGAAGCTGCTGGCGGACGCGACACGCGCCTACCAGTCGCTGGTGCCGCGGGTGCTGCTCGCGCATGTGTATGCGCCGAGCGATAGTCCATTGATTGGCAGCGAGTCGCAGAGCTTTCTGGCCGTGATGCTCGATCGTTTCCTGCCGCTGACCCAGCGCCAGCATGTGCCCGAGGTGAGCACAATGGCGCGTGTGCTGATCTGCTCGCTCTCGGATTGCTATCAGCAGGCGGGCGTGCAGCAACAGGTGGCCGAGGAGCTGCATGCGGCGGTGGCGCGTGCACTCGCTCAGCCGGACTCGGCCGAGAAGCACACACGCCTCCAGGTGCTAATGAGCCTGTTCCCCAACCTGATTGAGTCGCCCATGCTGTACGATAAGGTGCACATGCACCGGAACACAATGTATCGGGTGCTGCTGCGCCAGGGCGTGATGACCTATCTGACCAAGGTGGCCCAATACAAGGACCTGTCCAATCACAATACGCTGAGCACCCTGGGCGCCATCTTGCGCCCGATGGAGATTCTGCTGCGCTTCAATGTGGCCACAACAGCGCTGGGCTCGAAGCGCATCCTCTTCGGCGGCGCCAGCTCGGCCGGCAATGGCGGCAGCAATGGCAACAACAGCAACGCCAACGGCATGGGAGGAGGCAACACGGTTAGCGCGATCATCAATCGTCGCTTGTATCCACGTCTGGCGGCGCGCACCGTCAACGCAGCTGCGGAGCGCTCGGGCGCGATGGGCAGCGGCGAGCATGTGCTGCGTGATATCATACGGAATGTGCTGTCCGATCGTCGTCATGCATTCGAGTTCATATTCAATTCGGATGAGATGGCCGTGGACTCGGAGGACTCGGCCCCGCAGGCATCGTCCGGCTCTGGCCCGGGCAACAGCGGCGGGCCCGGCATCATCGGCGGCAATCACAGTGCAGCCGCCATCGATGTTGGCGATGAGCGCAGCAATGGCACCGAGGCCGCCGAACCACCGCCGCCCGCTAGCGGCGGAGCTGGTAGCAGCTCAGCAGTGCGTCCGGTGCTCAATTTCGATCAGCTCTGGGACGACTTCCTTCAGTGCGAGGGCCTCTTCTTGGCATCGCGCGGCGGCAGCAACGGCAATGCCAGCGGCAGTGGCAACGCCAACGGGGCCATAGGATCTGGCGGTGAAGCGACTGAGAACGGCAGCAGTGGCTCTGGCTCTGGCCAGACCCTTGGCACCACTGGCGCCAGCTCGTCCGGCAGCAGCTCGGCCGTTGGCAACATTGGCGATATGCGCTTGCGTGGCAGCAGCAACTCGGACGTGGATGTCGATGGCACCGGTGCCCATGGCAGTGGCAATGCCAGCAGCAGCGCCGCCAACGACAATGGCCTGGCCGGCACTGGAAGTGGCAGTGGCAGTGGCAGTGGAAGCGGCAGCGGTGGCGGTGGTGGGGGTGGCAGCGATGGCGCCTCCACTTCATCAGATACCGGCGGCGGCAACGGCAACGGCGGCAGTGGTGGTGCTGGCAGCGGTGGAGTTGCCAGCGCCAGCAGTGTGGGTGGACGTGGAGGCGGCGGTGGCAGTGGCCCACGCTCTGCAATGCTGTTGGGCGATGTCAGCTCCAGTGACTCGGACTCGGAAGCATCGACGGAGAATGATGAACGCAATGCTGAGGAGGAGGACGATGACGATGATGATGAGGCCGCCGATGAGGAGGCGGACGAGCATAGCGAAACGGACGTGGATGAAGAGCGTCCGCGCCAATATATTGAAGTATTTGATCATATCTATGAGCCGGAGTCATCCGAGACGGCATCCAATGATGCCGACGTCGATGCCGAGGATGATGACGAGGACGACGACGACGATGATGACGATGACGATGATGACGACGATGAGGACACTCGTGCACGCAATGCCGACGATGCGGCTCTCATCGACGAAGTTCTCGCCCAAGTGAATGGCACCGGCAGCAGCTCGGGCACCTCGGCCGCAGCCAACTCCAACAATCGGCCACGGCGCAGCGCCGCCATCGAACCGAATGGCGGACATGGTGCGGTCGGCGCTAATGGCATGGAGCAGGCGTCGCGTGACACCAATGTGTTCCTGTATGAACAGCTGGGCGACGCCGCCGACGGATTCGAAACGGCACAAATGCGCGAGATTTTACGTGGCCATGCGCACGGACACGGACACCTGATGCCACAGCCGCCATCGAATTTCCGTGTGCGCATGAATAGCTCGATCGCGCTGCCCCTGGACATAGATGTGAATGGCGGCGCCTCGTCGTCGGCGGCGGCGGCAGCCGCTGCTGCTGGACGCAACAGCTCGAATGCCAATTCGGTGGCAGCCGCTTTGCGCTCCTCATCCGATTCGTGGATGGCGCCCGACTTCAATTTCATTGGCCGTGGCGGCGCTGGCACGGATGCCGCCAATCCTGGGGACGTCAATGTGAACGGATTCCTGCCGCCGGCCATGGTGCAGCTGGAGCGCAATACTGGCGGCGGTGCCGGCAACAATCCGACCATGAGCAATCTGCTCGACGAGCAGCCATCGACAGCACCGCCGACTGCGGCAGTGATTAGCACCGGCGGCAACAGCGGCGCCGCCAACGGCACCGGCAGCACTGGCGGCGGCTCCAATACGGCGGTTAGCCATCCCAACAATTCGTCGCTGTGCAACACTGGCGTGCGACGTCGTCTGCTCTACCTGGACCAGCAGTACTGCGTCTGCATGCCCACGCACCAGAATCCTACCGAAGAGACACAAATGGAGATGTTCACACAGGATGGTGAGTGACGGATCACAATCCTCCTCTATAGCTTTCTCTAACGATTCTCTTTCACCCCGCAGCTCTGCACTGGTGGCTGGAGGAAGCCAAAGCCCTGGACATGGAGAGCCAAACCGATGCCTGTCTCTATGCGGCACACTTTCTGCTGCCGCACCTGATCAAAGAGCTCAAGCTGGCTCATCAGCAGCGCAAGCAGGAGGAGGCCAATCGCGTGGCCTCGGCCGCAGCGGCTGCAGCTGCTATGAGTGCTGCCTCTGCCTCATCCAATGCCCCAACTGCTGCTGCTACAGCCGCATCGGCCAGCACAGCCGGTGACTCAGGCGCAGCTGCAACCGGCGCTAATGCGAATGCGACAAGTGCCGCGGCCACAGCTGTCAACAGTTGGCTCACGAGCACGTCATCCACAACAACCACCAGCAGCAGCAGCTCCAGTGTACTTGCTCCGCCGCCATTACCACCGTCTGCACAACTGGCCGGATTTGCAGCAACAGCGGCGACAACAACGGCATTGACGCCAGCCTCAGCCACCAACAATTTCCGTAGCTCCATACCCAGACTGATTCCATCGATGCAATTCATGAACGCCACATCGCTGCCCACGGCGCCGTCGGCAACCTCAACAGCACCGCCCACTCTCACGGCTGCGCACAGCAACAACAGCGGCAGCGCCGCAGTCGCAGCACCACCCGCTGCACCAGCCGCAGCACCACCCGCTGCAGCAGCAGCAGCAGCTCCAGCGCCTCCAGCTGGTAAGTTTGCTCTATTTGGAATTGCATAAATATATTTCTAATTATCTTTATTCCTGCTAGCTGTGAGCGTGGAGCCACGTCGGCCGCGACAACGCAACAATGGCGCTCGCCATCAGGCGCTCTACAATATATATGCGGAGATTGATTTGACCAACGAACAGGACTCGGTCAGTCCTCCGGATCAGCCTGCACAGCAGCAGCCAATATCGCAGCCACAGCAGCAGGCACCACCCCAGCTATTCCCCAGTGCACAGGGCCCGTCAGCGGCCATGGGTGGTGGCCATGGTGGCATACCGCCATCGCATCCGCCACGCCATCCACCAATGCCGCATCTGCCCAGCAGCGGGCGGCCATCGCGTACACGAACACGCGCCGAGGCGGCTGACATCATGGAGTTCCATGTATGAATATTAGCATCATGTATATATGTCGTATGTGCTATATATCTGTATTTGTCCTGCTTTTTCCAGATGAACGAGTCGCGCCAGAACTCGACGCGCCGCAACAACAATATTATTGCCAATTCATCGCGCACCGCCGCTGGTGGTCGCTCCAGTCGGGAGATGCCCGTCGCTCGCTTGCAGCGTGTCTCGTTGTCTGGGCGCCTCAATGCCGAGGATGGAGCTGAGAACAGCGATGACCGTTGGCGCGAGTCGCCCGTGCGCTTGTCGAATTCCGACTTGATATTCCCACTTGATATGATGCCGAGCAATTTGAACTTCCCCGATCCGCCGCCGCCACCGCCGCTGCAACCGCAGCCACGTGTGCAGCAGCAAGAACCGCAACAAGACCAAGATGAGCATCCGGAGTCTGACTCGGATCAGGATTTCGTGCCAGACTTCTCGAATACCACAGATCACACGACCCTGTACGACCCGCCGCCGCCAGATGTATCCATATCGGAGCTGGCCGCTCAGCTCATGGTCAACGATCAGCGCGAGGAGGCCCCCCGACCATCACTGAGAGACCCACCGGAGCCTTATAGTAATCTCAACAGGGCAACTCTCTCAGCCGTGGCCGCAGCTGTTGTGGCCGCCGTCGAGGCAGAGCCGGTGCCAGACTTTCCCGATTTGGAGCCACCCAACGTAAGTTTGGAGTTGCGCAGTCGCAGGAACCAGCAGCACGCAACGGATCCGAGCTCGCTCTTTGATTTTGACACAGCAGACGAAGCCGAAGCAGCTGACAATGCGGCTACTAGTAGATTTGACAATGCTATTGCGGCTGCTTTGTCAGCATCAGCCGCAGCCTCGGCCGCAGCGTCAGCCGCAGCCGCAGCCGCAGCTGCAGCCGTAGCCTCCGCCTCAGCCGCAGCCACAGCCTCAACCACAGCTACAGCTACAACGACATCAACATCAACATCGACGTCAACTACAACCACTAGTGGTAGTGGTGGTGGCGCCACAGCCAGCGCCGCCGTTGTCACCGACATGAGTCCAGAGGTGCGTGCCGCATTGGGCGACCTGGAGGTGCCCGAGGGCGTGGATCCCTCCTTCCTGGCCGCGTTGCCCAGCGAGATGCGCGAGGAGGTGATCCAGGAGCATCTACGCATGCAGCGCATACGCCAGCGTGCCCAGCAGAATGCCATACAGATTGCGCACGATTCGCTGGTGGAAGTGAATCCGGAATTCCTAGCAGCATTGCCGCCCAATATACAGTCGGAGGTGCTCATGCAGCAGCGTATCGAGCAGCAACGTCAGGCGGCGCAGAGCGCCAATCCAGATGACCCCGTCGATACAGCCGCATTCTTCCAGAATCTACCCGACAATTTGCGTCAAGCTGTGAGTCGATATGAATGATGCTCGGTGTTTATATAATTTACTTATGTTGCATATTGAAACTCTCCCCACACAGATACTAACTGATATGGAGGAGTCGCAGATAGCAAGCCTTCCGCCGGAGCTGGCGGCTGAGGCGCAGTTCCTGCGTCGCGACTGGGAGTCACGCAACGGCGCTCGTATGGACGCCCATCCACCGAGTAATGCGCTATGTAAGTAATAGATCCAATTGGCTTGGCATACAGAGTACAGATGCTTGATAGAGGCTAACAAACGCCCGAATTTAAACCTTTCCCCACTTGCAGCTCGCTTCCAGACCACGCTACAGAATCTGGATGAGGCGCGCTGGCACAGCGCCATCTGGTATGATGCCAGTGGCAACGCTCAGCCGCAACATCATCAGCACACGACAATTGTGCATCATCATCATATTGCGCCGGCCACAGGGAAGCCGCTGGCCTTGCTGATGATGGAGGATGAGAATATCTTGCTCGATCCGGACTCACTGGCCACGCTGCTGCTGTTCCTGTTCGTGGAGGATCAGAAGGTGAACAGCGTGCGGCTGCACCGTGTGATACGCAACCTATGCCATCATGAGCCGACACGTGACTGGATCATCAAGGCCCTGATTAGCATTATACAGAAGACAAACGAGGATAATTCGAATTTCGGCGTCGCCAACTCGGGCAGCAAGCCCGAGTGGCTGAAGCTGCGCGTCGATGCCGCCTTCGGCTACAAGAGCAACATATTCCTAATCAATCGCATGTACGAGGGCAGCGCTCGCAGCATCAGCATCAATCCGCAGGCAGCCCAAATGATTGTGCGCAACTGCCTCGACCTGTTGTTCGTGCTGGCCAAACACTATCCATTCAGCTTCTTGCCCTACAATCGTGAGCCGAAGTCGCGTACCCGCATGCTCAACTCCGTGTTCGGCATGCCCAATGTCGGTGCCTCGTCGCGCTTGGATGAGGCAGCGGCAGCTGCAGCTTCCTCTGCGGCCAGCGGCGGCAACGGGGATTACCGCTCACGCTACCATCGCTATCAAATGGCCAATCGTCTGCGCGGCATTCTGGATGACCAGCTCCAGACTCAGAATCAGCAGCATCAGCAAATGCAGCTGCAGCTGCCCAAGGCACAGCCGCTGGATGAGGCGCCATCCACATCGAAGGCCGCTGCAGCCAAGGCAGCTGCCAGCGCTGCTAAGCCGCCGCCATTTACCAACAATAACAACAACAATGACGGCACCACTGTCGCCTATCAGACCAACGCGCACAGCTTCTGGGATGTGGTGCTGAATATAGATAGGCAGACGCCAGTGCGTTTGGCCAATGTCTCACAGTTTCCGCTGACCTCGCAGCCGCCCTGGAAGTGGCAGAGCAATACTAGCGACTTTTTATCCTTCACTGACTCGCCATTTGGGCAGCTTCTGGAGATGCTGCCGTACAAGGTCATCTGTCGTTCGCCGCACTTGACGGACATGCTGGTCAAACTGTTGGCCTCGCTGAGCGTTGATCTGCCCAAGGAGGAGGAGCAGCAGATGCAGGTGCATCTGCACCATGGGCAGTCGCAGCAACAACAACGCCAGCAACACCAGCGGCAACAGCAACAGCAACACTTGCAGCAGCAGCAGCAGCAGCAACAACAACAACAACAGGATGAGCAAATGCCCCAGCAGGATGAACAGATGTTAACACAGCATCTGGATGATGAATTGCCGGCCCTGGTGCCGCTCAGTCAACTTCAAGAGGATATGCGCTCCCGAAATGCCAGCGCAGCACAGGGCGAACCACCACGCCCACTGCCGCAGCTGGTTGCACATGATGAAAACGATTCCGACGACACAGAGGAGGAGGCAGAGCCAAGGGCGGCTCCCAATCGTGAAGCCGATGATGCCGTCGACGACGACGACGACGACGATGACGAGGACGATGACGATGAGGACGACGACGATGCCGACGACGATGAAGATGACGAGATGGCATTGCCGAGAGGAGCAGCAGGCGGTGCTAAAACGTCAAAGCCACTGCCACCAACACCATCGGCGGCCGTCCACTCGCACAAGCCACGTCGCAAAATCTATGCCAAGAACTTTTCACAGCTGCAATTGGTGATTGAGGTGTTGACCCATCAATGTGGCACCACTGAAGGTCTAGACAACGTTACTAAATTGATAGTGAATCTCACGCAGTGCTCACAGGCATCGAATGCCATATTTATACAGTACTTGACCGCCGCCATTCTCGGCCTGGCCGAGGAGGTGCGTCAAGCCATACAAACGCTGCTCAACGAGATCAGAGCGTACAATACACATGGCCAGCATACGGTGGACGCTAACAAACCGGGCACGAGCAACGCTACCATCGGCGCCGGCGGCAACGCCAACGCCAGCCCCAGCCCCAGCACCAGTACTGGCGCCACCACTGGCAACAACAACAACAACACTAACAACAATAACAGCAGCGCAAGCTCTAACACAAACAGCAGCAACAACAACAACAACAATACTAGCAGCAGCAGCGGCGCTGCCTTGCTGACCAATTTAACCGTCCACGAGGGCACGATGCAGGATCGCTTCACATCCGAATCGGTGATCATATCGGCCCCAAAGAATGCCAAGCCAACCTGTGAGCTGCAATTGCCATCAATGAAGAAGCTAATGTCGAACTCGTCGGCTCAGCCCTATTTCCTGCGCACGCTGAAGATATTCATGCAGGTGCGCGACATGTACGAGGTGCAGAACAGCCCGACGGACGACACTGACGAAATCATTGACATTATTGGCGATGCGGGCGCAACGGCAACAGTTGCCCCGAACACTGCGGCTGCAGGTGCAGGTGCAGGTGCAGGTGGCATTAGCAGCAACAGCATGGAAACCGACCAAAAGACATCAAGTGGCAATGGCTCCAAGAGTCCAGCTGCCAAGCCGACGCTCAGCCAAATTCTATGCCTGGACGTGCTATGGCACACGCTGAGCGAGTGCCTGGTGGCTTTGGAGGAGTCCAAGGATGAGTTTGCCGTGTTGGTGCTCCAGCCGACTGTTGAGGCCTTCTTTCTCATACACGCGTCGCATCGCGTAACACCCAGGAAGCCCGGACGTGGCGGCAGTGCAGCTGTAGCTGCAGCTAGCAGCGGCTCGGGATTGCGCGTTGCTCCGCATCCCGTGACCGAACATATTCCACAATTGGACGACACAAACAGCAGCAGCAATAGCAGTCAGGCCCAGACTTCAAATAGCTTTGAAGGTGCGTCAAGCGTCAAGCGGAACGTAAATGCGATTTATGCAACACAAATTGATCCGTTATCTTTTGCCTTACAGATGAATCCCGCATGCAGGATGGCTCCATAGGTACTGCTACTGGCCAACAGGTGGCGCTAACCGCCCACGAGGCCCAACTGAAGCAGGATCGCCAAAAGTTTTTACAGTTCGCAGAGAAACATCGCACGGTGCTTAATCAAATATTACGCCAGTCGGCCACACATCTGTCCGACGGCCCGTTCGCCGTATTGGTCGATCATACACGTATCCTCGACTTTGATGTTAAGCGTAAGTATTTCCAGACCGAGCTGGAGCGACTGGACGAGGGCATACGCCGCGAAGAGCATACAGTTAGCGTACGGCGTGTTACCGTATTTGAGGATTCATTCCGTGTGCTCTATCGTCTGGGTCCCGAGGAATGGAAGAATCGCTTCTATATTGTATTCGAGGGTAAGTAATAACCACCAAGCAGCTGGAGAACGTGAATTTAATCGATTGCCGTTGCAGATGAGGAGGGCCAGGATGCTGGCGGCTTACTCCGTGAATGGTATGTGATAATATCGCGAGAGATCTTTAATCCCATGTATGCCTTGTTCTGCGTATCGCCGGGCGATCGCGTTACCTATATGATAAATCCATCGAGTCATGCGAATCCCAATCATTTGAGCTACTTTAAGTTTGTCGGCCGCGTCATAGGTAAGTAATATGCCCCATCTCTATCTGTCTCGCTCTCTCCCGCTGTATTTCCATAAGCTCATTCGGTCTTTCTCTTTCTTTTTGGGTGTACACAGCCAAAGCCGTGCACGATAATAAGCTACTGGAATGCTATTTCACACGCTCGTTTTATAAACACATCCTGGGCAAACAGGTGAAGCATACGGATATGGAATCGCAGGATTACGAGTTCTACAAGGGACTGGACTATCTGATGAAAAATGATATATCAACGCTTGGCTACGAGTTAACCTTCTCGACAGAGGTGCAAGAGTTTGGCGTTACACAAATCCGTGATCTCAAGCCAAATGGACGCGACATTGCCGTCACCGAGGAAAATAAATTCGAATATGTTCAACTCGTTTGCCAGCTAAAGATGAGCGGCTCCATACGTCAGCAGTGAGTAGTGGGAATCTAATTTCAATCAGTTGCGATGACAGCAATTCAAATTTGATATTTACTATGACTATTCGTTTCGTTGCAGATTGGACGCATTCCTTGAAGGCTTCTATGATATAATTCCAAAGCATTTAATATCTATATTTAACGAGCAGGAACTAGAGCTTCTCATATCCGGACTGCCGGATATCGATATTGAAGATCTGAAGGCAAACACTGAGTACCACAAGTATACATCCAAATCGGCCCAGGTGCGCTATGATATACTCCCACTATAGATTTATATGTACTAACCGTGCTCTATGCTTTACATTGTAGATTCAATGGTTTTGGCGTGCATTGCGCAGCTTCGATCAAGCAGACCGTGCGAAATTCCTACAGTTTGTCACTGGCACCTCGAAGGTACCGTTGCAGGGCTTCGGTTCCCTAGAAGGCATGAATGGCATACAAAAGTTCCAAATACATCGCGATGATCGATCCACCGATCGTTTGCCATGCGCACACACCTGGTAAGTGGACCGCAAGCTGGTAACATATAAACACCGATATTAATACTCGACTATTCTTGCAGCTTTAACCAACTGGATCTGCCCATGTACAAGTCGTATGATAAGCTGCGCAGCTGTTTGCTCAAGGCCATACACGAGTGCTCAGAGGGCTTTGGCTTTGCCTAAGCTGTGCCGTCCGAGAATACCCACATCGATCGATAAGAGAAATGAGGAAATTAACTAAATTCACACATATAACACACACATACTGATCACACTCATACACAAAGACACACACGCACACTCTCATTTAAATTCAAGAATTCCTACAAGAAAAAAAAATACTGCGGAGAAAACTATTTCGAAGAGCCACAACAAATGTGCTATAGCAGCGCTAGCCACAACAAAAACAACAAATATATATATACATATATATATAGTACATATAGTTATATGGTATATATATATTATATATATATTATAAAATGAAACATGTTGAATTAATTATTAATCTTCGCGCGTATATTACACACAATACTTATATATATAGATATATATATATATACATGTACATATATATATATATATATATAAATGTATATATATGTTTATATATATACATATATTGATATATGTACATGTATGTATATATTTATATATATACATATATATTTATTTATATATTTTCATAATTTTTCAAAAAGAATGATAGGGCAATTAATGAAGCCGAAGATAACAGTAAAAATGAAGAAGCACACAAAGATGAACAACTTTCATCAATATGGATGATAAAAGAGGGGGAGAGAGAACAAAAAATGTATATCAGTCAACATCAATGTATTCAGAGCTGTTTTCTTAATTTTATTATTATTTTTTTTTATCCATATTTGGAAAAAAGAGTAAAACTAATACGAAAACAAAAATATAACTAATATATTTCTATTTTCTTAAGTCGAAGCATATCCTCAAGATGTGGATATGTATGAAGCAAAGCAAATGCGAAACATGCACATTACGCTTTGATTCTTGTTTATATATAATATAGAAAAAAAAAATTAAAAATTAAACTGAAAAACTATAAAAATAATGAAATATGCACGAGTAAGAAAAGGAAAACGGAAAGGCATAGAGGTATTTGATATAACTATAAGCTTACGTTATATATTTTATGTTGTATCTTATATTTAAAAGAACAACAGAGAGCCTAAGAAATGAATTATTGGCGAACTCCACATATATATAATATGTATGTATATATTATAATAAATTACAAAAAATACAAAAGTCGTTTGCTGTATTCTTTAAACTTATTTGAATTAAGAGAGTTGGGCCGTGTTTTTTTGAAAAAGGGTCGCGTTTAAATAATTGGCAGCACTGTGTATAATCATCGGGTTAACAGAACTGTTAAATAAGATCAGAACGATATCGATAAGTGAAGACTGTTAACAGAATGCAGAAATGAAGAATTTAATGTAAATACCATTTGAAAAGGAAATTTGTGATAATGGATGTGTATATCCGAAATGAGTTGACTGTGGACAGTGACTTAACGTTAGATCAAGCTGCACAGCAGTCCGTCAAGCTGATTCTTTGGCTACTCGATTGCCAAGAGCAAATGCAAGTGGGACAGCCAAAGCATCTAGAGCTCAGCCACACGGACATCGAGTGCATGTTTAAGGCGACATTATATCTATTTGAATGCCATTCCCAGTATGGCGACAAACTGGTAGAGGCTGTGCTGATGCAATGCGTTCAAGCGCATGCGATTATACGACGCTTCTACAATAACATTGAAACAGATCGAAAACAGTGCATTCAGGAGCTGTGCGCAAACATTATCAATGGGACGCGCAATGGCCACACACACGCGCCACTGTTATATCAAATGCACAAGGCATATGCGGAACTGCAGCCGGAGTGGTCTATAATCAAAGATATGGATTGGTCAGCCATGGCCAGGAACAGAGTTAACAATGCGACGTTGGACGCCGCGAGAGCAATGGAACTAAATGTCCACACGATGCAAATGCGGCAGTTGGTGCGACGCATCTGCCGCCTGAGCACAATGCAGGATATCAAAATAGCACTCGCCCGTTCCATGCAGCTCATTCGAAACTGTGATCTCTGGCTGCAACTATTTCGGGAGCCCAAGGACAGTCTGCTTTATACGCGCTGCTATATGTTACGGCAAATGATCTGTGATATGCTGAACGAGGGCGGCACAGCATGCTCGGCCAGCGTTTGTTTTGTACACAACATTTACAATTTCGTTGCCAACGACAACTGCTCTGGCAATCTCTCTCGGCTCTACTGCTGGCTTATGCATGTGCGCTTCGCTGGCGCCTTGGGCAGCTATTTACAAGACTACTGGCAGCATCAGCGAGTGCTGCAACATCTACAGCTGGATGATATGCAATGCTCCACCATGGAACTGCCACTGGAGGAGATGCTCTACTTGACGCATTTGCTGCTCAAGCCCAAATCGCCGTGTCGCAGTCAATTCTATGCGCAGCTAAAGTCGCTGCCATCACCGGTGCTCGCGCAGCTCACGGACCTGCTCAATAAAGTTGCTTACGTCTATAGCTAAACTGAATGTTGATATCTATTGTCATCTTCTTTAATTATTTGGCAAATATTCATGTCTATCACTGACAATTTTTGTAACGTATTCTCCCTTCTCGGCCAGTATTTCCTCAATGTTCCGTTTGCCATTGAGATCGGTGAACCAGTTAAGATTGTCGGCGATTAGATGATGATTCGCACAGCCCTTGCAGGTGACAATAACGACACCTTTATTATAGGCCACCTTTGATATGGTCTCCATATTTCGGGTCTGGCACACTTTGCACGTATAGATTAGCTGCATCTTGGTCTGCAGCTCAGCCAATGGTATACTATTGGTGGCAACGCGCTTATTGTGCTCATCTTGCTGTAGTAGATGCATATTTATATATCAGTATATAGTTGCATTTCCCACATATTTGCATATTTACATTTTTCACCTCAAGTTTATCGCTGAAGGAAGCGCGCTGCAGGCACGTGTATTTATTATTTGGTAAAGCTGTTATGGCCAGCAAATGGTAATGACGTTGAACAGGACTGTGTGCAGGACGTAGCAAACGTGTGGCGCCTGCTAAACTACTTCTACCAGCGTTGGCATATAATTTGTACATTAATTTTAAGGCGCTCATTGTGGCTGTTGTGATATAAACAATAATAACGAAATAAGAGTTAGATATACCGATTACATTTGACATTTACAAGCACTGGCAAGCGCCAAAATTTAAATTGATTGTGATCGAGCTGACGAGGGCTTGGATAACTAATATATTTGTTAATGCCTTGTATTTTTATATATAAAATTCATTCAACAGATGCAATTCTATCAGCAATAAATTCATTTCATATGAAAATAATAAAAGAATTAGCGTAATCATTCTGACTAAAATGATAGTTTGCAAACACTGTACGATTGTACAAGTATAAGGTGTATCGACTTAATATTCCACAACACTCTCAACACTATCGATTATCGATATTTTTAGCACTATTACTTGTCAAATACTTGTTGTGATTCATCGACATCAAGTGTCGTCGCTCGTCACATCACTATACCTTAGTCTTTCTAGAGTTTTCAGCTGACAACGACACACGTCTCGAACAAAGAATTATAAATCAAACGATTTTCATTCTTTTGAAAAGCAAATCAACAAAAAATAGTCGAAAATTTAATAAAATTTAAAACCCACTATGGATTTCGGTGCACTGTTGCACTTTGCCAAGAAGAACAACGATGCAGCCACTAAAGAAGAGGTGAGTTTATAAACGCTTTCGCTATAAATTTTTAGAAACTTAAGGTACGGGTAAGATGCAGATATTTAATAATCATAAGAGCCAGTAAACAGTAAACAACGCACAGCTACATATGGACAAGAAGGTGCAACTACCACGGCGAACTGTTGCAATATGTTTACATTCACAAAATGCATTTCGATCATACAATTGGGTCATCAATGACAAAAAAAAAAACACATAAATAAGATCTTATGCTTTTCGTGGGTAGTGGACTAGATAATCTCACCCATTAACAGTGGCTAACGGTAACGGTTGCTTTTATTATTTGTTCCAACAGGGAAAATTTTATAGCACTAAATATGCTCCCCCTAAAAAGGAGAGCAAGGAAAGCAAACAGCTGTCCACCAATATACAAAAATTTCTAAAGAAACGCGAAGCTGAGGAGATGGAACGCAAGCGACAGGATCGCGAGAAGCTGAACAATTTGCTGGCCATGCGTGACGAGAAGTCAAAAAACAAAATACGTAAAATGCTGAAAGTCACCAAATCAGCCAACAAATCGGTGCTAGAGGATGCTAAGGACTGTGATAATTCGGCACTGAACGGTGCTGATCAGCCGGAGGGCGATGATTATGGCTATGTGTCGACAGAGGCCAACGCCTTCTATCAGAAATACATTGAGAAGGTGAAGGACGTGCAGGAGGACAAGGGCTTTGCGCCCAGCCGTCCACAATCTGTGCGCGATCTGTCTGGCACCAAGGAGCGCGTCAAGGCGGCCATCACACGCGAACGCGAGGAAGCCAAATCTCATACACGCCAACGCAACAGCAATGCTACTCCTCGCCGTGAGAGGGACCCGTCGGCGGTGCGCGCTCAAAATACTGGGGACAAGAAGCTCTATGATCCGGAGGCCGAACGCCGTGAGGAGGAACGCAAGAAGCGCGAGGAGGAGCAAAAGAAGCCCAAGGTCAAGCGACCCCCACAGCCACCGCCAATGGATTTCCAGGCGTTGCTGCGTCTGGCCGAGCAGAAGCAGCACGAGCCGGTCAACATTGCCATTCCGGAGAAGAAGGAGCCGGAGCGTCTACTGTCCGCTCGCGAAAAGCGCGAGCTTGAGGAACGTCAAAAGTATAAGGAGCAGCGCGCCCAGCGCGATCGCCAGCGTGAATTGGAAGCCAAGGCCAAGGAGCAGCGCAAAGAGAATGGCGTCGCCAACCCACCAGGTCGCATGACGCTCAATGGACGTATACCAAAGCTGAATAAAGCACCTACAGCAGCTGGTGATGCTGCTGGTGCAGCTACTGCAGCTGAGTCCAAAGTCAAGCAATCTAGTGATAGCCTCAAGAGGCGAGCGCCCAGCGCCAATGCAAAGGCAACAAATGGCACCAACAACAACAACAACAATGCTGCCAAGCGTGCAGCAACAGCAGGTGCTGCTGCTTCAGCTTCTCCGACTATTGCCAAGGGCAATGCAACTGCTCAATCTCGCAATCCTTATGCTGCTGCAATTAAGAGTGGAATACCACGTGAATTTCCGCCACGTGATCTATCCCGCTCTCGTGAAGTGGCACGACGTGATCTATCCAAGACTCGTGAATTTCCACCACGTGACTTATCCAAAACTCGTGAATTTCCGCCACGGGATATATCCAAGGCTCGTGAAGGATCGCGACGTGATCAACCCAGGAATCGTGACTTATTCGATGCATCCAAATCTCGTACTGCATCCAAAGCTCGTGATGCTTCCAAAACTCGTGATGCATCCAAAACTCGTGATGCTTCCAAAACTCGTGCATTTCCACCGCCGGATATGCAGCGCGCAGCTCAACGTAAACCTATTGGATCGGGAGGAGCCACTGGAGCAGGTGGCGGAGGAGCTGCAGCGGCTGGCCGTCGTCCACCACCGACAGCAGGACGCAAGCCAATGGAGACCGGCAACAAACGTAAGTGTAATTAATTTACCCAAGTCCAGTATTTATTTATTTTATTTTAATTTAAGTAAGCTTTAAGAAAGCATATTTTAATTAATATTTAATATGTGATAAATCCAATGAGAACATTTTCGTCTTAAAGAAACGCTCAAAATGTCCTTAAAATATCCCCATTTCCATAAATTGTTAAGTCTATTTCAATTTATTTATATAATTCAAAGAAATTTATATTTATTCTTATTCTTTTTTTTTTTTCGTAGCTCCTAAGCTAGTTTTGACCTTTGCTTTAAGACAGTTGTTTAAGTATTGTATACTACTTATACTAAATAAGATTAGTATAAGCGTAAGTATATAAATACAAGTAAAATTCGTAAACTATGATCTCGGCATATATATGTAATGCATATGAATGATAAACATATCATTTTCGCATTTAGGTCGCATTTACGATTATGATGATGATGATTCAGAATATGATTCCGAATTGGATGACTTTATCGACGATGGGGACTGCACCGAGGATATATCGTCGCATATTCGCGACATATTTGGCTATGATAAGCGTCGCTATCGCGACCTGGACGACGATGATGCTGAAATGGAGTCCAGCTTTGCTCAAGTGCAGCGTGAGGAGTTTATTAGTAAGAAATTAGGTAGGTATACTGATGGCTGTATATACGCATGTGGATAGAGAGACTCAACTGTTTCTTTTGCTACAGGTTTACAGGAGGATCTGGAAGATATGCGCATGGAGGCCTTACACAAGAAACGTAAGATGGCTAAAAAGCGTGGCTCACGCATCGAAGACTAGAAAGACAAATCACAAGCTCTCAAGTTAACAAGAACTCAAGAACACTGTGCTCTGCGCCTGCCACTGTGGAGGCGCCACATCTCAACACCTTGCCGACGCCATCACATCACCAGCCTGGACATGCCTTCAAAATCCCAGCTCAGCTTGGAACTGTTGCTCCGAGACGACACTTGGGTTAATAATTTATTTTTGTTTATTGCTGGCGTCGGTTTAACTTTAAGTTTGTTAACTTGTTTAATTTAATTAATCAATTCTTGAGTTATATCCTCGTCCCGTTTTTGTTTTAATCTTAGTTACCTTAATTCGGTGCCGTAGTTAAGTGCTAGACCAAAATTTTATATACAAGTGAAAAATAGCAAATTGGATAGATAAGAAATAAGAATTTAGAATGTAAATATTGATGTCATATTTTTGCAAAGCCAAACTCAATTTTAGTGTACACTTACAATCTAATTGAATATCTCAGTTTGTTTGTTTGTTTGTTTTTTTTTTTATACATCTATAAATCCCGTTGCAACACATATATAACTGTAAGTTGTTCCTATATACGAATCATGGTATCACGCTATCATGGAAAACCTATTTTGCTAATGCAATTTCTGTTAAAAATATAAGTGCGTGTATATATATATAGTATATAGTCTATATGTATATATATTTATCGTCTATATATTATATATATACATGATGAATTTAAAAAATAAAAAGAATTTTATTTATCCGTTTTGGATACATTATTTTAACTCTGCCTTTAATTCAAGCTCTTCGTATGCACATGCATAGTATACGTTCCCTACATACACTTTTTGACACTATTCACGATTGGTCATCTAATAGAGTACTACATTTGTAGGTCTGTATTGAACGGGTGCAAATAGAAAAATCTTAAACTTATAACATTTAGATTTTTGTTTATATTTATGAACCTATATATTATCTCTCTCAATCTCTAGTATGCTCTTTTTCTTTAGTTCCCTGTCTCTCTATCTCTCTCTCGATCTTATGGTACTCGACTGCTAAGTTGTTTCTCATAATATCAATGGACTCAAACTTTTTCCTCTATGTGTATAGTTAGAGTTTACTTTATCTATATAGACATTTCTCTCTAACTCTATCTCTATCCCTCCCAAAGGCTCGTTTTCAGTCTCACTCTCACTTATAGAACTAGCACATTCTACCTTTACAGTCCGTTCTTATCGCACATTCAATTGCTATTCGCTAACATTTCTTTATCAACTTTTTCTTGTAATACTCTTAGATTAGTTCCATCAACCCCATGGAACTCAGTGAATATTTAAGCTAGAGCTCTGAGACTTCAGATATGAGTGCATAAATAGCAAAGGTTTTAAAATTTATTCCAAACTGTAATTAATAATAGATAGTTGATAACTAACTGAGATATAACAATAGAGGTGTGTGTGCTTTATGCTGAGATCTCGGTTCAATTATCATTGGTGAGCTCTACGACAACGGCGCTACCAATGCGCCGATGGTCGCAAACGGGCTCCGGCTCATCTTCCATGTAGCCGATGGCTGTCAAAGCGGAAAAGGCTGTATCCTTGGTCAGAATGTTGACCTTGTGACCGAGATTGAGCAAGTAATTGATGGTATGTTTGGGCACCTCTGGCTCCGCGTCGATCACCATGGGCACCAGATGATGGTGCAACCGGCCGCTATTGACCGCCTCCTGGATGGGCTCGCGCAGTACGAAATAGTGGAGAATCGCTTGTGCCACTGAGGTGGTTATTTTGAAGGCACCGGCACCGCCCACCACCAGCGCCACATTACCACCATCGTCGAGTACGATGCTGGGGCAGATGGAGGACATAGGACGCTTGCCGGGCTTTATATTATTGGCCGGACTAGCGGGTATATTGAAGGCACTCATTACGTCCGGCTTCGAGAAGTTGTCCATCTCATTGTTCAGTATGATGCCCGTTTGACGGGATCGCACCTTGGCACCAAAGGGTCCGTTAATTGTGCTGGTCACCGAGATGGCATCGCCATTGGGCGCCAGCACAGAAATGTGAGCCGTGCCATGATCTTCGACATTGCTGTAATTGGCCCCGTAGTAAGAGATATCTTCAAACGTTCGATCGTCCAAGATGAGCTTGCGAATCTTTGCTGCAAATTTCGGATTGATTAGATTTTTGTAGATCTCCCGCACCGAGGGCTCAAAGTGAATGTCACCCAATTTGGTGCGATACCCAAACGCATGCTTATACGTCTCAATCAAACGATGCCAATACTTGTCTCTGCTGCTCACATACATTGATTCCATGACGTTCAAGATGAAGGCTAATACGGCTCCGCTGCTGGGCAATGGCGACGTAAACAGCTCATGGCCATTGTTGATGCGAGCACGTAGAGGTTTCTCCCAGCGTACACTTTAGTGGAAAGAAAATATGTATTAATCAGTTGAATTATAACAATTCTTAAAATAACAAATAACTGAAAATTTAAAGTTATGTGACAGTCTGGCAGCACCACATCAGAAGCTTATCGATTAATTATTGCAATAACGTATTGAAAATGTTATTTTCGTTTACAAATATCAATAATGGCACACAACAATGCTGTCGCTTAAGAATATATTCATATTAATTATAAAATATGAATACTTGAATTAATAACATTATTATTTAGCTGCATTTTCTAATAACAATTGCTTAACAGCAATTCAAAAATGACGCGGTAAACTGGCAACGCTTCATCACAAATTCAATCATTTGCCATCGATAAGCAATAGTGTTGTTAAACGTTTGTTAACAGTCGTTAGTCGTTTTCGTTTGTCGACTTCTCTAAATGACTACAAAATTTAAATTGGACTCACTCGTAATCTTTTAGATCGTGTTCGGTAATAATGCCACCCGTGGCCTTTATATCCTCGATGAGCATGCGGCCAATGCGACCACCGCGATAAATAACCTCCGGCCCTTCTATAGCAACAATTTCCAGTGTATTTGCCAAAACATGTCGGTACATGATCTCGCCCTCCTTATATGGATCATTAGTAGCCGGATTAATAAAGACCTCTGACATGGAGATCTCATTGCGAATATGCTCCTCATTGTGGGCCAAAGCGCCAGCCAAATGGCGTGAGACCAAAATACCACGTCGACATATCTCGATAGTCGGTTCAAAGAGACGCTCCCAGGGCAACTTGCCATATTTTTGATGCAGTTTCCAGTAACCGTAGACCGCACTGGGCACACCACTCGTTATTGCCCCGTTGATATTCTCCTGGCCAACGAACATGTCTTCTGTAACTGCAGCTGGCGCCGTTTCAAGCGCAGTCAACACCTCCATGTGGCCGGTTTTCTTGGTGTAAATGGTGGCAGTGAAGCCACCACCTAAGCCCATGCTGTGCGGCAGCACAACGCCCTCGCACAACATTGTGGCAATGGCTGCATCGGCTGCCGAGCCACCCTCGTCCAATATGGTGCCACCGATCTCGGCACAGCCAACACCATTGGAGGCAACGGCACCAATACGACGTCGCTCCGTCTCGTTGCTCAGCCCAAAGATCAGGCCCAGCGTGAGGCCCACAATCGTCAGCACCAATAGTATCCAAACGACGGCATATTTCCTGCAGCAATCCCTGAGCGAATGGCAAACCAAAATTTGGAATCGAGTTAAGGATATGCGTATAAAAAGATATGGAACTGATCTGATGATATGGCACATCAGAGATTGGACATAGCACTGTGATCTGATCATAATTAAATACGATATATTCATGAAAGATTGGAAGTATGAATCCCCATAGTTGCACTACTACATGATGAGATACTCATATATGATAATATACGATACGATACGATAGGTATAAGATGGAGCATACGATATCCTACTTTTTTAAAGGTACCAAATATTTGATTCTAATTTTATGATATGGCTCTGGTTGACGATAGAAATGCTCTATTATTATATGATATATTACTAACAACTTATATGATATAATCATATATTGCCACATGTAATATATGTTTCACCTATATGACACGATATGGTATGATCGGAAGTAAAGAGTTCAGGCATATGGAACTGGTAATTAATTTTTAGAACTCATAAATGGAACTATTTATATGATATAATGTGATATATGATATGATAAATGACATATCAGAGTTTGGAAACTATCTGCATGATACATAGGTAATCGCTCTAATAGTCTATAATCTGTAATAATGGCATTATATGATATATGATATATTCGGAAGTATTGAATACAACACATTGGATGCATGGGAGTATGTACATACATATATCATATGACGATCACATCTACATAAAATGAGAGCGTAGGTATATGGAACTGTCTATGTATGATAATAATAGTGCGCAACTTATTATATGATATGATATAATTAGAACGGTTTCCTTTTTTGGAACAAAAGAATAAGATAAACATATGTATATATCCATTTAAATGACACATAATAGATCGAATATACGGAATTGCTTGCAAGACACCAATATTTGAACGCTCATAGCATTCGTTATATCTAAATAGGTCTATAAAATAGAAGCTTTATTTCCACTATATTTCGCTACATAGATATATGAAACACACACACACTTAAATTTGATTTAATTACACCAAATTTGTGCATTTTCACTTACGACATTTTGTTTATATTTATTATATATATATATTTTTTTTTTATTCTTTTTTACCTTTAAAATATTACTTTATTTATTTAAAAGAAATAAAATAAATAAATAAATTGTTTAAATGCGCTTGAATCAAATAAGTTCTTTAGTTTATGAGGAGAAACTAGTGGCAGTTATGGGCTTTATATATGGGCCGAAAGAGTGATATTCGAATTCATATCCGGTAAAGATAAGAGATAAATGCGGTTAGATATTTGGGCCAATTTATATGCTAAAGCCAAATATATAAATTGAGTTCGTCACTGCGAGATTTTTTAAGCCAGAGAGTTCTGGTCGACTGGCTAAGTAATGGTAAAAACCAAAAAAATTTTGGCCGACGAATGCGTAAATACCAGATGTTTGTGTCTAATCAAATCCATGCCAAATAGAGAGAGCTATATGGATGTATGTCTTATCTGCTTGCCGATAAGACACAAGCCCAAAGTTAAGACCAACTCTGATTTGGCTATTAAAATTATTCGTTAATCGTAGGTATTCTATTAGTATTACAATATATATGTATATACATATAGCTATGTATTTCGATAAGATAGCAGGTTTCTTGTGCCCTATTTTGTGCCCTATTTTTAGGCAAAAATTGCAGATGATAGCATTCTCATTTATGAACGCTGTCTGCATATATTTTTGATTAGGTTGTTTTTCTTTTATTTCATTGCCTCTCTATAAGAAGTCGGTTATTTAATTTAAATTGTAACGATTGCAGACCATGAAACAAGAACAATTTTCATTAGCCAGCACTGAATACGTAGGGCGAAGGTCGATTAGTCAACTGCGACGATTATTTATTACCGATAGCTATAAAGCTCCACCGGTAGCTTCGAGGGACATTCGAAATTTTATAATAATAACTAAATATGTAAATTTACAAATTTTTCGATGAGGATAAACGATTTCAGGTACTTTCTAAATGCTTCAAATTATAAATTTTACTTAAATATCGAGAAAATAATATTAGCAACAGTTCGATGCTACTCGTCTTATTTCATTGTTGAAAAATCAAATCATTTAGATTACAAGTTTTTAATTTATACTTAGCTTGAATAATATATAATATAATAATAATTATAATATATAAATTTGTTAATATTTAAAAGTTTTTATTTTAATAATATTTTCGAAAATATTAAATAACTAAAAAGTAAGCGATACAATTGCCGTAGCCAGTGCTTCAAAACACTTGCCCAATTTGGTATTTTATCGTCAGGCATACTTATCGATATGTATTAGAGACATCGGTGTACTTTTAACATCCCTAATCCAAATGCATACATATGTATATGCAAATGTCTTCTCATCTGCTCGTATGTGTTGTCGGTTGTATGTGTGTGCGAAGTTATTTTTTTTACGAAGCGAAATCTAATTGGAATTAAATAATAAAAAATGAAATGGCATATAAAACAATATAAAAATTGAACCGCGCGTCGGTCGGTCCCAAAAAAGGATCTGCATATGTAAGTGCGATTGTGGCATGGGCAGGGGCGCAGTCACAACAACAACAACAGCAGGAGCGGCGCTGCCACTAAAATTGCATATGTGTGTGTTTGTGTGTGCGTGAAAACTGAACAAAATGAATGCGTCTGCGCCTCCAACGTAGCTACTAGAGATGCACAACAACTTAATGGCCTTGGCTAAGACCAAAACTAAAAGCAAGAAGAAAAAAAAATAATAAATGCAGTATCTCCCGTTGCAGCTACACACAGACACAGCATACGAACGCATAAGAAAGGGCAGCGCAGCAGTAGCAGTAGCAACAACATCAATACGCAGCCAAACACAAGCAAACACATGCACAACTACAATACAAGTGCAGCAGCACAGGCAAAGCATAAGAACAAAACAGAAACCGAAACAGAAACAGAAACACAAAACTGAAACTGAAAACCTTTCAAAAGTCGTGATGCACTCGCTGCTGCTATTGTGGTTGTTGTTGCCGCTGCTGTCGAGATGTAGTTGTTGTTGCCGTTGATGATTCGTTGACTACGGCTACTGTTGTTTTTGTTGTTGATCCAGGATGCAGAGAGAGCACGCATTTGCTCTCCTGCATGCAGTCTCACACACACACACATACATGCATATACATGCATATATATTGAGACACGCACACATGCATTCGCTCACTCCCTTACTTACATACACAAACACACACCTTTACAGGCAGGCCAGGGCGACGCAACGCAACGTAACGTAACGCACAACAGGCGCTTCTTACATAAAAAGCTCAAGCTCTAAGCCGCAGTCAAAGCTTTCGCTCTCACCAAAGTGGGCAGCGCAGCAGCAGCAGCAGCAGCCGCCGCAGCAGTTACAACAATCACCAAGGGGGGAACACAGCTGGTGCAGCTGCTGCTGGCCGCTGTAAAATGAGCGTTTTCGATGATTTTCAACGCTTGTGGATGCAACGGTTTCCACAAAGCTCCCTATCCGACGACTGGGAACAGGATGTGCGCGGCAGCCTTGAACGGCATAAACAAAAAATCACAGACTTAAGCAAAGAGTTGGAACAAGAGACGCTCTATGTCGAGTATCTGGAACGTTTGCTCTCTGATGTTGAGAAATATCGTGAATCTGGCGGTGATCCCACAACCCTCTTCGAATCAGCCACCGACAATCCGGCAGCATCGCAACAATCGCCCAGCAGCAGCAGCAGCGTCGGTGTTGGTGTCGGCGTCGCTGCCAATGGCGCAACTGCAGGCCCAGGCGCTGGCGTGGACAAAGACTACGTAAGTATTTGTAATGCTCTTTAAATGTACATATATTCAGTTTTTATGTATGTATATGCATATATGTATATTGTTATTATTATTTATTAATACTATTAGTATTATTATTTATATTTGCATTGTTATTGCTATCAATATTGTAATTGTTGCTTGATCTTGCGGCAAGAGAAGCGGCTGCTGATTGCGTTAACAGTTAGCATTTACCAGGCGCACAGCAATTGGCAAATGTGGGCGGGACCGGGTGGTCCGGGCACCCTGTGCTCAGCCATTCATTGCCCGTTCGCCCCTTATCAGTCGTTATCAGTTTAGCTAGCGCAGCTGCTGAGCAGCGCTATCGTATTGACTTAGTCATTGTCACCCCATGAAAGCCCCTGTAATTGCAATTGGTTAGCTCATTATCACCTGGGCGGAACTGGTTCATTTTGTAATTTTGAATTGTTGGTTGCTAAAATGAACTAATTTTTGACCGACTCTGAACACGTTCTTTCGGTGGCCTGAAGTGAACTAGTTTTAGAACAAACCCGAAATAATTGTTTTGTATCTTGCATAAGCGCTAGGGTTGAGCATGGGGGGTCTGAGGTCAACTAGGTTTGCACCTAATGGGAACTAGTTCTCGCACAAATGATGCGGATTTCGTTTGGATTTAGCAGTAGATTTCCAACTACACTTCAACTGTTTTTTTGTCCTAACCTGGAACTAGTTCATTCTGCGGATATATGTACTTTGCATATGCCGTTATCTAGTCATCTGCGGCTTCAAATGATATTCAACAGTTTCCGCTTGTGACGCTGCCCACCTAACATTCGGCTCCTGCAACCCCCTAGCTCCCCACCACTACTAGCCCACATGCATTCTCTTTGTGTCTGAGAGAGTGTGCGTATGTGTGCGTGTCCACCGTACGGACGATTCAGTGCGTTCGTTTGAATACATATACAGCCATATGTATGTAAGTACGTTCGTCTGTTCTACCACTTCAATATCTTTAATTTTGCCCGTTATCTACGCACACATAGTCATCCATTCTATTCATGTTGTTTGTGTCAGTGTATGTGAACTGCTGCTTCTTGTTGTTGTTGTTGTTGTATTTCTTTCGGTTTGCGCGTCGTCGTCGTCGTCGCTGACTTCGACTGATTCTGACACCCGGAGCAACCGCGAGTCGCCGCCAGTCGGCAGTAGTCACTAGTTTCGGTGAATAACAACATCCAAAAGCGGGCCCAACGTCAAGCGGTCAATGTTGTAGCTATCCGTCCAGGTGGCGTATAGACCCCTTCCCACACACACATACACACACACACACACTCACATATACGCACACCCGCATACTCCACACTCCACCCTACAGACCCAATCGAAATCAACGCCGCCAACGCGGGCTACGCATGTGAAGCAACAAAGAACTGAACTGAACTGAACCGAGCTGAACTGAAGGAAGTTCCATGCAATCTCTCTGCATTTGCATTATAAAAAGAGTTCAATTTCCAGTGAAGCACAGTTTAAAGTGCACAAATTACGTAAATAAAGCGTAGCAAAAAGTAATAATTCCAACGGTATAAAGTGCGAGTGTTTTTTTTTTTTTTTTTTTTTTTTTGGGCCTAAACCGTAATTTTGGGCGTGCGAGTGTTGTCTTGTTTTTTTTTTTTTTTTATTATTTTTTTTTTTTTTTAACGTGCTCGGCTGACTCAAATTTCGTGGTCAACTTCAACGCCGACGTCTACGTCGCAGTTGCCGTTGCCGTCAGCGTCGCCGTCGTCGTCGCAATCACCGTTGCCGTTTAGCCTTAAATTTACAGTTGTTGTTGTTGTTGCAGCCAGCCAGCCGCAGGGCGGAGCTCGGCTATCAATTGCTTCCCCTCGTGTCGTGTCGTGTATCGCGTCGTGTCGCTGCGTTTCGTTCGCTTTTGCAACTGCAATTGCGTGGGCTACACACCAACGTTGCTGTTGTTGGTTGGACAACAACAACAATAATAATAACAGAGAGCGAGAGAGCGTCTGTTTGCGAAAGAGAGTGGAAGAAGCGAAAACAGCGGCGCTGCTGCTGACGGCGCTGCTGTAAGGAGCATGTCTTCCTTCAAAGAGAAGTTCAAGTTATGGACCAGAGGGGTGCGTATTCTATGACTGACTATACATGTGTGATTGAGCATGTGTGCGTGTCTACGGCAACAACAAAGCAAAATGAATTTGTTGTATTTATCACAAGTTAAAATCAATAAACTTATCGCACTCACACAAAAGCGCAAATTATGAGACTTGAAATAAAAACAAAAACGATATTCTTCGAAGTGAGTAGCCAAAAAATACCCTGTAATGCCAGGCATATCACAAGTTTGTGTCAGAAATTATTTATCTTAAAAATTGTTAAGTTATGTATATCGATGCTTTTATATGCAATTAAAATATTACATCTTCAAACTAGATATAGTGAATGCTCATAGACCAGTTGAATCAATATACCCTTTGCTTACCTTTTATATTGGCATCAAGTAGCTAAGTAACTAAGAACCCGTTAAGAGAGTAAAGCAAAAACCGTAAAGTGAAACACTTCAAAACACACGCACACATATTTATATGTTGATATGCATGTATGTGTGTATGTGCATACATATCTGTTTGTTCGCAGCGCCCTTCTTCCACAGTTCCCTTTAGGCCCGCAACGACGTTGACATCGCCTACAAATCCAAATCTCTGCGCCATTCTTCGCATTGATAAGCAGCTGTATGTAGTATCAGTAAAAGCGCCTCAACCAAGGCGAGAGACTCACTAGACCTTAGTAAAGTGCACTGCAAAAGCAATTCGAAGAAAATGAGCGAGAAAGAGTCATAGATAGAGAGAGGGAGAGGGGAATAGTTAACTGTAGCATATTTTAGACGGAAAACATTTGTGGCGTTTGCTGTTTTGGCTATTGAAAATATTTGATTAAAAACTTTTGATTAGCCAAACTATTTTTATCTCTCGTTCAAGTAAAAAAAAAATAAAATAGCAACTACATGTGTAGCTATTCGAAAAATCGAATATATGCATGTATTACATTTTTATATAGGAAGTAAATACTTCATGTGCAATGATGTATTAATGCTTGTCATACTAAAACAGACAAATTGCAGAGCAATTCTTTTCTTAATTGATTGATGATAACATAGAACAAAAACTGTAACAAACAGATATGTATCTGTTAAATGCCCGCTAAGCTACTGTAAAACCTACTGTTACAGAGAAATGCACACGATTTAACATTAGTATGTAGATATGTACATATGTATGTGTGCATATGCAAGTGTATGTGAATCTGTGTATGCAAATGCAAACGTATAGACGAGAGAGAGGGCACTTTAGCACAAGTCTAACGGGATCTGTCTAAAAGAAAATAAAAACAATTGACAGTGGTTTCAATGTTTTTGTATGGCAAGAATATGTGTGGTATACTTACTATTGAGAATATTTATCGGCAATCTAAACATTGCGTCCTAATTTAAAGCAGTTTAGTTTTAGTTAAGAACAGGTGCAAACAAAACAAAATTAATTATAAGTAAAACTAAATATTAATAACATGCGATAAATATGAATGCCTAAAAATAGATTTTCGTCATACTGTTCGTATATGCATATTATGCACATTTGTACATATATTTACAACCGTTTGCTCGCATAAATATTTGTGGATTTGAACATTTCTATTAACCACTTAAAATGTACTTTTCTCGGAAAACTTTTAAAACAACAATTAAATGCGGATGATTGTTTTCTGTTGTTTTGGAGTTTGGCGCCGCCAAACATGATTCACATTCATAACATTTTGTTGAGCTAAGTGTGCGCGTATGTCTATGTGTGTGTGTTGGTTGAATGAAAATATGCTAAATAATTGTATCGACATGGCGCACACGAATGCCCCAGGGGCAAAGAGGTAGATAGAAAGAGAGAGAGAGAAAGAGTGCAGCCAAAAGCTGAGCTCAGCTCTCAAACATCTCGCATGAATTTGCTGCCGTCAAGTGCGTGTGGATTGTGCATGGGTGCATGTGTGCGTGTGTCTGTGTCTGTGGCGCGTGTGTGTACGACCTTCGCCGTCAACTTTTATTGCACGCTTTCTTCTTCGCTTCGCTTGGACACATTTAAACACACACACATGCACACGTACAGCTGTTGCCGGCTGCTGCTTGGCCCATGCCCACCCCCGAAACAGACACACACATGCACAGGCGCACGCTTTACGTCGAGCGCGCTCTCTCACACTCAAACACACACACACACACACACTTCAAATAAATAAGCTCAACAAATACAATTTTTGCTGCCAATTTTCTTTATTCAAAAAAAAAAAAAAAAAAAAAAAAAAAGTTGCTCTCTTTTTAATTTGTATCTTATAGTTTTCACTTTTTTTCGCTGCCAAAAACAATTTTTGGCAAAAAAGGCGTAAAATATGTACAGCGTACATATGCATGTACATATACATGTATGTATGTATGTCTGTATATGCTCCGATACACGCACACGTTCCACGCAAAGTTTGGCTTATTTGTCTGACTTTTTTTGCTTCTTTTTCTTTCTCTTTCTGTTTCTGTTTTGTTGTTTGCTTCTGCCACTTGTTGTTGTTGTTGTCGCTTTTAATGGAACCGCTCAACGTGTTAGAGAAATGCGTTACGTGCTCTGCCTGGGCAAATGACCAGGGCGTGGGCGTGTTAAAGGGGTCGGGGTAAGGTTGGGGCGTGGCATTCAATGCTCCGAAAAGCTTTCAGTTTCTGGCGAGTTCTTTGCCATTTGATAAAGTGGGAGAGAGATAGTGGATCTAGTAGCTCTTGCAATATGAACTTGATTCAGTTGAACCTGTTGACTTTTGTAGTACATTGAATCTAACTGTTAAATCTTCAAAGAGCTGCTTTGATGCGTGGGCGTAGGGCGTTGCATTCAACTGGTTTACCTGGAGAGAGCTTTGCAGTTTCTGCAGAATGACTGACTGAGAGAAAAAGGGAGAGAGGATCTGTGAACTTTTCTGGCATGCAACTTGAATGAGTCGGGCCTGTTGACATTTGAACCAGTTCAATTGGGCGTTGACTGAGTACAGTGCTGTCTCGATTACAGGGATTTATGAAATTCACAGTTTGTTAGTTAACTAGGGGCTTGCTTCCATTTCGGGTAGTAAACAAAGTTAGTAACTTAGCTCTTTGTCTACTCTTCTAGTTCCCCTTATTCACTTTAATCTATTCAGCACTTTAATTGTTACGTCTTACTCAGCTCCCATTTTGCCATTCACGTCAATTAATTTACGCAGAGCCACATGTTGTGGGCATTTCTATTCGCCTTTTGCTGACTAAGTTGGCCAACACATCTGTGTTCACTGGGCTGTCATTAAAAGTGCCGTTACAACTCATAGGGCGCATAATAATATCCAAATGCTGTACTTAGTTTCGGTTAGTTTATCTTTGGACTCATTTGAAAATCATTTGAGAGAAATTTTAATTGAAATTCTAGTTTGTTTTTATGAATGCCTGATCCTATGTCCAGAACGATATGCATATATATAATTTGTTCTCTATCTACATATATGAATATAAATATATATTGCAAAATATATAGACTCAGCTCACACATTACATTACATAATAGCAATGCTTAAAAAGGTATTCATCCCATATGTCTGAATGGGGTCTTAAGAATCTCAAGAGATGGACCTTCAAATGCATTCATCTACCGTCAAACTAATTCACACTCTTATCTCACTTTCTCTCTCTCTCTCTGTCTCTCACTCACTCAATCTGTTTCTATTGCAGAAATCTAGTTTGAATCTGCGTGAGGCATCGTCTGCGTCATCGGCTAACAAGGACAAGGACAAGGACCGGCTCTCGTTGAGCACCGACAACAAATACACACACACACAGAATGAGGGCGGGGGCGGATTGAGCTCGGCGCCGCCGACGGGCAAGCGCAGTCTCACGGAGCACTGCTTCGAGCGCGAGGATAAAAAAGACAGCGGCAATGAGAAGGATGCCAATGGAGCGCTGCAGCAGTGCATCACCGAGCTGGCGGCCTCCATTGGCAGCGGCACTCAGAAAGCCAACGAACAACAAAGGCCAAACGACAGCAGCAACAGCAACAGCAACAGCAAGCAGCAGGAGACAACTGGCCAGGCGGAGGCGAGCGGGATACATGTGGAGCAGAAAGTGAAGCCGTCGCGCACATCGCAGTTCGTCACCGTCATCGAGGTGAAGGAGGCCAAGGACAAAGATCACGATGATGCCGCCTCGGCGTTGGGGCTCAATGACAACGCGCCCACGCCGCCATCCACATTCGGACGCTATCCGGAGCGCAGCAAGGCCGCTGGAGCGGAGGCGACGGCACCGCCATTGTCGCCATCAATGACATCGCCCGCCATGTCCGCCTCATCGTATGCCGCACATCTGGACGCCAAAAAGAAAATGCCACCCAGGTGAGTATGGGATTAGCATTAGGGAAGGAATTTAAATTTGAATAGGAAAAAATTTGTAGACTCTATATACCCTATAGTAAATATTCTTAAGGGTCTAAACCAAACTCTTGTCGAATTCAATTTTTGATTTTCTTGTCTTTAATTTCTTGACTAAAATTACCCCAAGTCTATTAGTATCTGGAGTTTTAGGACTTGCATCTTGTATGTTAATAAAAATCGGACTAAAAATATCTTGAATGTCTGTCTCTTAACTTGGTCAAATCTAATCTGACTAAATCGTTAGATTATTTCCGTGTATTGGAACATACAACTATTGTATAATACGTCTATAAATACCCTTTACTTCGTTACATCAAGATGAAAGCTGATTTTAAGAAATAATTTGATTGATTCCACATTAAAAATTGCCGAGTTGTGACTCCAAACTAAATTGTTAGATAAGGTAGATAGATAAATGGAAAGGCCTATAGGTCTATCGTAAATGCCCCACCCATGCTGATCAGAAATGTGTATTTGTATAAACAATATGATAAATGTTTTCATAATATAATTCGAGTGCTAGACAAATGATAAGTCAAAGGAAGGGCAAATGATAAGTGAAAGGAAACCTTGGGGCTTTACTAATCGATATAGTTGACTGGTTTAGTTCAGCTATGGAGTATATAGTAGTATAGTTACTGCTGGCCACACACTATGGCGTCTCACTCACATCCCATCCCATTGCAGACCGCCGCCAAAGAACATACGACGCGTCGAGCCGCCCACCATTCCCAGCCAGCAGCAGCAGCAACAGCAGCTGTTGTCATCGTCGCCAAAGCGTGAGACGCCCTATGCGGGCAGTGCAATGCCGTTGCCGAGCAGCAGCTCCGGCGAGAGTCCGGCCAGCTCGCTGGAGCGGAATATAAAGCCATCGGATATCTTGCGACAGAAGTCATCGGAGAATCTAGAGTCGAAGTATGCAGCGAATCGAAAGACAACGCCAGAGCTAAGCAAGCTGGCGAACACGCCCGAGCTGATGGAGGAGCTGGGCCGCAAAATGGTTGGCAAGACGGACAGTCTCGAGCATGGAGCAAAGCGCAGCGAAGCCAACAGCAACGGCAATAGCAACAGCAACAGCAACAGCAACAGCAATGGTGGCAGCTTGGGACGCACTGCATCCACGCCGGGACGTGCCCTGACACCAGCCGGCCGCAGTACGGCAGCGGGTGCCGTCGGCGCCTCGCCAACGGGCAGCCTCAACAAGACGGCCAAGCTGGCGGCAGCGGACAGCAGCTCGACGAGCAGCCTGGAGAAGAAGTCGCGCGTCTCACTGCAGGCCAGCGATGCTGAGATGCCGGCCAGTGCGCAGCGCAGCGTCGGCTCCAAGGAGTCGCTCGCATCACAAGGCATATCGGAGGCGGTAAGAGCTTAACACTAAATTCCAACTGTTCCCCAGCTCATTCTCTTCTTCCTTGCTCAGATCAAGAGCTATGAGTCGGTGTCTTCGCTCAGCTCGGACAGCGCCAAGGCGGCCCAGCAGACGGACAATGAGCCCTATTATGACAGCGTGCCGCTGGACAATGGCGATGGGGAGTACGTGTTCATAAAGCCTGGCCGCACCGGCTCCTCGTCTAGTCGCGACGATCTGTCCACGCCAGGCAGCACCTTGCCCATGGCCCAGTTGAGCAGTCAGACGAGCGTAACGGATCCCGAATCTCCAGGCCGTACGTCCAACTATGTGAACATTGATTATTTTATGTAAGTGTCAAATGGAATAGTGCAGTGCATCGATTGCAGTGCCTCATCCTAACTGTTTTCGTCTCTCCCCACCATCAGCCAGAGCAACGAGACGCGCTCCAGTTCACTGGACAGCGATGGCGAATACGAGGGTCCGCCCATACTACGAACCATCTCGCATGACGAGCAACAGCACAGCAGCACATCCACATCACAGACACCGGGCGCCCTACGCAAGGTTCGTTGGCTGGCCTACTTGGCCCACTTACTTGACTAAGGCTAGGTCTATGATAGAGCCTAAGATATACGACTAGGAAATCCACAGCCAACAGCTAATTGCTTTTGTCTAATTGCAATCCGATTGCCGCTGATGCAAGCATTTCGGTTGACATGACTAAGCCATAATCGAATCTCGACCATTCTGCCCACACCTGTGCTGGGCGCATATTCACTTTGACTGATTGCTTCCAAATTGCATGCGTCAGCTGCGTCGATCGATTCATTTCGAGCTTTTCAAGTTCCCTTTGAAAATTAAATCAACTGAATGGAAATAGAACATCTTCGTTTCTTAGGGAATTCGTTTTAGTTGAGCATTTCCAGTCAGTTTGCGTTGAGGTCTGAAGTTTTTAGAAGCTGTCGCCACAGAACTTGGCAAAAAGTTTTACAATAAACGTGAATCATTATGCTTGTAATTTAAGCTAAAAAAAAAAAAAAAAAATTGAAAAGCCTACGAAATGTTAAGTCAATTTGAGATTTTTGGGAATTTGAGTGAAGTTTCCCACTTCTTATTTCTAGTCATGCGCCCACAGGTAAATTTGTTTTGTATGGTGTTCATCAGTCAATCAACGATCAATCAATCATTCAAAGACGCCCAGTTAGGCAAGCTGGGAAAACGAAAGAACTCATTGTTTTTTCAATTTGAAAGTGAATAAAAGAAAAGCACCCCTTTAAACTCATAAATAGTTTAGATATATCAGATATATATTATAGATCTTGAAAGTCTGATAGGTCTGTTAGATATTTTGGTTTTTACAGATCTAATATATTTTACAGGCTGTATTGATGTAGTATATCTCATAAAAGAAAGAAAAATCTTATCTCACTTCATATAGCTGTTTAAGATCTGACAGACTATAGATCTTACGGTTTTTGTTGGATTAGTTGATCCTGTGGATCTTTTATGACTCGTAAGGCTTACAGATCTCATAATACGTGCATAATATAGGTCATGAAAATATTACACATTTGATCTTCTAGATCACGATCTAATGTATCTATAGATTTGATCTTATCTCAGGGCACTATAAAATCTATGATCATCTATTTATAAGAATACAAAAACTTGCCATTTTAATTTGATCAAGAGCCTACGATTATTTTTGTTCAGAATGCTTAAGAGCTTTGCGCCAATTATACTATATTTATCTAAAACAATAATACAAATATTAATAACAATAATAATTATAATAATAATATGAATAATATCTATTGTAAGCGTATAACTAATATTTAAATATTTACTAACCACGAATTTTCGATTTCTTTTTCTTTCTTTCTTTTTGATCTTCAAACAATTTTTTTTTTGTGTTTTAATTTTTGATTTTTAAATTTTTTTTGATTTTTGTGAACAGAACTTAGTTTCGGCGATACTCGTGAGTACCGGAAAAAAATCCGCTTGATTCTAGGCTTAGCCTAATTTTTGTTTTATATGACATCTGTATATCATATATTGTATATAAATATATGTATATATAATCCTTTGTACATATATTCTATACATATGTATATATACCATATGTATATATGTATGTATAGATCTATAAATATATTTGCTTCGTTTTGTTGTTGTTTTGGAATGCGCTTGCTCAATGTTTTTCCTTTTCGTTCTTGTTGTCGTTGTATTCCTTTTGTTTTATGTTCAATTTACCGTTACCAAAATCGTATACATAACATATACTATACATATACCCACACCCAGCCATCCATTTATATATATATATATATACATCCATATACATATATATGTATGGGCACTATGCAACAGAATGTTTACCTGAATATTTTTAAATATTTATCTTGTTTTCATAGTGAATTTCTCTAACTTGTATGTAGAAAATCTATTTACTTATGTGTATCATATATCTCTCTGTTAATAATATTGGCAAAAAATGTCTAGGCATCTATTAATATGTATGTTATATATAGTCCTACATCAAATCGATATATTGTTGTTGCATAGTGCATTTGTATTATAAATCCTACACTCTATCTCGTCCTCGCTCTCGCTCGCTCTCTCGCTACTTGTCTCTGTCTATGTCATGCATATATAACTTTATTATAAAGTACAAAACATAATATATGTATATAATATGTATGTGTATGTATTATAATATATATGTATGTATATATACCCAACATAATTTATATGTTTTAGCTGTATGTACATATATACTTCTCCCTCTCTCTCTCCCCCTCTTTATATACGAGTTCTGTTCAAAAAGTATCACGAATTTTGACTTTGTTGTTCAACGTAATCCCCATCAGAGATTATTCACTTCCTCGCCTCGATCTGTGATCGTGTTTAGCTGCTACTGCAATGCCTCAATTTCTAGCTCAGCTGTCATAAAATCGTTTTTTCATGTGCCTCTTCAGAGTTAAGAAGTCGCAAAGGCTCTGCGTAATACTGGGATGATGTCTTAAGCTCTAAAATTATTGATTATTCTAAAAGCCAAAAATGGAAGAGGAGCCAGAACACAGCTGTCAAACATGAAAATTTTGAACCTTCAAAATGGATGGGATTACTAGGCATAAGTGAGGGATATGAGTCCCAATACAACACCATAAAAAATCAAAAATCGAGTATACGAATTCAAAAGTCGCGCTACTTTTTGAGCAGACTCTTCCACAAAGCAAATCAAAACAGAACATGATTTATGTATATAAATACATCCGATTCAAGTCATATGCATTAGCTGTACATATCTCTCTCTCTCTCTCTCTCTATATATATATATTTGTATACAGTTACTTGTTTATAATTACTGGTGCAAGGGTTATAGCTAAAGCACATGCATAGATTAAGCCCTTCATGCAATCATTTTGTAGATGACACAATCACAGTTGTAGACTGCACGGAATCGAGCGATATATGTATTAATAAGTCTCCATCTGTATTCCTCTAGTTATCGGGCAATGCGCGTGGCGCCAAGATCCGCTCCATATTGAGCTCCATCATACACAGCGAGACGATCTATGTGGAATGTCTGAATAAGATGTTACAGGTGAGTGTTCCATATACATATACTATATCATAAATCACATATAGCTAATCGCTTCCCGTCTCTCCACGCAGTATAAGCGCGCTATACACGCCACGCTGGGCACATCACAGCCTGTGATCAAGGAGGAGGAGGAGAATACGATTTTCTTTAAAATCGACGAGCTGTACGATGTGCACACCGCTTTTCTGAGCGATCTGAAGACAATTGTGGCGCATGAGGGCGGCGATGTGCTGATTGGGGAGCCCTTCAAGCGTTTGGCTGACATGTTCGATCTGTATAGCGCATTTCTGCACAACTATGGCCAGGCGATCGACACGGTGAAGAAGTGCAGCGCCAACAATCCGCAATTCAAGAAAATCGTCTCCACAATTGTGGTGAATCTGCAGACGGAACAGTCGCTGACGCTGGAGGATCTGCTGCATAAGCCGGTGGCCCGAGTGCAAATCAATGCGCTCGTCTTCAATGATCTGTTGCGCGAGACGCCGCCGAATCATCCGGATCACCAGCCGCTGCGACAGGCCCAGAAGATCATACAAATGTTCCTCAATCAATTCAATGTGGTCAATCAGCGCTTGCCCACCGAATCGAATCGCAATCTGCGTCGCATGGTGCGCAATTCGTTCATTGTGGAGCTGGTCGACGGGCACCGCAAGCTGCGGCATTTGTTCCTCTTCAACGATGTGATTGCGTGTGCCAAGTACAAGGCGCTGGGCCGGGATCGCATCGACTACGAGCTCAAATGGTATATACCGCTCAAGGATGTCACCGTGTACGAGGAGTCCGACACGAGTGCGGACCTCAAGGAATCTAGTCCCGCGAACATATCGCAAGTGAAGCGCAATTTGCGATCGGTGCGCGATCAGCTAACGCTCGAAGCGAACGGCGTGCGCACCGGCGACAAATATCGCCGCAAACTGGCCGATCTGGAGTCACAGCTGGTGCTGGCCACGCCCAACTTGGTGCTGCGGCTGGGCAACAAGGCCAACAATAAGACAATTACCTTCTTCCTCAGCTCCGACTTCGAGCGCACTCAGTGGATAGACTCGATAATGTCGCTCAAGGTGAGCTCTCTCTCAATCTTTCTCTCTCTCTCTCTCTATCTTTCTCTCTCTCTCTCTCTCTCTCAATAGAGCGTATTTTAATAAGAAATTAGTTTCACTAGAGATAGTTGATAGCTGATTATGAAAAGAATCTACACTAGATCACTCTATCTTTATTCCATATTAATTAACCTTCTCTCTCTCTCTCTCTCTCTCTCTCTCTTTCACTCTTTCTCACATATTGCAACTTTAGCAAAAGTGTACTCTGCCTGGAGCCAATACGATCAACTCGCTGGAGGTGACCGCCTTCATTGTGGCCATGCAGAAGGGCATGAAGACTGAAATGGGCTCCTATCTGATGCGCAACACGAACGATGAGAGTCTGCTCGTCGGCGATCTGCATATGGGTGTGCAGGGACTGCAGGGCCTCGAGCAGCCGACCGATCTGTACATATGCATCGAGGTGGACTCGTATGGCCATTACTTCCGCAAGGCAACCACCAAGATCTGTCGCAGTCAGACGCCGATGTGGAACGAGAGTTTCATGCTCGAACTGGAGGGCAGCCAGAATGTGCGTGTGCTGCTCTACGAGGACAAGGAGCGGCCACTGCTTCGTGCCAAATACATACTCAAGGTGAGCTAAGCAGAGGCATTGGCATTTACTGTATAATTGAATGTCCTTTTCTTCTTCTTCTGCTTCTTCGTTTTGCTGTGCAACAGTTGAGCCGCAGCTGGCTGACAGAGACGACGCAGACGCGCAACCTCAAGCTGAGCGAAACCCTGGAGCTGACCGCCACCTTCCGTTTCGTGCCCGGCGAGCAATGCCGCGGCAGCAACAAGCCAGGCGCGCTCTTTGGTGCCAAAATGAGTCAAGTATTAAAGTAAGTTTCACTGTCAAGGGGAGGGGTAGGGAAGAGGTGAGAGGATGGAAATATGGTTAAGAAAATGTTGCATTTATCGCTTAAGCTGATAAGGCGAGAGTTATCGAGTTATAGACATAGATTTTGATTTCCCATCTTCACAAATCTTAGCTAAGAATGGATCAGCTGAAAAGCTTTATATGATTCTCATTTTCATGTTGAATTTTCCCTTCTGCAGGCGCGAGAAACGCGACATTCCGTTCATAATCAGTGCCTGCATTCGGGAAGTGGAGCGACGTGGAATGCTGGAGGTTGGGTGCTATCGCGTCAGTGGCTCTGCCTCCGACTTGGCCAAGCTGAAGAAGGCGTTCGAGTCGGGTAAGTCAGCAGCTAGAAATGTCCGTAAGCATGCATAGCGATTCATATGTCACAATTTACGTAGACGCATACGAGGCAGAGCAGCTGCTGCGAGAGGTGGACATCCATTCGGTTACAGGCATACTGAAGACATTCTTGCGTGAGCTGCCGGAGGCGCTGTTCACGGATCTGCTCTATCCACGCTTCTTCGAAACATTCAGCAAATTAACAAACAACAACGAAGCCACACGCATCAACGAGCTGCTCAAGATATTTGAGGAGCTGCCGCCGGCTAACAAAGCCTCAATCAATCTGATACTGGATCATCTGATCAGGTGAGAGAGAGAGAGAGAGAACAGTCTATGGATATGTTTCAGATTTATCAATAATGTAATCCTAATGCTCCACAGGGTGCACGAGAAGGAGGCGGATAACAAAATGTCGCTGCACAATTTGGCCATGGTATTTGGGCCCACACTACTTCGTCCTGGCCAGACGCAGGTCAAACAAAAGGATCCTTTGGCAGCGAGCACCGTTGATGTGATGGCCCAGGCGGGCATACTCTACTGCTTCCTCCAGGCGCGCATCAAAAAGGATTAGACACAATGAATGGATAGCACAAGCAAACAAATATTTACATATGTATAACTCTATATATGCTATATGCTTCAAATGCTCACACACAACCAACAACAAGAACAAGAACAAGAACACACACAACCTACACAACCTGGCTGATGATTGTATATAACAGGCGCATAGCTGGCAAAAAGGAATTGCGTTGTTTGTGCTGCAGGCAATTTGTTAGCTGAAAGCAGTGCTCAAGAGCGAGCCAACACACACACATACAGACACATACATATACACACACACACACACATATAACTATAACTATATATATATATATACAGAATGTATACATGCGTAGACAAGTGTTCAACACTGATCCTGTTGCTGGTCCTAGTCCAGGCACACTTCCCCCATCAAGGCTTTTAGCTGCTGCTTTTGCTCGTCTACTCGTTTACATACATACATATATTTATAGTATAAACTATATGCTTTACCTATACATATATACATAGATTGCCCTGTGCCCCGCTTATTGCAAGGTTCAAATTGATATTTGAGAGAAGAAAATAAACAAATGGCAAATATTTTCAATATTACACACAAGCACACACACACACCCACACATTTATATAGTATATATATATTATATATATACTATATATATTATATATTATATATACATACATTACTAATTAGTACTATATTACTAAACACGCAAGCAGATTTCAAATTAAACGTAAAATTTATAATGATGGAAATGCTGATGATGATGATAATGTTGATGAGGATTATATATGTATGTGTATGCTTAAAAATATTCTGTTTTTTTTTTTTTCGTCTTGTTTTGTATTAATTACTTAGGTTTTTATATAAACAGAAACGTAAAATAAAATATATTCTATTTAGAAATGTTTTTGGAGTTGTCTTTCGAATTTTTGAAAACTCTTTCTTATATTCGCTATGTGTAAAGTCTTGAATTCTATGCACCTCTTCAAAGTTCTTCTTTCGTAATCGTTTACAAACTGCAATCTTCAATTCATATATACCCACCGAGTTGTTCAGCATTGTAGAGCAATTTTCCGAATAATCTTGGATCTCATATTGGAATGATTAAAAGTGTTTCGATTCAACATCAATCAAATCTGTATTGTCGTTCTATATAATTTTATATATTATATACACATTTAGGCATATCTATTGCAATAACATTTATATAGGACTTATATACGTAACTCCATCATTCTTCGTCTTCGTTGTCTTCCGTCTCCTGCGGCAAATTGCTGTCCACATCGAAGTAGGCACGACGGCTACGCTTGGCCTCGACGGCCGCTTGGCTGCCATCGAATTTGATTGCAGTACGCTTGCGCAGCTCCTCCACATCCTGCTGATCCTCGTTGCTGGCCCACTCCAGCACCAGACGGCGTCCGTACAAATGGGTGCTGGCGCTGAGTGCATCGAAGGCACGCTTTGCATCCGCCTTGGTGGTGTAGTCGACAAAGCAGAAGCCACGATGCGAATCCTCGCCGGGCGTCATCTTCTTGGGTAGTCGTAGTGAGGTCAGCTCGCCAAAGGCTCTGCACAGGTTAAGATTAAGATTAGGAAACATTTATTTATGGCCCATTTAATGGGCTACCCATTGAGTCACTCACTTGAAGATGTCGCGCACCTCGTGATGGTGCGCCTGGAAGGGTATATTCCGCACTAGAATCTTGGTGCCAGTTTGCTTCTTCTGCGCCACCTGGCGACGGCGTGCTCCATCGTCTTGGGTTCTATTAGAAATGGCATTTGATTAACGACTCCAGCTTTAGCTTATTTCTGGGATGACTTACTTGAGAACGCGATCGCTGCGCTTTAGCTCCACCAGATTGCCGTCGATCTTGGTCAACTGCATGTCCTTCAGAGCCTGTGCCGCAACGGCAGCCCGCTTGAACTGGATGAAGCCATAGCCCAGGGAGTTGAGCTGTTTGGGATTCTGAGGATCCTTGCGCTTGGCTATCTCGATGGTGTGTATAGTGCCCAGGCTCTGAAAGTGCTCCTGTATCGTTTGGGCCACAGTCTTGAAGTTAAGATTACGCAAAAATATCGTAGTATTTGGCTCGGGCTCATCATCGGCATCCTCTGCCACGGGATCGGGCTTTGGTTTCTGCTCCAACTCCAACTCCTTCGCCTGTTCCATCTTCGGCTCCGATTCAGGCTTGGGCTCCGTTTTGGGTATGATAGCCTCGCCGTTCAGTGTCTTGGTGAACGTGTCCTCCGGCGCCCATTCCAGATAGAGCGGCACATTCTTGAATTTGCTGTAGGCCAACTTTTTGAATGCCTGTCGCGCCTCCGAGGGATCGCAGAACTCGATGAGTGCGGTAACGCCGCTGGGTGGCAGCACAATGCGTCCGATGGGACCAAATTTACTAAAGATGGGCGCCAGATCAGCCACCTCGGTGGCCGCCGGCAAATTCTTGGCCAGTATCACAGTTTTGGAGCGTTTCTGCGTGGGCTCATCGAAGGCGCTGAGCCGGACGCCTTCCTCCTCGAGAAACTTTTTCATTTCGACAACGATTTGTGTTTCGCCGAGTGCCAGTCGCACGGCTGCACTGCTGCCGCCCTCGCTGGTGTCCAGGATGCGCTCCTTGCTCATCTTGAACTGCTTGGCCAGGATCTCGGCAACGGCGTTGGCGCCGAGAAACAGTGTATTCCAGCCGATTGGCTTCTGTGCGTTCTGCTTCAGCTTAAGCGCTTTCTTTTGCTTAAATGAAAGATTCGGATCGTTGTCTTCCACCGTCTCCTGGGCATTGTCCAGCTCCTTGCCGGGCAGCAGGTGAAGCAGACGGCCATGAAAGTCGGTGCCGTCGAGCGCATTAAACGCCTTCAACGCATGCTCGGGCATCATGAAGGTAACCGTGCCAAAGCCCTTGATCTGACGCGTCACCTTGTCCACGGGCAGATTGACTTCGACCAGAGGTCCGAATGGCTCGAATAGTTTTTGCAGGTCCTCCTCGGTGGTGGTGTAGGCCAAATTGCGAAAGAATATACGACCCGACTCGGATATGTTCTCCTCATGGCTCAGGCTGTCCTGCTGCTGTTGCCACTTGGCGTTCACATTGGTTATAGGATTACTATTGGCGTCCACAGCTTCACCCGACTTCTTGGCCTTGGTCACCCGATTCTTGTCGGTGAAATCGGAAAAGAACACCTGCTTTCCCAATATGAAACTTTTGTTCTTCATCATGCCCCTGGCCATGTCGTGCTCCGTCTTAAAGCCCACGTAACAAAAACCATGCACTTTGCTCGGCAGACGGACTGAGTAAGGTTTCAGGGGCTTGAAGAACTTGATTATATCTGAACGCTTGGCCTTATATGGAACATTGTGAATCTTGATGGTGAACAACTGCAGATCGGCTTTATCCTGCTTGGCTTTTCCTTTCGTTTTGCTCTTTGACTCTGTGCTTGGTTTGGCTTCCGCTTCAGCTTTGCCTGCCATCAGAGATTTCATGTACTCCATGTCACTAATGGGCTTCTCAGCGAGCTTAACTGGCTGGCCTTCTTCCTCTTCCACTTGCTCTTCCTCATCATCATCATCATCATCATCATCATCATCTGATGTCTCCTTCACTTTTTCATTGTTTTCTGGCTGGGCGTCCACAGTCTCCTTGTCGGGTTGAGCCGCAACAATGCCTGCATCGTTGGCCCAGAGCGCACGCGTTTTATCGTGAGCCTGCATAAACTCCTGGAAGGCCGGATCATCTTTGTGCTTGGCCAGAATTTCATCAACTTTGTTTGTCTTCTCTTTCTTCTCGTTGACTTTTTTCGTTACTGGCTGTGCCGCCTTTAACTTCTCCAGATTCTTTTTGCTATCCTTGGCATATTTGCTCCAGGATTGGGGCTTCTCCTCGCTGCCAAGCGCTGCACAGGGTTCCACGCGTACGCGGCTCGTCTGTATGCAGGTGTTGTTGAAATGTTTGATGGCCGCCTGCGCCTCCGCCTCGCTGCTGTAGCCCACAAAACAGAATTGCCGAAATTTGCCATCGGGCGTGTATTTTAACTGCAGATCTGTGATCGTTCCCTTGGTGCCGAATATATTGCGTAGCTTATCCTCACTTATCTGTGGGCAGACAGTTCATTTAATGGTTTAACTTTAAGCCTACACCATTTACAGTTATCCACTTACCTGCTTGGGCAGCTGTTTGACAATAATACGAGACATTTTTATATTTAACTCATTCAACAGGCTCAAACGAAATTACACGAAATTCATTTTGTTTACGGCTGGCACGTGTTGTTGTTAAGCTTGCCAGCTTGTTACAAGCTCATTGCTAAGATCTGGCAAGGCCAACGTGTTACTGCTGTGCGGCAAGACCATACATTGGCGCGATAGTTGTTCGATGTTTTCCAATACTGTAAAATTCAAATGAAAATATAATTGCAAAAAATTGCTAAACTTTTAAATACCATTAAAAGAAATGAAAAAAGTCTATAGGAAATGTTTTCAAATGCGATAATCTCAACGACAGTCAAAAAATGGCATATAAACATATTTCCGGCTATAATGAGCACGCATTCACAGTTGTTATCAAATATACTTATATATATATATATATGTATATGTGTGTTATCATATTATGTGTTTCTAAAAACAGGTGGATCAGAGTCTGAGACTCTGCTTGTGTTCACTATATCGGCTCATGCAGACACCAGCAGCTCAACCTCATTGTGTTTCACAATAACCTTTGGATGGCCATTGCTGATATACATATTTTGTATATATATACCTATGTGTATATTCTTGTATATTCAAAGAAGATTCCGAGAGCAAAATTGATAAGATGAAATGAGAATGTGCTCATCTTGTTTTTGTTTTCCCCCCCACTTCAAGTGCGTTCATTGGCGCTATTTGAATAGATAAGCAAAGTTGCGCCGCTATAAAACCAGCCGAGATGCACTCAAAGCGTTTCAGTTAGATCTTTAGATTTTGACGTAAAGCAACTATAAAGAAAAACTAACAAATCAATATAATTCTATAGTCCGATAAGACACCAACTTTCGAGTTACATAATTACCCAAACGAATAGTGGAAAAGTTTCAAAACAAAATATAACTTTACCTATTCGTATATTCAAACATTTAGTGAAATGGAGGTGCCGCCGCCACTTGTCCTCAAGCGATCGCTTTTCGTTCCCAGCAAAACTTTGATGGGCCCGGGTCCATCCAATTGCTCGCAGCGCGTCCTTGAGGCCATGAGCAACCCCGTACTGGGCCACATGCATCCAGAGTGTCTACAGGTGCGTTCACTCAACTTTACTGCATATATATGTAATAGCGCTCTAAATGGAACTGATTTTAATTTGTGATAGTAGTAATAATGTGTTATTCTTAGTGCTCACTCTTAACTGATCATAGGGACTTTCTAATTACGTAAAATTTTGATAGCTGAGAATAATAATGTGTAACATTTTTAGCCATCTAGAGATTTATCCTTAGTGCTTTAGTGTGCGCCGAAATTTAAATCGGCTAACAGAGCACAAATTGTCTATGTTAGCTAACACTGAAAGCAATGTAGTATAATAAAGTCCTTTGGTACGAAAGAATCATAAATAGGGAGTTAACTAATTTTTTGCTACAAGTAATACTTACCGTAAATAATAAAAAATGATTTGCTTAAAACCTAGCGGCAGACATAATCTGCAGTAGCTTAGAGTGCGCGTTTTCATAATCTCAAAATAGCTATTAATTGAGCGCAATTTCCGATTTTGTTTTGTTTACTGGCTTTCAAACAGATAACAGAGTCAAAGTTGCTTCAATTTCAAACAGAGATCAGCACGCGTGCACCTGTTTTCCAAAAATGTGGCGTCACACTGTCAAGTTAACAGACTACTTTCCTTGAAATACCATTAGTCCTTTCACATTTCAATTTAGCTGTTAGCTGTCGTGTACTTTAACAGTGTGTGTTAATGTTAATTATATTATGTTGCTTTTGCTGCTATGGGAGAAGTTTACAGCGTGAATTTCCCGTTAACAGCCAGACAATGTATTTAGGCTTATCACGGCAATTTCATCGCAAATCTTTTGATACCCTTTACGCATTCAAAAGTGGGGTATATTACTTTCACATTCAAATGATATACTGAAGCAAATTTCCGGTTAGTATATGATGTCCAAATCCAATCAGAATACTTAGCCTTAGCCTAGATTCTTAATCAGAATTTCGAATTTAGAGTCCGCTTCTAAAGCAATTTTCTTCCGCTCTTCGGCACAGATCATGGACGAGGTGAAAGAGGGCATCAAGTACATATTCCAGACACTGAACGACGCCACGATGTGCATCAGTGGAGCGGGCCACAGCGGTATGGAGGCGGCTCTGTGCAACTTGATCGAGGATAACGACGTAGTGCTGCTGGGCATCTCGGGCATGTGGGGCCACAGGGCGGGCGACATAGCGCGTCGGTATGGCGCCGATGTGCGCTTTGTGGAGGCGAGCTTTGGGCGCGCGCTGACGCTGGAGGAGATTCGGTTTGCTTTCGCTACACACAAACCGCGCGTCTTCTTTGTGGCACAGGGTGATTCCTCGACCGGCATCCTGCAGCGCCACATCAGCGAAATCGGCGATCTGTGCCGGCAATACGATTGCTACCTGGTCGTGGATGTGGTTGCCTCGTTGGGTGGCACCCACTTCCTCATGGACGAGTGGAAGGTGGATGTGGCCTACACGGGCTCACAGAAGACGCTGGGCGGACCGGCTGGCCTGACGCCCATTTCGTTTAGCAAACGCGCCCTGACCCACATCAAGCAGCGGAAGACCAAGCCGAAGGTCTACTACTTCGATGTGCTGCTCATTGGCCAGTACTGGGGCTGCTATGGCACGCCGCGCATCTACCACCACACCATCTCCTCGACCCTGCTCTACGGCCTGCGCGAGGCGCTGGCTCACTTCTGCGCGATGGGCCTGAAGAACGTGGTGCAACGGCACTTGGAGTGCTCGCAGCGACTGCAGCTGGGTATCGAGGAGCTGGGCCTGGAGATGTTTGTGCAGCACGAGCCGGATCGCCTGCCCACGGTCAATGCCGTGAAAGTGCCCTTTGGCGTCGACTGGCGAAAGGTGGCGGACTACGCAATGCGAAAGTGGGTGAACAGCAAAATCTCAATCTCAATGTAGATAATCATGTGAATATAATCTTCTCCCACGGCAGGTACAATCTGGAAATCAGCGGCGGCTTGGGCCCCACAGTGGAGCATGTCTTTCGCATTGGTCTGATGGGCGAGAATGCGACACTGGAAAAGGTAGACATGGTCCTAAGCATCTTGAACGAGGCAATTCAGAGCATCAAGCTGCGAGCCATCAAAACGGAACGTTCCAAAATATAATATTACCCATTAAACTGATTCAACTTTTACTTGACTATTTTTTTAAATATACTTATACTTTTTACCTTTTGAATTTGAATTTTGGCGCGTATTCAACACTAACAGCTCCTAGACTCAAAAAGGCTCTGTTAAGCACAGATTCTGCTGTAGCTGCAAAAATGGTTTTATTTGCCGGTAAAAAAATTAAGTATGCAAAAAATTAATTTTAGCGATATTTTTGTTTATTTTATCAATCCTAAGCGTATATGTATATAAGTTGTGCCAAGTTTTTCATCAAAGGTGTTGGGCTTGTTAATGGCATTAAGCAAACATACATTTGCAATTTACACAAGCCAGCGTCGAACGTGATCAACAGCCGCTTAAACTCAAAAGGGCACTGCTAATCGCAACCGCCAACATTTTACTGCATTCGATAAATAGTTCTGAGCCAAGTTATTTGTTGGCAAATAAGATTATTGAAATTCTCGAATTGAGTTTATAAATTTATTGAACGCCAAGCATTTAGACTTGGCCCGTTCAAGCGGCACTAGCACAGTTTTATACACATATTGAGAGAGTAAAAAAAATAGTTAAAAATTGTACACTTAAATGTTTATTTGTTGTTGTTTTTCGTATGGATTTGGGATCAACTCTCTACTTGAATCGACGTCCATATGCTATTTAGGCATACAAAATAGTTGCTGCATCTGCTGCGCATCTCAAACTTAACCCTGCTTCTGGGCCAGCTCACGAGCCTTGGCACGCTCCAGCTTGGCGATGCGTGCCAAACTCTTGGAGCCCAGAATACCACCGCCCCAGTGGCGACGAATCTCCTCGTGGCGCTCATTGAAGTTGGTCTTAACAGCCTCCAGAACCTTGCCAAAGTTGGCCTTATCGTTATTCTCGACGGTGGTCAGAGCCAACGCGGTGCAGGTCTTGCGGCGCACCAGACGGCCCAGACGTGCCTTGCCCTTGACAATGCAGTAGGGCACGCCCATTTTGCGGCAGAGGGCGGGCAGGAAGAGCACCAGCTAAAAAGAGAAAACAAACAATTAGTCAATCTCATCAAATAACACGTGCTCAAAGGCGGAGGTGTTCTCTCCTGTTATTTATGGGCGAACAAACTCAGCTGTCAATTTACCACAGACAACGTGTTTTATATAAATAAATAACACGTTTCAGTTGAAGAAATTCAAATTAACATCATCGAATGATCACCATTTTGTTAGAGTGAGAGAGACAGGGAGAGGGAGCTTACCTCTAGGGGATCGACATCGTGAGCGATGACAACCAGCTGAGCCTTCTTCTGCTCAATGAGCTTGGTGACAGTGTTGGTGCCGGCCGAGACGTAGCTGGGCTTCTTCTTGGGCTCAACTTCCTTGCCTTTGGCCTTGGCTTCAGCCAGTTTCTTCAAGCGCTGCTTCTTGGCCAGCGGCGACTCGGGACGATACTTCTCCAGCAGCTTGAATAGCTTCACGGCTGTGGTCTTGTCCAGGGTTTGGCTGAACTGGTTGATTGGTGGTGGCACCTTCAAACGCTTCTGCAGCACAGCCTTCTGACGCTGGATGCGAATGTATTTGGGCCAACGCACGAAACGCGACAGATCGCGCCTGGGCTGAATATTTTGGCCTGAAAATTCGAAAATTAAATCATGAATAAGGAATTCGTGGAATACGATTTGTTTGTAATTGCAATTGCTTACCAATGCCAAAGTTCTTGGGACGCTTCTCGAAGAGTTGGTTAACAACTTTCTTGACCACGGGCTTCTTCACAGCCAATGGAGCTGGGGCCACCTTCTTGGTCACTGGCTTCTTCTTTGGCCTGGGCTGAAACGTGAAATTGATTCAGTTTTAATAGGAAGCGCACACACACATAAGCACAGGAGAATCAGCACTATACGCATCACATATGCATATTATGTATATTTTGTATGGCACAATAACACAAAACAAAACACAAATAAAAAAATTGCATAAAAAATATTTTGAGATAATTCACGGCGCGCAACATTTGCTAGTGGGAATGTTGATTTCATTTGGTTGGGTAGCATTGTTTACCTTCTTAACAACCATTTTCACGCAGTTTTATTCAACGATGTTAACAAAAAAAGCAGATTATTTTGCGGGTCGTTTAAAAGACCAGCTTTACGTCTGCCCGTCAGAAAGGTAAAGAAATTGCGAGAGCGGCGGAAGTTGCTTTCTTGTCAAAGTTGACATTTGCTAGCGTCAGGGTTGTATGTGCACGTAGTTTTCATTTAAAAACCACCAGGTGGCGCATTCAGAGCTGCATGTCACAGTGTTTCGATAGTGTACCTATTGAAAGAAAATACTAAATCTTTCGAAAAGTCATGCACTGCAGTTGAAAAAACGTGCACACTGCACAAACTATAATTTATTCTACCTGTTGCATTACCATTTGCGCTTGCGCCCAAATGTTAAAATTAGCATATAAATTAAGTAAGGATCAGTTAAAATTACGTTTTAGTTAAAGTGTGGTGCAAGTGGTACATTTAAATACAAAATATCAAGCCGCAAAAGGTACTGATTGACATGGTGCTGCGGTGCACTCCACCCCTGCCCATGCAGGGCCACCATTTTTAATTTCTTTGTTTATTTTGTGTTCCATCTTCGTCGCAGTGTCGCAGTGTCAGCAACGATCGCAGCCGAATTTGAATGCATAAACAGAAAATTCGGAACGAGCATAAAAGGGAAATCAAGAAAATAATCGCAAATATTATTGATGTTATCAATTAAAATGAAAATAGACAATAATAGTTACAAAATGAAGTGAGTGCAGAAAGATACGCAATATGGCCAGCAATGGGGCTGGTGGTGGATGTGGAGCTGCTGCAGGCGGCGTTGGTGGCGGAGCCATCAATCATACTCATGCCGTTTGCGTCTGGGAATATGAGTCGCGCGGTGGCAAATGGCTACCCTATTCGCCGGCTGTGTCGCAGCACTTGGAGCGTGCGCATGCCAAGAAACTGACGCGTGTTATGCTCAGCGATGCCGATCCCAGCCTGGAGCAATACTATGTGAATGTGCGGACCATGACCCAAGAGTCGGATACCGAATCAGAGGCTGGCGGTCTATTAACAATTGGCGTGCGGCGCATGCTCTATGCGCCCAGCAGCCCGGCGGGCAAGGGCACCAAGTGGGAGTGGTCCGGCGGGGGCAGCGCGGACAACAATTGTGATTGGCGGCCATACAACATGCATGTGCAGTGCATCATTGAGGATGCGTGGGCGCGCGTAAGTTCTTCAACATCAAATATATATAGGCTTATCTGATATATAATTATAATGTTCTCTTGCAGGGCGAGCAAACCTTGGATCTGTGCAACACGAACATCAGCCTGCCATACACCATCAACTTTTGCAACTTGACGCAAATGCGGCAGCCGAGCGGCCCCTTGCGCAGCATACGGCGCACACAGCAGGCGCCGTATCCGCTGGTCAAGCTGACGCCACAGCAGGCGCTGCAGCTGAAGGCCAACAACAATGGCCATGACTATGTACAGCAGCAGCAACAACAACAACAGCAGCAGCAACAACAGCAGCAGCAGCAGCAACAACAGCAGAGAAACAATAATACGCTGCCCAAAATGGGCGCCATGCTGCCGCCCATGCACCGACAGCAGCATCCACTGCCCACGCATGGACATCATCATCATCAGCAGCAACACCAGCATCAGCATCAGCAACATCAGCATCAACAACATCAACACCAACAACACCAGCAGCATCAACACACACAGCATCAGCAGCAGCAATCACGCAAGCCGCACAAGAAACACAGCGAAATATCCACCACAAATCTGCGCCAGATCCTCAACAACCTGAACATCTTTGGTAGCAGCACCAAGCACAGCAGCAGCAACAGCAACAGCAACAACAACGGCGGCAGCAATCATCTGGCGACAGCAGTCGGCAGCTGCAACTCGAATGTAGCTGGCTCGACGCTGCATTTGATGCAGCATCAGGCGCACTTCTCGCACAGCAGCAAGAGCATGCTGACCTCCTCGATGAATAGCCATCATAGCCGATGCTCCGAGGGCTCGCTGCAGTCGCAGCGCAGCAGCCGCCTGGGCTCACATCGATCGCGTTCGCGCACGCGTGTCTCAGACACCGATACGAATAGCGTCAAGTCGCATCGGCGCAGGCCGAGTGTTGACACCGTCTCCACGTATCTCAGCCACGAGAGCAAGGAGAGCCTGCGGAGCCGCAACTTTGCCATATCTGTGAACGATCTGCTCGACTGTTCGCTGGGCAGCGATGAGGTGTTTGTGCCGTCGCTGCCGCCTTCGTCGTTGGGAGAGCGGGCGCCGGTGCCGCCGCCGTTGCCCATGCCACATCATCATCATCAGCAGCAGCAACAGCAGCAGCAGCAGCAGCAGCAGCAACAGCAACAACAACAGCAGCAACAGCAGCAGCAACAACAGCAACAGCAGCAATCAATCGCTGGTTCGATTGTGGGCGTGGACCCAGCCAGCGATATGATATCGCGCTTTGTTAAGGTTGTCGAGCCGCCGCTGTGGCCAAACGCCCAGCCCTGCCCCATGTGCATGGAGGAGCTGGTGCATTCGGCACAAAATCCTGCCATATCGCTGAGTCGCTGCCAGCATTTGATGCATCTGCAGTGCCTCAATGGCATGATTATCGCGCAGCAGAATGAGCTTAATAAGGTAAGACAGGAGAAGGTAAATGTTGTGATGGATCATAGCTAAACATTTATACCGAAAGAAAGAGATCAGATTCAGATGTACTTGATAGGCATAGAAGTAGACTTCCAATTGGCCAATACTGTGATCTGCAAAGAGTTTAGAGTGGAGGTCCAATCCGATGGCAGTCCGTGCAACGTTTACGAAAGTTTAACAAAGCAGAATTACTAAATGATAAATCGTTTAACACAGACTAGACTTGAGACAAATAGTCTATATGCTATAAATATTGACATATTTACAGCCAGTAAAACGTTCACGAATGCAAGATAATGAAGAATTGCAATTGTTTGTTGCTCATAAGAAAACGACTTATAGACAGACATATATATCCCATATTCTCATATATATCCAATATTCATTGCATAGAAATACTCGTGCTAACTCGCTCTAATTTATGCTGTTGACTATATATCTCTCGTTCTCTCTCTCTCTCTCTCTCTCTCTCACGTTTGCAGCAGAACCTGTTCATCGAGTGCCCCGTGTGTGGCATTGTCTACGGCGAAAAGGTGGGCAATCAACCCATTGGCAGCATGTCCTGGAGCATCATAAGCAAAAGTTTGCCCGGCCACGAGGGCCAGAACACTATACAGATTGTCTACGAGTGAGTTGGCGTGACTGTTCCCCGCTCACTATGGCTACAACTTTCGCTCTTTTCTTTTCGCAGCATTGCTTCGGGCTTGCAGACCGCTGAGCATCCGCATCCGGGACGCGCTTTCTTTGCCGTTGGGTTTCCGCGCGTTTGCTATCTGCCCGACTGTCCGCTGGGACGGAAGGTGTTGCGCTTTCTCAAGATCGCGTTCGACCGTCGACTGCTGTTCTCGATTGGACGTTCGGTGACCACGGGGCGTGAGGATGTGGTCATTTGGAATAGTGTGGATCACAAGACGCAGTTCAATATGTTTCCAGATCCCACCTATTTGCAGCGCACCATGCAGCAGCTGGTGCATCTGGGCGTTACGGATTGAATCTAACTGCCAGCAACTACTACAACAACAACTACAAACAGCAACATTAACAACAACAACAACAACAAAAGTACTCTCGCTTCCATGTCCTTTAAAAACTACAAAGCAAACAACAATCTCAATGTGTGTGCAATTATTTTTCGTTTTCGTTTTAATTTTGAATATTGTGTAATGTTTAAAAAATTTTTGTTTTTTTGCGTTTGAGCTGCTCGAACCCTAAAAAACAGAAACAACAGCAATTTCCTTTCTATTTTTTATTTGTATTTTTTTTTTGTTTGTTCTCATTTAATAAGGCGAAACTGTTCTTCCATTTATAGAGATTAAGTTAATACGCATACAAATCCATTGTATCTGTAAGGCCATACGCTAATGAACTATTTCACTATTCCAAAACTGTATTGCCACACTAGAAATGTATCCAAGACAGACCTATTAGTATTAGTTAGTATTACATAATATATATATATATAGATATTGAGATATATATTTATATATAGCAATAATTAAGCATTTAAGTGTTAAGCTGTGCCAAAATTCTCAAATGTTAAATGTGACTCCAATGTTTATTTTTTCAGCCCAACTTCGAATTTAACACGTATCTCAGTTCAATTTTAGTAAACAGCCATAGCATAGAAGCACTTGAGAGTATTAGATGGCCTAACGTATAAATTATATATATATATATATAACTATATAAATTGTAATTGTGTATCATTCGAAAGAAGTATTTGTCTACTTTCCTTGCAAATCATTCGCATAGTTCGTATTTGTAATTATAATCTACTCAATCAATCAGTCTATTAATCAATCATTCAACACATTCTAAATGTATTCAAGACATTCGTTTGCTTAGCTTAGCTTTACCATAAAATATATACTTGATTAATTTGTAACTTTAACAATATTCACTCAATTGATAATTCCATTTGATTGTAATTGAAACACTTTGATTGTGATCCTTGTAATTGTTTTTAATATCTAGCATTATACGAAGCTCTTTCGAATGATTAGTTTAGTTTTATCGAAAACCAAAATTTGAATTTGTTCTAAAGTCAATTCGAATGTTGCTTGTGTTTAATGTGATTTTGATTTGGAATTTTATGTGTTTTTGGCGCAAACAGATTATGAACTATTAGTAACTAATATTTTATATACCCACACACACACACACTCGTACATACACATATTCGCAGACATCATATTATATATATAGTTTTTTTTTTTTCAATTGTTGCTTTCATATTGATATCATCTCGACGACATTCTCGACCATACGAAACGATACATATATACTATATATATATATATATATATATATATATATACAGCTCTTTATATATATGTATACACACATATATAGAGACAGCTATTGGGCATGCCCGCTTTACAATATAACTAAGTTGTATTTAGCACTGATTAGTTGTTAGTTAAACACATTGCGTAAATCGCATTCAGCTTAGCATTTAACTAATAGCTGTTAATTAAACTAAACTAAACACACGAATCGATTATATACACAAATTTATTCCTTATCGCATACTTAGTTTAAATACAAAATAAATAAAACAAAAAAAAAATATTTTTAAAAAAATATTGCAATTTTGTATCTATGAAAATGGACTTTGTTAATTTTGTATACATACATATTTATTATTTATATATACATATATATAACTTATAATGCTCTTAACAATCTGAGGTAGCTTTTGCAAATCGAGTTAGAGTTAGGAACATTTTGTTAACATCGGATTACTATATACAGTGGCTCCAACGCCAAATCGGACAAGACTATTTATTTATTTCAATAAGTATTTTCTTTAGCAGTAAGTTAACTTTTTACCGTTTTCACATTTTTTCTCAAATCTAATATGTATTAGCCCCCTAAAACAAAAAAAAAATTTTTTAATTTCAAATGACAACATTTTTTTTATTTTAAAAAACTAACAACAAGTCCGATTTTGAGCTTCAACGCCAAATCGGACAAAAGAAAACTTTAATAAAAAATAAGAGAAAAACTTAATATTTAATATTTTGTTGCAAAACCTTTGTTTGCGACAACAGCCTGCAAGCGATTGGGAACTGATTTGACCAACTTTTTGCAGATTTCTGGCTCTATGGAGTTCCAAGCTGCAAGTAATCCCATTTTCAATTGGTCCAGATTGTTATACCGGTTTTGGTAAACTTTCCTCGCCAAAATTTCCCACAGATTTTCTATTACGTTTATATCCGGGCTCTGGGCAGGCGTTTGGATCAATTTGGGACAATTATGGATTAGCCAGAGCCTAGCTAGCATTGAAGTGTACTTGGGGTCGTTGTCTTGATAGAAAGCAAAGTCTTCAAGTATTCCCAATTTCTCCGCACTCTGCTTAACATTTTTTTTTCAAAATATCAAGGTAGCCAAATTTATCGAGTATGCCATCAATAAAGTGCAAATGGCCAACTCCCGCACTCGACATACAGCCCCAAACCATGACTGAACCTCCTCCATGCTTAACAGTGCCTATTGTGTTCTTGGGCTCAAACTCAGTATTTGGTTTACGCCACACATACACCTTACCATCGGACCCATGCAAATTAAATTTACTTTCATCAGTAAACAACACCTTTAAATAAGATAATTAGCAAAAAAAGAAAGGTATTTAATATGATATACAACCAACTAACATGATTCCAAAAGTCATCCGTTTTTAGCAAGTACTCTTTCGCGAATTTTACCCTAAACGCTTTGTTCTTAGGGCTAATATAAGGCTTTTTTTGGGCAACTCGGCCATGCAAATCATACCGATGCAAAGTATTGCGCACTGTGTTGTCACACACATCCTTTCCAAAGTTTGTTTTTAATGACATCCTTAGTTCCTTTGCGGTTTTAAAGGGATCAACCTTAATATCCCTTATAATCGACCGCTCTTCCCTTGAGTTTAATCGCTTTCTTTTTCCCTCCTGGCTTTTGTTAATGAATCTTCCATCTTCCCGAAACCTTTTTATGATATCATGGACGGTAGATTTGCTTCTTCCGACCAGCTCTGCTATTTCTCTAACAGTTTTGCCATCAAAATGCAGTTTTAATATTATTTGGCGTGCCTCAACACCAGTTTGCTTCCCACGTGGAGCCATTTCGCAAAAATAATTTGTGTTACTGTACGCCTATGAGCTTGAGAACATAACGAAACGCAATAAGCAAAACAAAAACGAAAATCTCCGCCAAATAACGGATCTTTTTCTTGCAGTTTTCTTTTGTCCGATTTGGCGTTGAAGCTCAAAATCGGACTTGTTGTTAGTTTTTTAAAATAAAAAAAATGTTGTCATTTGAAATTAAAAATTTTTTTTTTTGTTTTAGGGGGCTAATACATAATAGATTTGAGAAAAAATGTGAAAACGGTAAAAAGTTAACTTACTGCTAAAGAAAATACTTATTGAAATAAATAAATAGTCTTGTCCGATTTGGCGTTGGAGCCACTGTATGTATATATACTACTATATATATTCTATTATTCAAATATCAGCTATAGACATGGATCTTCATCAGATCTATGATCGCAAAACTTGTTTCTGCTTGTCCTGCTGTAGCTGCAGTCCAGCACATAGCTTAAGCTGAGCCATAGATACATACATATGTATATTTGTATAGTCAATTGGTAGATGCTGAGCGATCTATACTTAGCTCCGTTCGGTTTGTGCTATTTTCGTGTCACGCGCTCATCTCCAATTGGAATGCAAAAGCAGACGAAATTTCACACACAAATGGAATTCAAATCAACTGCATTTTAATTGCGCAATTGTTGCTGTTGCTGTTGGTGCAACTGTTGCTGCTGTTGCCGTTGCTGTTGCTGCTGCTGCTGCTGCTGCTGCTGCTGCTGCTGTCAGCGACAAATTTAGCGCACTCAAGGTTTGCGTTTAGCGATTTCGCTGTGAATCACTTAAAATAAATTAAAATCAATTTTTGTGCATTTTTCATGCGTGATATATATATTGAGCAATACTGTATGTATATATGCATGTGTGTGTGTGTGTGTGCGTGTGCTGCTGCTGCTGCTGCTGCTGCTAGCTGGCTGGCATCCTTTTATGGCACTTGTGGCAGCAACATGTGCCCCGTTCTTCGACATCGATTTCGATTTCAACTTCGACTTGGTTGCCTACGCGCTGACATCATCGCAGCACCACGCCCCCGCACCCCATACACCGCCTACAATATGGCCTTCGCCATCTGTAACTTGAAGCCTGCGCAAGGACAGCTAGCAACCTTGGCAGCAGCAGCAGCAGCAGCAACAACAGCAGCAGCAGCAATAACAGCAGCAGCAGCAGCAGCAACTGTTGCTGCTGTCAGCACTTTCACTCAGCTCAGCAGCAACAGTTGCTGTGGTGCTAGCTGCAGCTGTTGCTGCTTCTTAAAGCTGCTTTGCTATTAGTTCACCACCTGCCACGCCCACTAGAATTGCAGCAGTCCTAATGTCGCTTGCAGCAGCAACTGTTGCTGCTGTTCGCCTTGAGCCCATTGCATGTTGTTCAAAATGTTTTCCTAGAATTTTGCAGCATTTCATTCGATTTCATTTGATTGACACTGAATGTTGACGTTGACATTCAACACACACACACACATGCACACACATGCACACACACACACACAAACGCACAGTGCCATTGGCTGCAATTCAGAGACTCATCCACTGGTTTTGTGCATATCCAGTCATGTGGTTTTGGCCAAAAGTGCACAACCCACTGACCATGTGGCTCCACTTGCAGCATTTGCGCTTCGTTTCATTTTTTGTTGTTTTTGTTTTGTTTATTTCAGTTTTTTGTTCGGGTTTTTGCTTTCGTATACCCTGAACCCATTGTAAAGAGGTTTCTGGGGTATTTTGTATTTGCTGCATTTGTATGTAGTGGGTGTGGCGGAGGCGTGGGCGAGCACATCAACAATATTGACATATCTGTCCGTCTGCCTCTCCCTCTCTCTCTTTATCGCTATCTCTATCTGATGCGTCTGATTTGGTCAATCTGCCTGTCTCCCACTAGGACTCTCTCTCTCCCTACCACTGTAGTACTCACTGTCTCTCTCCTACATCATCTTTCTATGTCTCTCTCTTTTTGCATCTGTTTATCTCTCTCACTCTCTCTCTTTATTTTTTCATCTCTCTATAGCTTTCTCTTCTCTTTTCTTCTTCTTCTTCTTCTGCTGCTCTTCTTCCTCTTCTTTCTGTCTCTCTCCCTCGCTCTCCATTTCACTCTCTCTCTCTATCTATCTATCTATCTATCTCTATCTCTATCTCTATCTCTATCTCTATCTCTATCTCTATCTCTATCTCTATCTCTATCTCTATCTCTATCTCTATCTCTATCTCTATCTCTATCTCTATCTCTATCTCTATCTCTATCTCTATCTCTATCTCTATCTCTATCTCTATCTCTATCTCTATCTCTATCTCTATCTCTATCTCTATCTCTATCTCTATCTCTATCTCTATCTCTATCTCTATCTCTATCTCTATCTCTATCTATCTCTTCCTCTCGTTCTCTCTTTGTCTCTCTAGTCCCCCTAGCACTTTAGCTCAATCTTCCGTTCATTCTACATTCTCTCTTTTTCTCCATTTCTCTACCCCTCACCTTCTCACTCACTCTCTTTAAATCACTATCACTCTATCCCTTCCACTCCGACTCTCCCCCCCCCCCCTCCACAACCCACCATTTCTCAGTTTGCAGAGTTCTGGGTATCAGCTAGTCGAGCACTCTTAACTCGATCACTTTTACTTGTTTATTTGACGACTTTTTTTTTTTTCCTTCCGATTTTTGGCGTTGCCTCGCGCTGCGCTTTGCATTCCGATAAGGCGACGCAGCCGACAAGGGCGCAAAAGCCACAGAAACAGCTAAGGCAGCAGCAGAAGCAGCAGCAGCAGCAGCGATTGCCTTATCGAAACATCTCGCAGGAACAATATGAAGCTGATGCAGTTCTCTGAGGTAAGCCTCTTTGTTTATATGCTTAAGATGCACAACTAGGTTGAGCTGCCATTAAAGGAAGCAGGAAACTTGTTAAATAAAAAACCTTTGCCATTGCTCAAGCAACTGCCATCTGCTAAAGTAGCTCAATTTTATATGATTCTTCAGCTCTATAAAGATCTTGTTTATTACAGCTTGTTAAAAAACATTTGAAAAATGAAAAAAAGGCTTAGAATTCACTTCATTCACAAGACATGTGAATGAAGTGAATTCTAAGCCTTTTTTTTCATTTTTCAAGCCAGTTAGCTATAATCATATATCATATATTATATTATTTATGCAAAAATTAAGTTTTAATTTTTGTTTTGTTTTTTTTTTTTGTTGTCTTTAAGATCTGTCCGTTTGGACAATGACTAAATTTGGCGGATTTTCCATATGAAATGTCTATTCGATATATGTTATATGAAATGGAGAAGTTTTTCTTAATTGGGGTGATTCTTGTTGAATTGCCGAAGATGAAGATGTTGAGATAAGATGCTAGGAATGAATTAATATTCAGATTTAATCAATATTCAGATTGATTTGGAGATCAACCAAGATCAAGTACAAAAGATCTAGTCGAGAGGGAGAGAGAGAGAGTCTAGAGATCCACTCAACCCTTCGAGTTACTGATATTTGAATAATTTGCACGCATACACATTAGCACGCCTGGGCCATGGTGTGGGAGTACTATGTGAACTTAAGTAACTGTTTGATGGATTTTCGTTTAGATGAACTATATTCCTGAAACTTTCAGATCGTCATAATAACATTTACCAAAGCAGAAGTCTCTAGTTTTTGAAATATACTTTTTGCAAATTTTATGAGAAAGGGGGGATTTGGGAATGGAGAGGGGGTAATTAATAAAAAATAAAAATAACATGCTATAAAATACACATGAATATATAAATAAAATTTGAAGATACTAGCTCTTAAGATGTAGGAGATATAAGTTTATAGCTGTTCGTCGTCGTAATCAAGAATATAAGTACTCTATGGGGCCTGCCACGCCTCCCTCTGCCTCTTACATTCATTGAACTCTGTTTTCTACTCTGATTTTCCACGTTCAATGGATCCAAGTTAAAAACAGAAACAATAAATCTCATGTTGATTTTCCAATTTCTATTCAGCACACATACATATGTATGTATATCCCACTCTGAAAAAGCCTGGGGTGGGGGTGGTGGGTGTCACATTCACTCGCGACGCCTAAGGTTATATGACATGGCTGTCTGTTGTGAATAGAAGTCGAGGAATTTAGAGATAAATACGTCTATATGATCTAGCTGTCTGCCAATGGAATATCAGAGCTAAGCCATCAAATGCTGATTTTGAGTAATATCAATAAACAAAGCAAGCCCTAGCGCATGGAAGAGCTCAATTGTTGGCCAAACGTTGCTACGACAGCCCGTAGACAGCTCTCAGATTAAGCTGGCAAGTGAATACGAAAGAATATAACTCATATATATAGCAAATAGTTTGTTCCTATTTCAGTTAAGTAGTTCGATACGGAACTAACTTCCTATTGATCAAAATGCAATTGAATAATAATAAATAGTATATATGTATATTTATAAGATAGCGTGAGAGAGAGAGAGAGAGAAAGAGAAAGAATGAGAAGGAAAGAAAGAGAGAGTGAAAGGGAGAGAGAGAAGGATAATTGCATAATAATAAATAGTGAATATAATTAGAATACCCTAAATATAATTAGAATACCCTAAATTTGATTATATGTATATTTAAAAGATAGCGAGAGAGAGAGAGAAAGAGATAGAGGGAGAGAGAGAAAAAGAGAGAGTGAATGGGAGAGAGAGAGAGAGAGAGATAATTGAATAATAATAAAAGGTACAATTAGAATGCCCTAAATTTAATTATATGTATGTATGTATATATAATAGAGAGTAAGCGGAAAAGAGAGAGAGAGAGACAATTGAATAATAATAAATAGTGCAATTAGAACACCAAAATTTGATTATATGTATATATAAGAGAGAGAGAGAGAGAGAGAGAGAGAGAGAGAGAGAGAGAGAGAGAGAGAGAGGGAGAGAGAGAGAGAAAGAGAGAGAGGGAGAGCGAGAGAATGAGAGAGAGAGAGATAGAGAATGAAAGATAGAGTGAGAGGGAGAGAGAGAGAGAATTGAATAATAATAAATAGTGCAATTAAAACACAAAAATTTGATTATATGTATGTATATATAAGAGAGAGAGAGAGAGAGAGAGAGAGAAAGAGAGATAAAGAGCGAGAGAAAGAGAGTAAGAGAGATAGAGAAAGAAAGATAGAGTGAGAGGGAGAGAGAGAAAATTGAAATAATAAATAGTGCAATTAAAACACAAAAATTTGATTATATGTATATAAGAGAGAGAGAGAGAGAGACTAAGAGCGAGAGGGAAATTATTCCTGCAAGCGCTCAATTAGATTCGATTCGATTCGATTTAATGCAATTCATATCGATTGCTGAGTAATGAAGATGGTAGCCCAGTGCGACATGTGAGACCAGAAGTAGGAGAATAAGAGCATTTCAGTGTTGGAAAGTGCCAAAAATTGTGGGATAACGACAGCTCTGCTGTCCGTTTATGTCAGCCACATCTAGTGGGCTGTGAATTTAGCTAGCTGGGCTGTCACTTGATGCAGAATTGTAGTCGTGTGTCAAACGGCAGTGAAAGCGAAAATTTAGCAAAGTTTAATTTTGTTTTTTTTTTTTTTGCGTTTTCTAAATATATTCCACGGGTAGATTAACCTGAGCATGCAAAAGGCGCACAAGGCAATTTGGGAGCGCGACTATATCAAATCAATTTTACTAGCACGTGAATCGTTCAAAATGAAGAAAACCTTGCCCCCGATCCAGGAGGATGAGACCGAGCCAATGGACGAAGAGGAGTCTGCCGAGAAAAACGTCAGCCGCAATCTGTCCAAGGCTTTCATGAAGCTGGCGGTGACAGAGAACACCGGCGGGGAGCCGATGTCGGTTGTGGAGCCGCCGGTGCGTGTCACGGGCAATCCGCTCAACACGATGCCGAACACCCAGTGCCGGGTCGCCATGATGGAGTGGCCATCGACCGGCTGTGGCAATGGCAACGGAAAGCGCTTCTGCACCGAAAATGGCGCTATCGGTGGCTACGGTGCGCACAACATGAGCTGGGACCCTGACAACGGCTCGCCCACATCGAGCTCCGATGATCAGCAATGGGATCTCGAGCATCTGCCGCTGCGTCGCCGTCGCCATCGCAGCTCCAATAGCATTTAGAAGCAGTCGTCCACAGTGGCACCAAACTCCATTCACAGGTAATAATAAATACGAAAAAAAAAATAAACCATTTCAATAATTATGAGCTTTGACTGATGACAGCTGGAGGAAGAGCGGATGAAGTGAAGCAACGAAGAGGCAGACGAATAAGAAGAGAAGAGGAAGACGAAGACGATGAGAAGAGAAGAACAGGACAGGGGCAAATTATATCCAGCTTTATCCTGATATATGCGCTCCTTAAGAAACTTAGCTCAACTCCAGATGTGAATGGATGGATAATAAATATATCTATAACTATATCTAACTATATATAATTGTAACTGATAAAAAAAAGAGTAACTGATGCATCTGAAGTTAGTTATTCACAAAAATAATAAAAAAAAAATTGATGGAAACACATTTATTATTGGGCGGACTAAGAATTAGAGCAAAGAATAAAGCCTTAGACTGCATCGAGCGAGGTGTGCTCGAAAAGTTGTCTCTAGATGAAAGCTAAATTTGATTATTTATTTATCTATTTATTTATTTATTTAATTGTTACAAACAATTAATTCTAGATAACCAAGTTTGAAGCCAAAGCAACAAAGGCCTTCAAATTTGATTATATATAGACGAATGCAGGGAAGGAATGAATGACTTTTCGAGAGGGCTTTGAAGCTGGGAATGAGAAGTCCATTGAAGAGAACTTTAAGCTGGAGATTCTTGAATAAACATGTAATTAACTTTTTGATAGTAACACAAATTGCAAGATAAACAGATCTATCTTATCTTATGGACAACCCAGAGAATCAGTTTCTAATGTCGATTTCTGCTCTATTTAATTGCTGACTATTCCTATATTCAATTCAATAATTTTTCGAGAGGGCTTTGAAGAATGAGAGCTCCAAGAGAACTTTAAGCTAGCGAAATGGAGATTCTTTAATAAGTATATAAGTAACTTTTGGATAATGATACATAATGCAAAATAAACAGATCTATCTTATCTTCTGGACAACCCAAAGGATCAGTTTCTTAACTCGATTTCTGCTCTATTTAATGGCTGACCCATCACAGAACCCCAATATTTAATATCAGTTCCATGTTGAAGCTGAAGATTAAGTGAGAGTTTACACAGTCTTATGCGGTATAAGAGGCGTATCTTTGGCAGTAGAAACTTTGCTCAGCTCTCGCGAAATTAAGTGTGTGTGTTATCTTAAGTGATCTGAGAATTATTATTATCATAGATCAAATAGCACAGATAAAAGTTAGACTCTAAGCAGGGCGAGGGCGCTTAAGATAATGTGTGTCGGGTAGGTAGTGCAAATACCAGGTAAACAGTAGCCAAATGAGTACTGCGTGCTGCATAAAGTGCGCAATAGATGGCGCATATAAATTGTGAAGTTGCAACATTGAACAGGGATCCCCAAGCTCGCTGCTAGTCGCGCATTCCCCAGCATAAATTTCTATATGGTTTTATGGAATTTTCCTGAAGTCTGACGAAAAGTCCTTGTGCAACTGCCTAAAATGCAGTTAAGTTCAATTGCAGCTAATTTGAAGGTTATGTCTGAGCTGTGATTGGTATTGTTGTAGTTGTTGCGACGAGGCGAACCACATCCGGACTGGGATTGGGGAGCTGAACGCTGCCCACAGCTCATCAGCCTTCGCTGCTGCTACTGCTGCTGCTGCTGGCAGCGCTGCCGCAACTGCCGCTGCTGCTACTAGTGCTGCTAGTGCTGCTGCTGCTGCTGCTGTTGGCGCCTATCTCTCTGCTTGGCTCTGTCGAGCCTAAATGCAGTAACAATTGCACCTAGCACAATCAGTTAAGAGCCTCCGCTCGTGCCAAACGGTTGTGCGCATCTTTAATACACAGTTTACAATTGCTAGCTGCAACAAACAGTACAAGTAACAACAACAACAACAACAACAACAATAACAATAACAAAAGTGAACTTTAAGCAGTCAAATTTTGCTTGGCGGACATTTTGTTTTCGTTAAGTTTCTGTGCGTGCGTTCTTCTTAAACACACACACACACACACATACATACATATAGATTTGTGTGCGTGTTTTTTTCAATTTCGCGTGTGCCGGCAACAATACAGAAACAGCAATATCAACAACAACAACAAACAACAGTTATTTGCTGCAACCGCAAGTCAATCAAATAGTTTTTGTGCCTTTTTCCGTCTCTCGCCCCGCGCTCAGCCTCTCTGATCGTTCTCTCCCACTGTCTGTCTCGCTCGCTCGCCCAGTTGATCGCGCTCGCGTAATTCAACCCCCTTTCCGTGTATTGTAGAACTAACTAATACAACTACAGTATTTACTTAGAGCTTTGCTCTAAACTCGTGAGTGTTTGTTTTTTTTTTTTGTTATTCTTTTTTTTTTTTTTTTGTTTTTTATATTAATTGTTGTTGTTGTTTGTCTTCAACTTGTGTTAGTCTCCAGTTACAAAAGCCGCGACGTGTCGACTATTCTGATAAGCAGCAGCAACAGCAGCAGCAGCAGGTGAGCATGCATATACGCACACATGCGCAGAGCATAGCATCCACATACACACACACAAACACACTAGCACTGGCAAATTAAGTTCCACAATGTTCTAAGCGTTTTGCGGTTTTCCTGTTGGCTCCCAGGCGCCATCTAGCGGCAAAGCAATCAATCAATCAGGCATTTACGCATATCATTTTACACGCAGCTTAACTCTGTTGCTATGCCTGTCTCTCTTGCACTTGTTAGACCTGTGGGCGTTTGCATAAATCAAAATTTTAACAGCAAACAAAAAAAAAATTAGAGTAAAAAATCAAATTTAAATATAAATCCAAATTGAATTTCAATACAATTTAAGCACTTTGCCATATTGTTGCTTATTTTTACGATCCATGGCCATAAGCGTGGCTAATTCTCGGACTCAACAATTTATGATCGTCCATATTGCCATATCGTTTGTCATTTATCGTTTATCGTTAATCGCTCGCCAGACAGGGCATTGGCCACACGCCTTCCTACGCGATTCTCACTCAGACGAACAATCAATTCTATAGATACATCAAATGGAAATCATTGACAAATTAAGCAACATGTGTAATTCGTTGAGTTATTGGACGCGAGAGACGCGTTCATTAATAAATTTCAAATTTATCTAAATTTATTATAATTATGCAGATGGTTTCGTATTATTTACGATCTATGTCATTTAGGCCATACAACTTATTTAGTTTGTTGGGTTGGGAGGGAATGTGTCCCGAGGGAAGAATCCCTTTATTTTCTGACTTATTTTGATGATAGTGTATGTCCGTAATATGCGAAAATCTTATAGAACTGAAGATTTGGTTGGAAATTGTCATGAAAATCAAAAATTGTAAAATATAAGATATAAAATATAAAATAAAGAATATAAAATATCAAATATGAAAGATAAAAGATCTAAAACATAAAAATATGCATATGTATATTCTCCTCACACTTCCCATATATAATTATCTTTTATCTCATATATTTCTTTCTTTATCTTTTATCTCGAAATTTCTTTGATTATCAAAACGATTTTCAATTCGAAGCAAATATTTTCCTCTGCATTTTCCACTTAATTTTCTTGCTTTTCATGCACTTGACTCAATTGTCCAGCTGCGGCTGACCCCAACTCTTGGCGAACTGTTCGATTGATTGATTGATTGATTGAGAATCGTCAGCCTATTTGCCCAATTGCGGTTTTGAACTTGTTTGGCTTACGGCCGCTTGGATGGTCAACAGCCGCACCTCCCCTCCCCGACTGCCTCTACCAAGCGCGCTCTCCCTCTCTGGCCACGCCCACCTAGAGCACGGCGGCCTGCGCCCCTTTGGCCAGTTGGCGCGCTGAGAACGTGCTTTGGATATCAAATTGACGTTTGACCGAACATCGTGTTGATCTTAACCAAAATTGTGAAACCAAATGTGACGCGCTGGCGGTCGCCGCAGCAACAATTGAAACGGCAACAACAACAGCAACAACAATTACAACAATCGAGAACAACAACAACGCGTTGTCATTTGCCATGTTTCATTTTTAACCATTTACGGGGGAAATGTCACAACTTGTTTTGGGACTTGGGGACTTGGACTTGGTGGGGATCTGGTTCGCCTCGTCGCCAAGCTGGAGTGCAATAAAATAAAAACAAACAAACACACACACACACACACACACATACATAGCTTTATATACGTATGTGTATAAATCATGATAAATTGAAAATAATTTTAATGAATCTATGTACGTACGATTGAAGCTAAAGTATCTAGACTTGAGAAACCGCAGCAGCAGCAGCAGCAGCAGCAGCAGCAAATGAATCAAAATGAAAAATGCATTCGCATTTGTAGGCGCAACAAGTTACAGCAGCCACAAGCAGCAATTGATGGACTAGTAGATACCCTATATAGGGTATTGTTCATTTTATGTTAGCCATAAAAGCGTGCAAGCCTGAACTATGTATTTGTATTTGATTCAAATGAAGTTGGCTATACGATAGCAACTGATCGACTACCAGATACCCTATATAGATTTGTATTTGTTCTATATATTACCAATGCACATATGTATGTATTTATATATTTGTGAACACTCTTAAGCGTCAGCTCTGTATTTGTATGTGATGCAAGCTGGCAACTGATCAACTAGCACATACCCTATATATATACATCATATGTATATCTATATGTATATATTTATAATGACTCTCATGCTTGAACTATGATTTAGTGTTTACCTCAAATATAAGCATTTAAATGCACAACAACAGTAGTTGATCAGCTGCCAGATACCCTGTATTTGACTTCGATTTGCCATGATTGGCGTTAAATGCAGGTCAGCAGGCCTGAACTAATATGTATATCATAGCAGAAGAAGCTGAGCTCGTTAAAAATTTAGCTGATCGACGAGCAGATACTCTCTGCTTGATTTTTCTCTTTACTACACATCATATCAACTGATCGACTAGCAAATAGCTTAGGTTTCGAATTCCCAGAGAAGTCATTGTTGACAAATGACCCCTGGAGGCTTTAGAATCCCATATTTGGGCTGGCTACAAATTTAAACAGCTGATCGACTACAAGATACCCTGCAAGTAAATACATGTACATATGTATATAAGCAATAACTAACGAAAATCGTAAGCCTGAATTGTAATTTTTGGTGCTGCTAGCCATAATAGCAGAACTGATAGACTGCAGGATACCTTAGGGTTGGTTTTCCAAAGTAGTTCATATGCATTAATCGATAATTGCAATAGGTTTCAGTGTAAGCATCATTCAAGTGATCGACTTGCAGTTACCCTATGCCTCACTCAGTGTGTCAAGTGGAAATTTATTGTCTAATGGATACTCTAGTCATACCCTAGGCACCCTAACCCAACCAATAACAGTAAACGCTTCCTCAGGTAAATTTTCAAGGCAAACATTACGTTAAGTGCTAAGCATACCCTGCACACTATGTGCACAGGGTGTGCAATTGTGAATTGCATCATCAGATGGCCGCCTTCATCAGACATTTTCATTTTACTCACATGTTTAATGGTTTTCTCCTTTTGTTATAGTTTTTTTGCCTGCCATGGAACTGGAATGCGATTTGGGTGCCATACAAAGCGAGGAGCTGCTAAGGAAAATGGTAAGCGATGTGAAAGTAGAAGTATCGAAATTACATACATACATGTGTGTATATATGTATGTATGTGTAGGCTTGCAATTGATATGTGCATATATTAGGCTTGGGTACATACATACTCGCATACATAAGTGGGTCAGATCTTTGGCGTTGCTCTAGCTGCACATGATGCCTTCTATGCGAATCTCAGTTGCTCCCTCGTTCGTTTCGCTTGCTCTCTAGCTGGACTCTGAGCCACCTGTTGGCAAGTTCATTGGCTCTACGCTGTGGCTGGATGCGTCAGTCATTGCCTTTAAAGCGCAGGCAGACAGAGACAGAGTGGAAGAGTTTCGAGAACTAGCTGTGGAGATTCACACACACACACACACACACACACATAGGCACATATAGATGTGCGGATGACGAGCCCAGGCACCCGGTTCAACCTGACCAAATTGGGTCATTTATGGGGTTGGCGTGGCCCGGCTCTCGCCTGATGTGTGGGCCGTCTACGCTGAGCTGGCTTAGACTCAGCGGGCCAATTATCGTTAAAAAGTCATTAAAATATAAGTTTTTTATACAGAAATCGATGGAAAAACATTGATGACGTCGCCTCTAACTTGGCCAAAATGATGTACGAGCAGCGACAATAGCGAAACATCTATATTAATAATAATAACAATAATAAATACGTAAAATCTACAAAAATAGCAGCAGACGTTAATCAGCCCACGCAGCAGCCGTCGCGACGTCGGCATCGCCGTTGGCGCTGACAGCGGCGTCGACAGCGACATCGACAGCGACAGCGACAGCGACCACGTCTGAGTCGCGTTTTATAGCTATCTTTTTTTTTGGCCGTTGCCCCTGTCTCCCTCTCTCTCACTCTCTCGCTCTATCTCGCTGATAAAGCGATGATGACTCACCGGCACATGAATCAATTTCGTGCAGCATCTGAACTCGCCTGACCGCCACTCCAGGCCACAAATCCAGTTGGCCGCCAGGCTCCTTCGGAACGCATTGCGCCGATGACGCCACAGCTGTGGCTCAGGCGCAGCTCTCCTGCCATTGCCAGTGCCCGCAGCTCGATGCTTGATGCCCGATGTTCGGTCAGTCAGGCAGCATTAGCGAGTGGCAAGTTTTTCTGTTCTTATACCCTGCAATTCCCATGGCATATGCACGCTGAGTGGGTATGCTCTCAAGAGCACTTACATCTATGTATGTATAAATTCTTATAATCCTATAATATTAAATATTTCCTATATTTCCCAGTCCCATAGTCCTATAGTCCCATAGTTATATACGATTACAGTCTAATGTATGCACATGTCTCGTGTCTCGATTACTTATTTAGTAACCTGATCATATATATGTAAATATAGCTTATAATATACCATTTTTGTTTATATCGATAAATATCGATTGTGCATTCTGGCACATATTGAGGAGCATAATGTGTCGATAGCTTAGTCATCAGACCTCCCATTAATATACGCGACTCCCTTTCAATAAATTCGATAACATACGCCTTTTCATCCATATTGTGACTTATCGATATGTCAAGTGTTATTTGTTTTGTTTATACTGGCAAAGCGAACTGCACGAGTATGTTTATAGGGTATCTTCTAGTCGTTTGTAGAACCGCCTGGAGCACTTGAGATTTATTTGTTGTTTTTATTATTTTAGTATTTTTTTTTTTTTTTTTTTTGAGACATTTGCGCGTTGGCCGCTTTACAATTGCGCCAATCTCTCGGCCATGATTTGAAGCCAGTGTGTCGCGTGGGCCGCGGCGCTGACGTTGACGCTAACTGCATGAAAAATAAATCAATAAACCTGAGCCGCAATTGGCACACAGAGACACCCGCTATGGCCATCTGTCTGTCTGCCAGCTAGCTCCATACATATGTATGTATGTATGTATGTATGTACATATGTAGCTAGCGCAACAGCCTGCAGCAGTTGCCACCAGTTCACATGGCACTTGGCCAAATGCAGCAGCCGCAGCAGCAAGTGAACAGCATTAAGAAAAACTCTCATACATACATATGTATGTATGTATGCACATATGTATGTTTGTATGTATATATGCAGCTTTGCTCTATCTATTCGCTATTGCCATATTGTAAATTGCTTATCGTCTATCGTTTATCGGCTGCTGGTCTAGCCACGACGTCTGCGCAGCGTCTGCATGACTAACTTTTTTTTTTTCTTTCCTACTTTTTTGCGTTTCTCTTATTTCTGTTTTGTCTGCGCGCAGCTTAGTCTGAGTTACGTTTTATTGCCGCGTGGGGGCGTCTTTGGCTGTTGACAAAAGCTGGCGCAATTGGCAACAAATGCAACAAAAACAACACTAATTGTAATAATAAAAACACCTACAAATAATGTATATGTAAATGCCATTCCAGTGATTTATATTATTATTTTTAATTGTTATACATATGTATGTTTTTTACACGTATACATATAATACAAATATCACACCGATTGATTGGTCAACTGTGCACTGGAACACGTTTGGCCAATTTTTTGTTCCCTTTCCTTTTAGCCATTTGGGCACGATCGATTAGCTAAATCCCACTGGCAGTATAATTATGGAGCTGAGTGCCATATGCATATACATATGTATGTGTGTGTGTATGTATGTAAATGTGCTTTAAGAGTCGTCGCATCATTAGCCAAAAACTGAACTGTAAACAGTTGAAGTTGAATGTGCTTTAGCCGTACATGGAATGCCCTAACTAAACTCCACACATACATACATACATACATACATAGCACATAAGTCATACTTAACGCACCTTGAATTAATTTTATTTACATTTAGTGGAGTTTTCCATTAATTTGGTAATACTATATAGCTATAAGCATTCCTTCACTATTTCCTCAGTATTTTCACTATAAACATAGACCGTTACTATATTAATTACGGCTTAATTCTCATTTGTATATACATACGTATGTACATATTTATTTCGCTAAAAACAATACCAAAATTGTATAACGTAATTTGAAGCTTGATTTACTTAGAAGAGCAAAAGCTTTAACTGACTCAAGTTGCAGTTAGTCACACACACACACACACACTCGGAGCAGAAAAACCAATTCTGCCTACTCTCCTATGCGCGAGCTTTACACGGTAGTCGATGTTGTCCTACAGAACAAGAACAACACGCCGTTACATATTGCTGTAGTTGCTGTTATTGTTGTTGTTATTGTCTTTGGCAAAAATTCTGCTGAGGTGCTGCTGCTGCGACAGTTCGTCTTGTTCTTGCGCTGTCGCTGGCTATATTTGAGCCGCTGTTTTTGTTTTGTTTTGTTTTGCTTTGCTTTTTGTGTGTGTTGCCTTACACACATAAAAAGTCAGCGCAGCGCAGCTGACAGCGGCCGCTGCACTGATAGCGGGGGCAACTCAGAGACGCACACACACGCACACACAAGCCAAGGCGGCAGCACACGCACACACAAGCACGCATAGCATTCGATCGGCGACGACGACGACGACGACGACGAAGTCGCTGTCATCTTCGCGGATTGTTGTTGTCGTATTCGGTCATATCTTTGCTCACTGACTGAGCTGCGCTGCGCTGTCGTCATCGACTGCGCTGCCGCTGGTGCGGCTGCTGTCTAAGCTTCGGCCCGGCTGGCCGTCCACTTTACGCGGCTTTGATTCTGAATGGGCGAACTTCAGTCTGATTTTGGTGCTCGATCGATTGCAACGTGCCGACGCTCGGTTAAAAAAAAAAAAAAAAACAACGAAACTCAACTCCACTCACACAATCAGCAAGAAGAAGACGAAGTCGAGGAAGAAGCAGCAGCAGCAGCAATTGTTTTATTTTTTTGTTTGTTTGTTTGTATATATGTATATGTATATAATTTTGTTTTTGTTTTGGAGCGACATATGATTTATATTTTTGCCAAACGAGCTTAAAGAACCTAAAGCCAAAAGCCAAAAAGCACGAATTATTAGCGAACGGCAAAAAGGATTAGTCACACCCACTCATTACTCAAGTGTTTATACATACGTGTGTTTGCCGGTAAAAATTAAAATAAAAAGAAGTAAATAACAATTCAACGAACCCAACTCAACGAAACAGAAATTCGATAAAAAAAAAAGGGCGCAGAGGAGATTTTAGCGAACTTTTTTCTCTGCTTTTGTCTTTCTCTCTCTCTCTTCCTCTGTCTTTTACCTGCCACATATTTTGCGTGTGTCATTTGGAGGAGCCGCTGTGATTAGTTCATCTATAGACAGGTAAATTTACAGCACACACACACATACATATACATATATATATACACATTTGCCAATAACTTTCACACGTTGAAGGCGAGCAAAAATTCAAATTTTGATTTTGCATAACAGTTAGTCAGCAACGCCAGCTGCGCAGCGCGCGTCGCTGCCGGCACTGGTGTCAACTAATTCATTGTTTTTGTTTTTGTTGCTTTCGTTTCTTGGCTTGTAAACAAACAAGAGGTTCTTATCGTCGGTAGAAGGAACCTGAAAATTAGATTAGAAATGCGAATTTATGAATATGAACGATCGTGTCATCACTTTTTGTTGTTGTTGTTGTTGTATATACATACATATTTTTATCAAGATTCTCAATATATACACAGACATATATACGGGCATATGTGTATTGCCATATTGCCATTCTAATCTCTAAATGAATCTAATTACAGTGAAACCTGTTCAACAGCTAGCCCCAGGGGCAGTTGGCCTCGCTTCGCTTTGATTTTCGATTTGCAATTAATTTGCTTAGCCCGAGGGATAATGGTATGAGATATAGTGTTAGCTTGATCAATGCTCTAACTTTGTTTTCCTACACCCACTCGGAAAGTTTATAGTGCATTCATCTATTAAATTCAATCTCTAATTTCCGTTTCAATGTTTTCTTTCATAGCACTTTGTCGGCTCGTTTATTTTTACAGATCAATGATTGTATATAATTTTTGATTTATTATTATTATTATGGAGCCATTAAGAGCGGTGATCGTCATTCTATTTTAGAACAGACCTGAAGCTTGTC